AGGAATCGAACCCAGGGCCTCATGCATACAAGGCAAGCGCTTTGCCATTGAACCACCGTCCCAGCCCGTACCTCACCTTTATAATAACAAAAATAATTGACTGGAAAAAGTACAGGAATTCAGTTCAGTCTAATTGTGAGGTTTGTGATCAGTCTCTGAGAGGCAGTGAAATTCAGAAATGAAGTTTAGTATGAGCTGTGCTACACCTGTGCTCAGTATCAGATCTGTGTATGAATTGAATTTTTTTTTTCCCCAGTGCTGGGACTTGAGCTCAGGGCCTTAGATGCTGTCACTGGGCTTCTTTTTGCTCAAAGCTAGTGCTCTACCACTTGGAGCTATAGCTCCACTTCTGGCTCCTAGGGTTATAAGGGTGAGCCACTGGCAGGCACCCAACTGAATAGTTTGGATTGAAACAACTGCTGAGCTTCAGTTTCTGTAACTAAAGCAGATCTGGTAGATGGCGTGTGATTATGTAGAGAAGTGCCAGTTCATAGTAGGTCTGTGAGTAAACAAATTATTGATGAGATTCTGTAGGTTTTAAGAATTTCTGGAGTGTTATGTGAAGGAAAGAATTTATAGTGAGAGTATAAAAGAGGAGCCTTGAGGTCTAAACTTATCTAGATGACAGGTGAGGGCAGTAAATAAGACCAGACCTCAGCCTCCAGACTGTGGTACTCGCTAGTGCTTTTCCCTAAATGTTTTTAAATTGGCTTTATTGGGCAATATGATTAGCTTATTAAAATGGCATTCCAATCTTACTGTTCCAAACTGATGAATAACATATCCTTTTACTACATTTCATGAATATTTTAATTATATTTGAGATGCCTCATCTTAGTAGAGAAAGTCTTAGGTTAGACAGAAATCCTTTTATATCTTCTATTTAACACTTAATAGATTACACTAGATTTTCTTTTCTTTTTTTTTTTTTTGGGGGGGGGGGGTCCGGTCGTGGGGCCTGAACTCTGGGCCTGGGCACTGTCCCTCAGCTCTTCAGCTCAAGGCTAGCACTCTACCACTTGAGCCACAGCGCCACTTCCGGCTTTTTTTTCCTTTTTGTTTATGTGGTGCTGAGGAATCAAACCCAGGGCCTCATGCATGCAAGGCAAGCGCTCTACCACTGAGCCACCTTCCCAGCCCTCCACTAGTTTTCATGATTCAGAAATATTTTGGGGTGGGTGCCAGTGGCTCACACTTAAAATCCTAGCTACTCAGGAGGCTGAGGTCTAAGGATCCTGGTTCAAAGCTACTCAGGCAGGAAAGTCCATGAGACTCTTATCTCCAATTAACACCCCTTCCCCTCTCAGAAAACCAGAAGTGGCACTGTGGCACAAAGTGGTAAAGTGCTAGCCTTGAGCAAAAGAATTCAGAGACGGTGCCTAAGTTCAGTGCCTGAGTTTAAGACCCAAGACTGACAGAAAAAAAGTGTTTTGGGAAAATGTATACCTGTGTTGTACATATGCATACATGTGCAGAATTTTAAAATTCTTCATTCTCTAAATGATATAATAATTATTTACATTGTACGAGGTATTTAAACAATCAGAAAGGACTTGGGTGCAGTGTAAATGCCACATTATTTTTAGCAACCTCAAATTTAGGAGTCCAACTTCAAGGGGTTCTGTGGGACAGGGATATTATTGTTTTATGAACAAGTTCATTGGAATACAGTCTCCCTTACTAGGAATCACTTGACAGCTGATTTTTTTTTCTTGTGCTAATAATATCAGGACTTGAACTCAGGGCCTCTGGCTCTTACCTGGTTTTTTCACTCAAGGCTGGTGATCTTATCGCTTGACACATACCCCAAATTCTAGCTTTTTGCTGGTTACTTAGAGCTAAGAATCTGTTGGATTTGTCTCCTGGGCTGGCCTCGAACCTTCATGCCCAGGTCTCTGCTTCCTGTAGGCATAAATTGCTGGGCCCAGCGGATTTTTTATATACTGCATCTTTTGCAAGGGAAAGTTGGCAAGGAAAGGCGCTGCTTTCACAGACTCTGAATTCCTCTTTGAGGCCAGACTGACCTAGAGCTTGATCTGCCTGCCTCTGCCTCCCAAGTGGTGAGACGAGCCACCACATCCAGCACGTTACACACAGCATGGCACACAGGCTCATGGTATGGAGGAATGAAAGTGCTTTGAGTGATTTAGCTTCTTGTCAGTTGTGTTTGGGCCCTTAATGCACATGAGGAGGGGAGGGGGAAAATCAGCCTTCACTTAATTGATGTCGACTAAATAGAATAGAGTAGGGAAGGGGTGGTGGGCCTGGTAGCTCATGCCTATAATCCTAGCTACTCAGTAGGCGAGCTGAGGATCTCGGTTCAAAGCCAGTGGGAGCAGGAAGTCCATGAGACTCCTATGTTCAGTTAACTACCAGACAATCACTATTGGAAGTGACACTGTAGCTCAAGAGGGTAGAGTGCTAGCCTTGAGCAAAAGAAGCTGAACTCTTTGAGCTCAAAAGAAGCTTTTCCTGTGTATGTGGTACTGAGGAATTGAACCCAGGACTTCATGCATGCTAGGCAAGCACTCTACCACTAAGCCATTTTCCCAGCCCCTAAGTAGTTCTTTATAACAGTGATGATTACTTTTAAAAATTATGATTCATTATTTAGAGAATATTAGTTTGTGTAATTAAACACATGTAGATAATACCTTACATATTTAATACAATGTGTTTGCTCCGTACAAATGGAAATTAAGTTTAATTTCTGTCAATGCCAACTTAACACAGTAGACTGGGATACTTTTTCCAATGTTGGCAGCACAGATAAAGTTTTTAAAAATTCAAATTACATGTGTATGTATATATGTATTAATGTTTATATAAAAAGACCAATAGTTGCAGTATGTTGTACAGCAACAGCTTTTCCTGGTCTGCAGTCATCGGAACAAAATTAGACATCCAGCATCCTCATTAATAAAAAGAAAAAAAGATTAAAAAAACCCCACAAAATACTAAGTTCTGTTGTGGAAGCTGGCACCATTTTTTTTTTTTTTTATTAGCTTCTCCATCATCTGGAAGGAAAACATTCTTGAGTAGCATCATTAAAAACAGCCCTGATAAATTAGTCACTACTAAGTATCATAAAGCAGATACAAGGTATTTTATATTCACAGAGGTATGATACAGTTTTGTCTCTACTACTGTATAATGCTAGAGGATACAATTAAAAGGCATTATTGAGACTTGACTACTTTTCCAGCAGAGGCCCGAAGGATGGTGTGACACAGCTCGGTAGAGAAATGTACTTTCTTAGATTGGATTTCCTTCCATGAGTGGCACAGTTCTAAGTACTCACTCTCTTAATGAACATCAGCTACAAACTCTTTGAAAATGGAGGAGAGGGAATAGGAACTTAAAAAACCCAATATAACAAAACAAAAACCTACAACCATTGGATTCATACAAAGACGACGGAATGAAGACTTGCCTGTTTTATCACAGCTGCATAGAGGGAGAAGCCAAAGCAGCCAGGCACTGCCTGTTTAGATATGTCCACGGACGCTGTCATTGATATTTAATCATCTGCTCACACACAGGAAGGGAGATCAGTTACTATGGTACTTTGATTGTGTTCAGCTCAATTGCCATGTTACAAAAACGGCAAGATGCCGTAATAAAAATAAGGCTCCTCGGGCTGGGAAGGTGGCTCAGTGGTAGAGCGCTTGCCTTGCATGCATGAGGCTCTGGGTTCGATTCCTCAGCACCACATAAGCAAAAAGAAAAAAGCTGGAAGTGGCGCTGTGGCTCAAGTGGTAGAGTGCTAGCCTTGAGCTGAAGAGCGCCCAGGCCCAGAGTTCAGGACCCACAACCGGACCCAAAAAAAATAAATGGCTCCTCTACCCAGCACTGGTTAATTCACTTTCAAGCCATGCACAGCATAACCATATCCAAAGATGGTGAAGAAGAAGCATTTTGATGCGTTAACTGGACCCACACATTGTTCAGGTTCAGCTATTTATTCCTCTGTGGCATTACATTTTTCCTATTTTTGGTGTTTCACCTAATCATAGAGGTTTTTAGATCTAAGTTGTGTGCCTTTAAGAACTATGGGCATATATCCGTATATACATTCTGACTGAAGAGACATATCCATCCACTGAGCGAATACTGTATAGGTGACAGCTTGCAAAGCCCCGTTTTAACTGGTGCAGCAGTTGTGTGTTAATAGCTCCTGTGTACAAAGTGCACCGCCAGACTCTAATACAAGATGTTGCAGAACACATTACCTTGAGGATTATTCATGGGGCTGGGAAGGTGGCTCAGGTGGAGGAGTGCTTGCCTGCATGCGTGAGGCCATGGGTTCAATTCCTCAGCACCACATAAGCAGAAAAAGCTGGAAGTGGTGCTGTGGTTCAAGTGGTAAAGCACTAGCCTTGAGCTGAAGAGCTGAGGGACAGCGCCCAGGCTCAGAATTCAGACTCCACGACCGACAAAAAAAAAAAAAGATTATTCACTAGCATTCAATGTAAGTTTTTTTTTTTCTTCTCCTCTAATAGCTATCTGTTCCTTTTTGTTTTTTTTTTTCTTTTTTTGTCATGAAGCTTGAACTTGGGGTCTGGGTGCTGTCTCAGAGCCTTTTGCTCGAGGCTAGTGCTCTACCACTTTGAGCCACAGTTCCACTTCTGGATTTCTGGTGGTTCATTGGAAATAGGAGTTATGGACTTTCCTGCCTGGGCTGGTTTTGAACCATGATCCTCAATCTCAGCCTCCTGAGTAGCTGGGATTACAGGTATGAGGTACCAGCACGGGGCATTTTTGGATCCTCTTGGGACAGAGTCTTTCTTCCCATTCTGTGATGATTGCTTCCTGTTTTGGGTCGAGGCCAGTAAGGCACAGATAAAAACATACTTGGGTATCTGTAGGCTCCATGTTAAATGTGCACTTTCCACAAGTAGCCTGTTTTTTATTTGAATGGGTTTATACAACATTTGAAATTGGAAGTTTTTAGTTTATCTTGTGAAATTTAATTAAAATATTTAATTTTTTTTTTTCAGAGGTCGAAATAGTAACAAAGGACTGCCTCAGTCTTCGGTGAGTAACATAAATTTCTTCAGAAAAATTGGTAGTTGAAACATTTCATAGACTAAATGTCAAGGCAATAGAAAAATTCTTTGAGTTTTGTTTATTTTTTGTTTTTTATTTTTTGTTGGTCATAGTTCTTGAACTCTGGGCCTGGGCGCTGTCCCTCAGCTCCTCAGCTCAGGGCTAGCACTCTACCACTTGAGCCACAGCACCACTTCTGGTTTTTCTAGTGGTTTATTTGAGATAAGAGTTTCACAGACTTTCCTGCCTGGGCTGTATTTGAACTGCAATCCTCAGATCTCAGCCTCCTGATTTGCTAGAATTATAGGTGTGAGCCATTGTTGCTCTGCTCTTTTTTTTTTTGTGACAGTCCTGGGGCTTGAACTCTGGGCCTGGGTGCTGTCCCTGAGCTCTTCAGCTCAAGGTGAACACTCTACCACTTAAACCACAGTGCCATTTCCATTTTTCTGGTGTTAATTGGAGATAAGAGTCGCACAAACTTTCCTGCCTGGTCTGGCTCTGAACCGTGATCCTCAGATCTCAGCTTCCTGAGTAGCTAGAATTATGTTCACCGGCATCCGGCTTCAAATCTTTCTTATAAAAAGATAAGTCTTAACTTTAATATTTATACAGCTATATATGTATATTCATCTCTAATAGTGCTTTTTTTAATATTACAGATTTCTTTTGACGGAATCTATGCAAATATGCGGATGGTTCATATACTTACATCAGTTGTTGTAAGTTATCAAATTATTGTCTGAAGTTAAGATGTGAATGATTTTCCAGTAGTATTTATTAGATCATTAGAGTTCTTTGTCCAATTAGTACATTATAAACATTGATGGTGTCCTATTATGGATAAAATACTGTTTATGGTTGCTTGTCTATTGTCTGCAGCTGTCAGCATGGTCAGAAGGGTCAGGCATTAGTATTTAAAGTCACACCATAAACTCTTTGAGTAAGGCCTCAGGAATCTTGACAGTTCAATACATTGTTACTGTTTTCAAAGTTTTTAATCATTCTATCAGTGAGTACCTAATAATGAATGAAATCTTACAAGCTATAAAAAATGAAATGAAAATACCACTGGTAGAGGCTAGCATACTATATATTAATTTAATTGTATATTTTTAGGGATCCAAATGTGAAGTACAAGTGAAGAATGGAGGTATATATGAAGGAGTTTTTAAAACATACAGTCCCAAGGTAATATTTAAGTCTTTAACTTTTTATTATATGTACTGCTGTATGTATATATGTCAGTTTCTGATGATCAGTTTCTGGCTTAGCTGTTTGTGGTGATGAGCTCATTGTATTTGTTCTTAGGTAGCTTTCTAACAGTAAAAGAAGAGTTTCCCTCTTTTTATGTGTCAGTCCTAGGGCTTGTTCTCAGGACCTGGGTGCTGTTGCATACGTTTGTTTTGTTGTTGTTGTTTGTTTCAGTTGTGGGTGCTCCCTGGGCCTCCCTGTGCTCAAGGCTAGTGCTGTTGAGCCAGAACACCACTTCTGGTTTTTGCATGGTTAACGAGATGAGTCTTATTAATTTGGGGACTTTTGAGGTGGCTGGTGGATCAAAGCTCTGGAAAAGGAGTGTGATTTTCTTGGGTCCGGTCATGGGGCCTGAACTCTGGGCCTGGGCACTGTTCCTCAGCTCTTCAGCTCAAGGCTAGCGCTCTACCACTTGAGCCACAGCGCCACTTCCGGCTTTGTTTTTTTTCTTCTGCGTATGTGGTGCTGAGGAATCGAACCCAGGGCCTCATGCATGCAAGGCCAGGGCTCTACCACTGAGCCACCTTCCCAGCCCAAGGAGTGTGATTTTTCAAGTTATCTTGATAAGTCTCTGGGAGTAGTGATTTTTGCCAAATGCATTTGAGAATAGCCCCTTGATCTAAGGGATAAGGAATCCCTACTCAAGTTTATTTATATTTTTTAATTATTTTATGGGGGGGGGTCATGGGCTTGACCTCGGGTATCATTACCTTTTTTTTGGGGGGGGGTTCCAGTTGTGTGGCCTGAACTCTAGGCCTGGGCGCTGTCCCTCAGCTCTTTAGCTCAAGGCTAGCGCTCTACCACTTGAGCCACAGCACCACTTCTGGTTTTCTGAGTGGTTTATTGGAGATAAGAATCCATTGGACTTTTGTGCCAGGGCTGGCTTTGAACTGCAGTCCTCAGATAGCAGCCTCCTGAGTAGCTAGGATTTCAGGCATGAGCCAGCGATGCCCGGCTATTAGTTTATTTTGTACGTTTTTTTTTGTTTTTTTTTTGTCAGTTGTGGGGCCTGTACTCTGGGCCTGGGCATTGTCCCTGAGCTCTTTAGCTCTTAGCTCAAGGCTTGTGCTCTACCACTTGAGCCACAGCGCCACTTCCGGCTTTTTCTGCTTATGAGGTGCATGCAAGGCAAGCACTCTACCCCTGAGCCAACTTCCCAGCCCCTATTTGTACATTTTTGTAACACTCATTTCTCATTTTAGTGTGATTTGGTACTTGATGCTGCACATGAGAAAAGTACAGAATCCAGTTCGGGGCCAAAACGTGAAGAAATAATGGAGAGTATTTTGTTCAAATGTTCAGACTTCGTTGTGGTACAGTTTAAAGATATGGACTCCAGTTATGCAAGAAGAGGTGAGCTTCCATTTCCTAAATCTGCCCTGAGGGTTATCTGATTTAATCAATCAGGGATTCTTCACTTTGGTCATACAGACCTTTTGTAACACAGAAGTAATACGCTTTTTAGAATGCTACAATTAAAAGACAGAAACATGATTAAAAGAAAAGAAAAAGGGCCAGGTGTGGCTCATGCCTGTAATCCTACTTATTCAGGAGGCAGAGATGAGATCAGGGTTTAAAGCCTGCCGGTGCAAGATAGTGGGAGAGCAGAAGCAGCACTGAGCCTTAAGTGACAGTGATGACAGTGACGGTGAGGCCCGAGCTCAGCCCCACCAGCAAAAAGAAAGGGATTTCAGCGCATTTTTATTGACAACAAATAGAAAACCTAAAACTAAATCACAAGTATTTTGTTAGAGTAGAACAAAAGTGTAGTATATAAAGAAGGTAATGATAAAGTAACGTTTTAAACTTGGGTTAAGAGATTTTTGTGTTTTTTTCGGTCGTTTTGGGGGCTTGAACTCAAGGTCCCTGAGCTTTTTTGCTAGCACTTTTATCACTTTGAGAATCTAAAGCAAACCCAGGCAGGAAAATCCTTCAGACTCATCTCCAATTAATCACCAAAAAGCCAGAATTGGAGCTCAAGTGGTAGAGCATTAGCCTTGTGCAAAAAAACTCATAGAAAAAAAAAAAAACTCATAGACAGCACTCAGTCCCTGAGTTCAAGCTCCAGGACTGGCACACACATATACACAAAAAAGTTTTATGGTAAAAGCAGTGGTTTCAACACAGTGACACAGACTCAGAGTCAAATTACTAGTTAAAGTTCTATAATCCTACCTGCTCTGGAGTAGTGATGGGAAGGATCACAGTCTGGTGGCAGCCTGGGCAAAACGTTTGTGATGACCCATCTCAGCCTATAAGAAATTGAGGGTTAGTTGGGCGCCGGTGGCTCACGCTTGTAATCCTAGCTACTCAGGAGGCTGAGATCTGAGGATCATGGTTCAGACCTAGCTGGGGCAGGAACATCCTTGAAATTTTTTTTTTGGGGGGGGCGGGGGGCTGGTCATGGGGCCTGAACTCTGGGCTGGGCGCTGTCCCTCAGCTCTTCAGCTCAAGGCTAGCGCTCTACCACTTGAGCCACAAGCGCCACTTCCAGCTTTTTTCTTTTTGCTTATGTGGTGCTGAGGTGCCAGGGCCTCAGGCATGCAAGGCAAGCGCTCTACCACTGAGCCACCTCCCCAGCTCCCTTGAAACTCTTATGTCCAATTAACCACCAGAAAACCGGAAGTGGTACTGAGGCTCAAGTGATAGAGCTGAAGAGCTGTGGGACAGCTCCTAGGCCCAGAGTTGAAGCCCCATGACCAATCATAAAAAGAAAGAAAGAAAGAAGGAAGGAAGGAGAGAGAGAAAGAAAAGAAAAAGAAAAAAGGAGGGAAGGGAGGAAGAAAGGAAAGAATCTGAGTGTTATATGGCATATATACCTATCATCTTAGCTATATCAGAAGTATAAATAGATAAATCAATAACTGAGTTGGCTTGGGCATTAAAGTGCAACCCTATTCAAAACAAAAAGAGGTTAGGACATGGCTCAAGTCATGCAGCCACTTATTTGGCAAGTAAAAGTTCTTGAGTACAAATCCTAATGCCTCCCCTCTCCCCTCTCCCTTCTTTCGTTTTCCCATGTGCCAGTCTAAGGGTTTGAACTCAGGGCCTGGGCACTAACCTTGAGCTTCTTTTTTTCAAGGCTAGTGCTTTACCAATTCAGTCACAGGTCTACCTCAGCTCTTTCTTTTTTTGGTTGGTCGTGGGGCTGAACTCTGGCCTGGGCACTGTCCCTCAGCTCTTCAGCTCAAGAAGCTCCCCTACCACTTGAGCCACAGCACCACTTTCTGCTTTTCTGCTTATGTGGTGCTGAGGGATCGAACTCAGGGCCTCATACATGGAAGGCAAGCACTCTACCACCTAGCCACCTTCCCAGCCCCCTTGAGTCTCTTATCTCCAATAAACCACCAGAAAACCAGTAGTGGTGCTCAACTGGTAGAGCACTAGCCTTGAGCTGATAGAGCTGAGGGACAGCACCCAGGTCTAGAGTTAGAGCCACCCAACCAACAAAAAAGAAAAGAAAAAGATTACAGCATTGTAAAACAAGCGTGTTGTTCCTAGTACTAGAGGATTGCAAGTATGAGACCAGCTTATACAGAGCAAACTCCTGTATCAAAAGAGCAAAAACACAACAAAAGAGAAAAGGAAATAAAAAACTTATACCAGAAGCACTGCAATTTTTTTTTTTTTTTCCAGTTGTGGGGCCTGAACTTTGGGCCTGGGTGCTATTCCTCAGCTCTTCAGCTCAAGGCAAGTGGTCAACCACTTGAGCCATAGCATCACTTTTGGTTTTCTGGTGGTTTATTGGAGATAAGTGTCTCATAGACTTTCCTGCCCGGGCTGGCTTTGAACCGTGATCCTCAGATCTCAGCCTCCTGAGTAGCTAAGATTTCAGGCATGAGCCATTGGTGCCTGGCTCCCTGAACTTTTTTTATTTTTATTTTTATATTTTGGTCTGATCGCGGGACCTGAACTCTGGGCCTGGGCACTGTCTCTCAGCTCTTCAGCTCAAGGCTAGTGCTCTACCACTTGAGCCACAGCGCCACTTCCGGCTTTTATCTTTTTGCTTATGTGGTGCTGAGGAATCGAACCCAGGGACTCATGCATGCAAGGCAGGCGCTCTACCACTGAGCCACCTTCCCAGCCCCTCCCTGAACTTTTATGCTCAAGGCTAGTGCTTAACCATTTAAGGCACAGCTCCACTTCTAGTTTTTTTGGTGCTTAATTGGAGATAAGAGTCTCAGGGACCTCCTTGTCCAGGTTGGTTTTGAATGTGATCCTTAGATCTCAACCTGCATATCTGGGATTACAGGTATGAGCTGTGAGCACCTGCTCATTTTATAATTTTGTTGTTGTTGTTGGTCTTGGGGCTTGATGTCGTCCTTCAGCTCAAAGCTAGTGCTCTACCACTTTGAGCCACAGTGCCATTTCCGGTTTTCTGGAGGTTAATTGGAGATCAGAGTCTCACGTGCTTTCCTGCCTGGGCTGGCTTAGAACGGCAATCATAAGATTTCAGCCTCTTGAGTAGCTTGGATTAGTTAGGATTACAGATGTGAGCCTCCAGCACCAGGCTTAGTTTATAATTTTTTTTTTTTTTTTTTTTTTTTTGGGGTCCGGTCGTGGGCCCTGAACTCTGAGCCTGGGCTCTGTCCCTGAACTCTTCAGCTCAAGGCTAGCACTCTACAACTTGAGCCACAGCACCACTTCCGGCTTTTTTCTTTTTGCTTATGTGGTACTGAGGAATCGAACCCAGAGCCTCAAGCATGCAAGGCAAGCGCTCTACCACTGAGCCACCTTCCCAGCCCCTAGTTTATAATTTTTATAAATTGAACTTGTATGTATTTGCACCCTAACTCTAGCATTTTACTTAATAGACTGTAATTCAAAAAAAAGTTCTCAGTGTGAGTGAGTTTCTTGAAGCATAATTGAGAAGCATAATGTTGAGGAACAAAATACCCTGTTTCCTGTGTAATCGGGGGATACCCTCAAAAGAGGAACCTTTCTGTTTAGGCTTTTCATCGTGACTGCCACCAGATGGCATCACTGGCCCTGGACTGCTGGGTTCTGCTTGAACGCAAGGAAGTGTCAAAGGTTTGGCTACTGGGTGGCCGCAGCAGATAGGGGAATAATCTTGAGCCTTTTTTCCCTTCTGTTATGGAAGAACTTGTGAATTGGATATTTGTAAGTCGGGGAGTAAAGCCAGAAAGAGCCAAATATTTCTTTCTCCCCCCCCCCCCCCCCCCGTCCTCCCTCCGCCGTCATGGGGCCAGCATGCTGTCCCTGCGCTCTTCACCTCAAGGTGAGCGCTCTACCTCTTGAGCCACAGCGCCACTTCCGGTTTTCTAGTGGTTTTATTGGAGATCTGAGTCTCACGGACTTTTCTGCCTGGTTTGGCTTTGAACCATGATCCTCAGATCTCAGCCTCCTGAGTAGCTAGGATTACAGGCGTGAGCCACCGGTGCCCGGCTTCACTCATCTTTAAAAGAAACAACTTTGGGAGAAAGGTCAGAATCACAGAAATTGCACTTATTTTCCCTCCCCCCACTTTTCCCTTGAAACCATACTGCTGGTTGCAGTAATATTTAATCCCATTATAGAATGTATCATAAATAGGACATTTAAGATATAGAACTCTTAACCTAATTTGGTCGGCAAGGAAAAGCTGTTTTAGTTCTTACCTGCTGGTCCACATTGGCTTCTATTTGGAGATCTTTAATTGAAGCTGTTAAGAATCATACTGTGGGCTGGGAATGTGGCTTAGTGGTAGAGTGTTTGCCTAGGATGCATGAAATCATGGATTCGATTCCTCAGTACCACATAAACAGAAAAGGCCAAACTTGGTGCTATAGGTCAAGTGGTAGAGTGCTAGCCTTGAGCAAAAGAAGCTTAGTGAGTTTCCCAAGGACTAAAATTCAAAGTCTGCCAAGACAGCAAAGTCCACAGGATTCTTTTTTTTTTTTGTCAGTTATGGGGCTTGAACTCTGGGCCTGAGTGCTGTCCCTCAGCTCTTCAGCTTAAGGGGAGCACTCTACCACTTGAGCTATAGCACTACTTCCAGTTTTCTAGTGGTTTATGGGGAGATAAGAGTTTCACAGACTTTCCTGCCCAGGCTGGCTTTGAACCACGATCATCAGATCTCAGCCTCCTAAGTAGCTAGGATTACAGGCATGAGCCACCTGCGCCCGGCTTTTTTTTTTTTTTTTGTCCGGTCGTGGGACCTGAACTCTGGGCCTGGGCATTGTCCCTCAGCTCTTCAGCTTAATTAAGGCTAGTACTCTACCACTTGAGCCACAGCGCCACTTTCAGCTTTTTCTGCTTATGTGGTGCTGAGGAATCGAACCCAGGGCCTCATGCATGCAAGGCAAGCGCTCTACCACTGAGCCACCTCCCAGCCCCCATAGGATTCTTTATGTCCTGTTAACTACCAAAAAGCTGGAAGTAGAGTTGTAGCTGAAGTGGTAGAATGCTAGATTTGAGCAAAAAAAATTTCAGGGAAGGTGCCCAGACCCTGAGTTCAGCCACAGGCACATACACACATGCACATGCACACATACACACAGATATCAACACTAATGTGAGTAAACATTTAACCGAATCTTACATTTAAATTCTATCATTTATACAGAAATTAGTGTGACTACTTTCATATTTTCTCTAGTTTTGTTTCTAGTGTTTTTTTGGTTTTGTTTTTGGTTGGTCATGGGGTTTGAACTCAGAGCCTGGGTGCTGTCCCTGAGCTCTTTTGCTCAATGGTAACAGTCTACCACTTCGAGCCACAGCTCCACTTCTACTTTTTGAGTGATTAACTGAAGATAAGAGTCCTATGGGGACTCTTCTGCCTGGCCTGGCTTCAGACTCTTGATCCTTGCCTAGCTAGGATTACAGGTATGAGCCACAAGTGCCCTGCTCTATTTTTTTTAAAGGAAATTTGGAATTCTAATATAAATTATTGTTTCTTGGAAACATTTGTTATTCTTAAAAATCCACATGAATATTTAGTGTTTTCCAAGAATTCACTGATGGTTAAGATGCCATAGATTGGTCCTATAGGGATTGATTTTGCCAGTGTCTAATAAGGGTTTGGAGCCATCTATGGCTTTCAGTGTGATGTTGGGTAGTGACAATCTCTTTTTTTTTTTTTTGGGTCCGGTTGTGGGGCCTGAACTCTGGACTGGGCGCTGTCCCGCAGCTCTTCAGCTCAAGGCTAGTGCTCTACCACTTGAGCCACAGCGCCACTTCTGGCTTTTGTCTTTTTTCTTATGTGGTGCTAAGGAATAGAACCCAGGGCCTCAGGCATGCAAGGCAAGCGCTCTACCACTGAGCCACCTTCCCAGCCCGTGACAATCTCTTATACAGAAGCACTTCATGAATTTTCCAAAGTGCAGCCCGGAATGTCACAATGAAATCCTCCCCTTGCCTAGCTAATATATGCTAAAACAAACATGCAAACAACAGAACAAGCATGTCCAGGGTCAGCCTTGTTGTAGTGAATGTGGCATCCCATTCTGTGTTCTTGGTCCAGGCTGTCTTAATGCCCTGTGCTGTGTTCTTGCTCTGGGCTCTCTTGAGCTGTCTTGAAGCTGCTTGCCATTGGGGGCTGGTGGAGCTGCTAGTGGAGTCCTTTGGTGCATCAGAAATCTATTCCCTTAACATGCATGCACATACTCTCACCCCACCCCAGTTTGGGGTATGAAGAGGTTACAGTTCACTCAGCTTTTAGTGTTCTACCCCCTTGAATATGGGAATATGGGAACATGGTAGAATGACAATCAGAGAAGGAGTACCATATTAAAACTCCTCTAATTGCCTCATGGAAGAAAAGTGGATGGCTTAGGTTAGCTATGTAATCTGAAGTACAGATTAGCCTAGCACAGTGCTGGAAGCCCATAGATGAGAAGCATTGTCCCTTAGCTGGTGGCAGGTGGCCCACTGAGTCTGCATATGGGAAAGCAAGTCTGTGTCTAGCCATTTCCTAGATATTAGCTGTCTCACGGAGCCTTAACTGCCAGTGGAGAACATTGGCTCTGTTTGACAGCATAGAGGTGCCTTGCTATTCTTACAAGCCAGTGCTCTCCCATACTGTGACGGGCCAAGAGGAGAGGACACAAATGCAAACTCCTTCACAGGAGTCCAGGTAGGTCTGCCACCTGTATCCTCTTGAGACAGGTAGTAGCACTGTGCCAACCAGGGCTGTGAAGGGTCACTTAGAATGCTTTCACTTACTGTTTTAAGTGTTTTGAATACTGATCACTGCAGTGAGCATGGATGTAAAGTTGAAAACCATATAATTGGCGACAATTACTCTGAAGGTAGATGTAACTAATGGATCCATTAATCAAAAGAGAATAGACTTTGTTTTGAGATAGATATAGAAAGTTTCTGGATCACTGTTGAAACATACATTATAATTAATGTAATTACAAATTGCCTGAGCATGTTACAATGTATAATGACTCAAAATTAAGACAAAAATACAGGCTGGGTGCTGGTGGCTCACGCTTGTAATCCTAGCTCCTCAGAAGGCTGAGATCTAAGGATCAGGGTTCAAAGTCAGCCCGGGCAGGAAAGGCTAAGATTCTTATCTCCAACAAACCACTCAGAAAACATAAGTCGCTCTGTGGCTCAAGTGGTAGAGCACTCGCCTTGAGCTAAAGAGTTGAAGGATAGAACCTAGGCCCAGAGTTCAAGCCCATGACCGACCAAAAAAAAAAAAAAAGGCAAAAATACAGTATTCATCCATGATATATTTGCTGAAATTGTTTGAAAGTATTTTGTTAATGAAGTTTCTATAGCAGAAACTTCCTCATTACCAATAATGAGGAAAAGTGATAATTGATTAGTGATAATTGATATATAGATTAGTGTAGCCTGCCGTCTGATTGATCTTTCCACCTAAATCATTCTTTGCAGATGCTTTCACTGACTCTGCTATCAGTGCTAAAGTGAATGGTGAGCACAAGGAGAAGGACCTGGAGCCCTGGGATGCCGGGGAACTCACAGCCAGTGAGGACCTCGAGGCTTTGGAAAATGATGTTGTAAGTGGGGTCTTTGAAGCTGGCTACTAGAAGGAGGTGGTTGCTTTGGTAGGCGTATGGCATCCTATCACTGGTTTTAATTTAAGTGGGTTTCTGTTATTGTAGAAACATTTACAGTTGCAGTTGTGGTGTAAATAGAGACTTTTCTCAGGCAGTTGAGGACTAAGCAGGAAGTGCCATCTGTTTTTATGCCTGTGAATTATTTCTTTATAATTAAGTGATATATATTAAGCAACTTAATAATTTAAACTGGACAGTCTGAGTGTTTTACTTTTGATACCTGTAGAGTAAGACATTCCAGGAACAATGATGTTTCTTCTTTGAGAAAGAGAGGTACTCATCATTTAGACAAAATCAGCACATTTCATGAAACCTTTTTTTGGTGGTACTATCTCAGGATCTGAGCTTGCTGAGCAGGTGCTCTGCTATTTGAGCCATGTCTCCAGCTCCTTTGATTCCCTGAGCTCTTGACTTCCCAAGTAGGATTACAGACTTGAGCCACCACACCAGACTGCATATCTATTTTTAAAATGCCAGTAGGGGGCTGGGAAGGTGGCTCAGTGGTAGAGTGCTTGCCTTGCATGCCTGAGGCCCTGGGTTCGATTCCTCAGCACCACATAAGCAAAAAGAACAAAGCTGGAAGTGGCACTGTGCTCAAGTGGTAGAGCGCTAGCCTTGAGCTGAAGAGCTGAGGGACAGCGCCCAGGCCCAGAGTTCAGGCCCCATGACCAGACCCAAAAAAAAAAAAATGCCAGTGGGCTGGGAATGTGGCTTAGTGGTAGGTGTTTGCCTCCCATGCACAAAGCCCTAGGTTTGATTCCTTAGTACCACATAAACAAAGCCGGAAGTGGCACTGTGGCTCAAGTGATGGAGTGCTGGCTTTGAGAAAAAGTAGGTCAAGGACAGTGCCCAGGCGCTAAGTTCAAGCCCCAGGATTGGCAAAAAAAGAAAAAAGAAAAATTAAAAAAAGAAAATGCAGGCCAGTGTTCATGCCTATAATCCTAGCTACTCAGGAGCTGCAATCCAAAGAGCTGCGCAAGGGAATGTGGGGCTGAAGGGTGGATTTTAAGGGAAGCTCAAAGGCTGACACTGCCCTCAGCAGCTCTTAGGTGGTGCTCGTTCTACTCTGCTGAGATGAATATTAGCTACATCTAGATCTCACCCCTTTGGCCACTCTGACTTTAAAAGAAGAGTTGATATGCCCATGCTTTTGAGGGTTCTTTGTTTCTCCTATGTCCTTTATGCAATAAGACTTAGCTAAAGAGAGATTATAAATTAGGGCATGGAGATCTACAATTGTTATTGCTGAGGTCTTTCAACTGCAGATGGCTAAAGTCCTAATATTGAGCTCTTGAGACATGGCTTACTAATTCTTTGCTTGCTGCCTCATGCTGTCTTTCCTCCAGTCATTTTTATGAGAGAAAGGAGCAACTGAGAAGGAGGGCGAGCACCTGTAGAAACACGCACTGGGGCAGACATTGGCTGTTCTTTTCCTTTAAGCACTGAGAATATTTTTGGCTCTCAGAGCACTTTTTGGTTGGGTTTGGTTGGGTTTGGCTGTGTGCTAGCCCTGGGGCTTGAACTCAGTGCCTGGGCATTATCTCTGACTTTTTCGTGCTCTACCAATTAAGCCACAGTTCTACTTCCAGCTTTTTGGTAGTTAACTGGAGATAATTAGACTTTCCTGCCTGGGCTGATCCTCAGATCTAAGCCCATTGAGTAGATTAGACAAGAATGAGCTACCTGCTCCTGGCTTCAAAGGCAATTCTGAAGTTGGATGTGGACCTGATGGTTGTCCACTCCTATGATCCTAGCACTTGGAAAAGTTAAAGGCTAGCAAGGAGTCGTTCTCAAAGAAACACAAATAGAAGTTACCTCTTGATGATTGTCCTCTGAAGAGTTTCAAGAAACTGGTGTCTGCTGATAAATAGGAAAGTGACTGTAGATAGAAAACATCCTGATAACTAATTGTCCTATGTGGTTACTTACCAATTTGAGTAGCTATAAATACAAGAAAAGTTTCTCCTTAAAACAGTTTTTTTAAACATTTTTAAAGGGAAAGTTTTGCTTGTCTTTTTTAACTTTGTAAATACAGCCAGTATAGTTTGCTAAATGTTGTTAACTGAAATAGTAACTGAATTAAAGAAAATAAATTCTTGGTTGTTTTGTAAAGTAAGCCTCATTTTCTTCTAGTCTAATGGGTGGGACCCCAATGATATGTTTCGATACAATGAAGAAAATTATGGTGTGGTGTCTACGTATGACAGCAGTTTATCTTCATACACGTGAGTTTGCTTTGGCACATTTTAAAAGTTTTCATCAGGCTGGGCACCAGTGGCTCAAGCTCTAATCCCAGCAACTCAGGAGGCTGAGATCTGAGGATTGTGGTTCAAAGCCAGCCCAGGGAGGAAAATCCACAAGACTTTTTTTTTTTTTTTTTTCTTTTCCAGAGCTAAGGACCGAACTCAGGGCCTTGCGTTTGCCAGGCAGGTGCTCTTCCGCTGAGCTAAACCCCCAGCCCCAAGTCCACGAGACTCTTTATCTCCAATAAACTACTCAGAAAAAGCCAGAACTGGCGCTGTGGCTCAAGTGGTAGAGCACTAGCCTTGAGCACAGAGAGGCTCAGGGACAGAGCCCAGGCTCTGAGTTCAAGCCTCAGGACTGCCCGCCCCCCCCCCCCCCCCCCCCAAAAAAATCATCAGCTCCAATTATGATGCTGAATAAACGTTTGTTAGATTATTTGTTTGTCGGTTGTGGGATTTGAACTCTGGATCTGGGCACTGTCCCTCAGCTCTTCAGCTGAAGGCGAGCATTCTACCACTTGAGCCACAGCGCCACTTCCAGTTTTCTGGTGGTTTATTGGAGATAAGAGACTCATGAACTTTTCTGCCTGGGCTGGCTTTGAACTGTGATCCTCAGATCTCAGCCTCCTGAGTAGTTAGGATTATAGACATGAGCCATTGGCGCCAGGCAATCTACCTAATTTTTGAAGTATTAAATGTTCTTCCATGTAAAAGATAACATAAAAATTAAAACTTACAGCTGAGCATGTGGCTTAGAGGTAGAGTGCTTGCCTAGCATGCATGAAGCCCTGGGTTTGATTCCTCAGTAACACATAAACAGAAAAGGCCAGCAGTGGTGTGGCTCAAGTGGTACAGTGCTAGCCTTGGGCACAGAAGCTCAGGGACAGCGCCTAGGCCTCAGGATTGGCAAAAACAAAAAGCCTCAAACTTAACGATTTATAAAATATAGTAGTAGTGTCTATAATTTTTCTAATATCCCAAACTAAAATTTCTTAATAATTGTTGGTGGCAGATGCAAACTATGACTTTAATTGCTTCTCTTTTCATCTTTTAGGGTACCGTTAGAAAGGGATAATTCAGAAGAATTTTTAAAACGGGAAGCAAGGGCAAACCAGTTAGCAGAAGAAATTGAGTCCAGTGCTCAGTACAAAGCTCGGGTGGCTCTGGAAAACGATGACAGGAGCGAGGAAGAAAAATACACGGCCGTTCAGAGAAACTCCAGTGACCGGGAGGGGCACAGTGTGAGCACCAGGTTTGTAAAGGAAAGCATAATGCAATACACAACTCAAGGTCTGCATGAGATGGCATATTATTACCTTCCTTCCTTCGTGAGGCTTAGGTAGAGAATGGGTAGAGAATTGGTTTAAGGTTGCGCTAGAAGAAAGGCACCGGGTGTCACACACATGATAAGGACAAACCTAGGTCTGGAAGCACTCATTCCAGAATAACAGTTAGAGGGAACATGTGCACTACTGCAGCAGCTGTGCACTGTGTTCTGGCCAAGTGGCCTGAGAGCCGAGAGAGCGTCCAGTGTGAAGAGCAGGGCGGCTGTCCTGTCAGAAACATCTCAGTGAGGAGGTGGCATTTCGTGCTAGGGTAAGAAGAGAGTAATGAGAGATTAACTTCTTGCACCCTGAGCATGATCTTGTGTGTGCTGGGTCTAGAGCACAGGGCTGTGTGATGAGTGCTGTGGTGGCAGGTGGTGAGAGGCTCTGCGATCATGGGAGGACTTGTTGGACATGGGGAGCGGTGCCCGGTAGGTGGGGTGAGGAGGGAACTCTCTGTTCTACAGCACCGAGGACTGTGGTGTGCTGCAGAAATTCAACCTAGAGAACTTGGTAAGCAACTTGATGGTGGCTAGTGGCCCAAAAGTTAGAAAAAGGTTAGTTACCAAATGACTGGCAGTATGATGTGTGTGTTTGATAGTAGAGATAGGAAACATGGAGTGAGTTTCAGGGGAGAAAATAGTGGTTTGGTTTGTGCCGTTTCTTGCATTTAAATGACTTAGGGGTATTTCATTTGTTCATAAATAAATATGGGGCAGCACCTACTATATGACTGATAGTCCCTGGGGCACCCACAGCTCACAGTGTGGCTGCCAGAGCTGGCAAATCCAACGGGACACACGGAGATTAGAGGCACATCATCAGTGCAGATCCAAAAAGCAAGCAGGAAATCCCAGAGAAAAATGAAGTGAAAGGGAACAAGGACTCCCCTCCCCTTACCCACTCTCCCATTAAAAAAAAGAAAAAGCCTTTTAAGAGCGACACCCTTGCAGATGGTGCCAGCCGTGGAGAGGAGGGAGCCCTGCAACAGCTAGGCACTTGGGTAATGGAAGAGCAGTGACGTTTGTGGGACTTCTGCCTAAGCTACTTTAAGATGTTTCGTTGGCCTACTATATTTTAGGAAAAACTGATGTCTGGGGGATCTCTCATTTTCAGGGAAAATAAATATATTCCTCCTGGACAAAGAAATAGAGAAGTCATGTCGTGGGGAAGTGGGAGACAGAATTCACCACGCATGGGCCAGCCGGGGTCAGGCTCCGTGCCTTCCAGATCTGCGTCTCACACTTCAGAGTTCAACCCGAGTTCTGGTGCAGACCAAAGAGTAGTTAATGGAGGCAAGTATCTTCACCAAATTTGTCAGTGTGACTGATCAAATATAGAGATTTCAGATATTTCAAGGAGTTTACATAATTGATAGACTTGCGCATACCATTAATGATTTTTGTGGAACTTTCACTTAAACGTTATTTAGTTTACTTTTGTGGATATCAAATTAGTGAACTGTTTATAAGTCACAGCCCAATCCCGCATGACAAAATGCTCACTAAGATGACATGTTAAATTAATTGTAGACATTTACTTAGCAAACATAGTCCACACAGAAGAAATTGGAAACTTTGAGCAAGTTCACAAAAAAACACTGAAAACTCAAAATATTTAGACAATAATACAGATTTACTTTCAGGGACTGTGTTTATAGTCTTGCTTACTTTGAGGTAATTTATAATATAGACATGACCAAGAGTCATGTGAAGAAAGTAATGACAGAATTGTGCTAAAAAGACACAAAAAATTTAGCCTTTGAGGGTGGGGTGCAGTTCAGCAGCTTAGGTTAAAGAAACTTGCATCTATAGTGGGAAGGTGTTTTCTCTTTTTTTTGGGGGGGGGGGGGTCTGGTTGTGGGGCCTGAACTCTGGGCCTGGGCGCTGTCCCTCAGCTCTTCAGCTCAAGGCTAGCGCTCTACCACTTGAGCCACAGCAACACTTCTGGCTTTTTTCTTTTTGCTTATGTGGTGCTGAGGAATCGAACCCAGGGCCTCGAGCATGCAAGGCAAGCGCTCTACCACTGAGCCGCCTTCCCAGCCCCAGGGAAGGTGTTTTCTGTAACACCTCTAAGGCAGGGTGAACATAGCTTACCAGTTACAGATAGATAATAGATAAAATTCTGTGATGCCGAATGGTATAGAAATAGGGCAATTAATAACAGCAATAGGGTGTTACTAACTCAAGGACGAGCCGTTTTTCATTTCTAGGCATGTACATTTGCAAAGTTAGATAAAAATAGAGAACACTGAAGTTTCCAATTTCATTTATTTTCATTGAATCTTTTCTCCAGAATTCCTCTCCAAATGAACACTCTTGAGTATTTTCTTACTTAGAAATGGGAATGAAATGTCTTTGGTCATGGAGTAAAGATTTGTAGTTGTTTATAAGCAGAATTTTCAAATAACCTGAAGGGGGCTGGGAAATGAATGATACTCAAGTGTGTGGAGTCGTCTGGAGAGGAGACCTGGACTGTTAGCACAGGCTGAGGTGAGTGATCTATAGCAGTGCTGTCAGCGGTGCTGGGTGCTGTGCACCCATCAGCCGCTTGATACACTGCTGTAGAGGTGCATGGTGTGTGGACTCAGTCTCTTAAATAAGTATTTACCTAACTGCATCAGTTATTTAGAAGGCTTTCATCCCATTTTGGTGAAATTAGTATATTTGCTTTAAAAGAGTATTGAGCATTAACTTTTGTTACTCCCGTGTCTCTAGTAAAAGTATTTTTCTTTGACTTAAATGGGAATTAATGAGATTTGATACTGATGATAAAGTCAGGTTCAGATGATAAAATCATAGATAACTATAAAATAGAGCCTTTAAAATTGGGTCTGATAATTTTCTTATTTTCATTGTTTCAGTGATAAACCTAAGATAGCAAATAAATAATCTTATTCCTAAGTAGGAATTGCTGTGTTTTACTGTGTGAAATTATTATATGTATATATCCCTTTTAGAAATTGATACTGTAGATGCAGGATTATTAGGTAGAGTCCTAGCTGTCTTCTTCAATAGTGTGTGTAGATCCTAATTAACCCTTTGGGAACGTGTGTTCATTCAAACAGACTTTATTTTAAGGAGGTTAAAGTAAAATGTGAATTTATGTCAGTTAAGTTATGCTAATAAAACTTAGCACAAATCAAAATGACTGTCCTCAAAGGGTTAAAATGTACAAGAAATCATTTTTGTCATTTTACTTTTTTTCTGTTTACTTTCTCCCTCATTTTTTCTTTAGTTTTTATACTTTCCTTCATATCATTTGTTCTGTCAGGTGTCCCCTGGCCATCGCCTTGCCCATCTCCTTCCTCTCGCCCACCTTCTCGCTACCAGTCAGGTCCCACCTCTCTTCCACCTCGGGCCGCCACCCCTACACGGCCGCCCTCCAGGCCCCCCTCGCGGCCATCCAGACCCCCGTCTCACCCCTCTGCTCATGGTTCTCCAGCTCCTGTCTCTACTATGCCTAAACGCATGTCTTCAGAAGGTACAATTCCACAATTTGTTCATGTTTTTGTTTGTCTTTGTTTAACTCCTGTGTGAGTTTATGATTACAAAATAGTTTCCTCTTCATTATTTAGTAACCTATAATTTCTTGAGTTTAAAGTTTATTGTATTATAACTATTAACGTTTTGTTCATTACAAAGAAATTTCATGAATTTGCTGTGTGAAGCTGTGAAGTGTCTTGAATTGTAGAGGGTTTAATCTTTACCTGGTCGTGCTTCTGCGCAACCCAGAAAGGCCTCCCTGCACGCTCCCTCCTCATGGACGCTGGATGCAGTGTTCATGAGATGGTTGATGGTTGATCTGTTGGCCACAGGCAGGAGTGGTGTGTTACAGACTCTGATAGGAGTGACATTCCATGTCACTGCCCTTGTATGTTTACCCTCCCATCACAGTTCAGTGTTTTTAGAGTACTGAAGGAATTCTAAATTAAGCTGTTTTTTTTTTTTTTTTTGTCGGTCATGGGGCTTGATCTCTGGGCCTGGGCACTGTCTCTGAGCTCTTTAGCTCAAGGCAAGCACTCTAGCACTTGAGCCACAGCACCACTTCAGTTTTTCTAAGTGGTTGATATGACAAGAGTCTCACGGACTTTCCTGCCCAGGCTGCCTTTGAAACTTGATCCTCAGATCTCAGCCTCCTGTAGCTAGGATGACAGGCGTGAGCCACTGGTGCCCAGCTGGGCTCACTAATTTTTTTTTTTGTGTGTGTGTCATGGGGCCTGAACTCTGATCAGTTCACTAAATAATTTTTAAGATGACATTTTTCCTCCTCTCCTAATGGCAATTAATTGCAAGGTTATTTTGTTGAAGTGCTTGCAGCTGTTGTTTGAGTAGCTGTTTATTTCAGAAGTGTAAGATAAGAACTGAGCTTTTTTTTTTTTTTTTCCCTGTTGTGAGGCTTGAACTCAGGTCCTGGGCACTGACCCTGAGCTCTTTGTGCTCAAGGCTACTGCTCAACCACTTGAGCCACAGCGCCACTTCCAGGTTTAGAGTGGTTTAATTGAAGATAAGAGTCTCAAGGGGAATTTTCTGCCCAGGTTGCCTTTGAACCACAATCCTCAGATCTCAGCCTCCTGAGTAGCTAGGATTGCAGGTGTAAGACACCAGCACCTGGGCAAACTGAGCATTCTTTACGTGAAACTGGAAAGACTACATGGGCTTCCAGAGGAAGCCTTCTGCTAAAGTTAGGGTGTATTCCTTTAAAGATCATGTCTATGATAAAATCCATGCTGTTCTAAAGAGTTTGGTGCCAGGATATGTACAGGGACCTTGGCTCTCACAATAAAAAATAAATTTTGTGAGTGTTAGCACCAGAGTTTGGTGTCCAGAGTTTGGCTTGGTGATCACTACTTAGAAAGAGAAATAGCATATGACAGAATGGATGATGTAGAAATTTGACAGTTCTTTTTTTTTGGCCAGTCCTGGGGCTTGAACTCAGGGCCTGGGCGCTGTCCCTGAGCTCCTTCTGCTCAAGTCTAGCACTCTACCATTTGAGCCACAGCGCCACTTCAGCCTTTTCTGTGTATGTGGTGCTGAGGAATCGAACTAAGGGTTTCATTCATGCTAGGCAAGCAATCTACCACTGAGCCACCTTCCAGACTTGACAATTCTTTTAGTACAGATTTTAACCCCAAGTGTCATATGGCTTGGTCTTAGAAGTTATACTTTAACAATAGGATTTCAGCTAAAAGTCTGAGAAACTATTTACAGGGGAACATTGTTTTAAGCCATGATTTATAATATTGATGGTCATACAGAAGACACAGTATGCTAGCAATTTAGAGAAGCTTAAAGATATGCACATACATTTTAGGATTGATGGTCCTTTTATTTTAAAAAAAAAATTTTTTTTAAAGCAGGGGGCCATAGCTCTCTGTGTGATCTTAGGAGGATGAGCTAACTAAACCAAAAGCATAGCTCAGGTGGTTGAGTGCCAACTTAGCAAGCAAGCCTAGCAAAAGTGAGGGCCTGAGTTCAAGCCCTGGGACTGGCACCCAAAAATATCCTGGAGACCTACATAGCTCAGCAGTAGAGCTTATGCCTAAAATGTATGAGACTAGGGTTCTATATCCAGCATTGCAAAAATAAATGTACAAAATGGCCCCCCTAATTTTTTTAAATTTGAGGTGTAAATTAGAAGTATATGGGAAAGTAAAAATCATTCTATTTTATAACTATACAATTCAATTGTATTTTTGTATGCCTGCAAATAATGAGTACAAATAAATTACTAAAATTCTAAGACTTGTGACATATTATTGTTTTGGGGTTTCTTTTAGCACCAACCTCATCTTTCCCTTTCTTTAAGAAAAAAGGGAAATAAAAAGTATTTGTAACTTGTTGTATTCCAAAAAATAATTGTGAATTAGTATGGCTAAAAGTTTGTATGGTATGGTTTATCTTTTCATTTTTTACCAAGGAGAAACTTGAATAAGGGTGTGAGCGCGTTCAGCAGAAGAGTGCAGTGTGTGAGCGCGTTCAGCAGAAGAGCACAGTGTGTGAGCGCGTTCAGCAGAAGAGTGCAGTGTGTGAGCGCGTTCAGCAGAAGAGTGCAGTGTGTGAGTGCGTTCAGCAGAAGAGCGCAGTGTGTGAGTGCATTCAGCAGAAGAGTGCAGTGTATGAGCGCGTTTAGCAGAAGAGTGCAGTGTGTGAGCGCGTTCAGCAGAAGAGTGCAGTGTGTGAGCGTGTTCAGCAGAAGAGTAGAGTACAGTGTGTGAGCGCGTTTAGCAGAAGAGTGCAGTGTGTGAGCGCGTTCAGCAGAAGAGTGCAGTGTGTGAGCGCGTTCAGCAGAAGAGTGCAGTGTGTGAGCGCGTTCAGCAGAAGAGTGCAGTGTGTGAGCGCGTTCAGCAGAAGAGTGCAGTGTGTGAGTGCGTTCAGCAGAAGAGCGCAGTGTGTGAGTGCGTTCAGCAGAAGAGTGCAGTGTATGAGCGCGTTTAGCAGAAGAGTGCAGTGTGTGAGCGCGTTCAGCAGAAGAGTGCAGTGTGTGAGCGTGTTCAGCAGAAGAGTAGAGTACAGTGTGTGAGCGCGTTTAGCAGAAGAGTGCAGTGTGTGAGCGCGTTCAGCAGAAGAGTGCAGTGTGTGAGCGCGTTCAGCAGAAGAGTGCAGTGTGTGAGCGCGTTCAGCAGAAGAGTGCAGTGTGTGAGCGTGTTCAGCAGAAGAGTGCAGTGTGTGAGCGCGTTTAGCAGAAGAGTGCAGTGTGTGAGCGCGTTCAGCAGAAGAGTGCAGTGTGTGAGCGCGTTCAGCAGAAGAGTACAGTGTGTGAGCGCGTTCAGCAGAAGAGTAGAGTGCAGTGTGTGAGCGCGTTCAGCAGAAGAGTGCAGTGTGTGAGCGCTTTCAGCAGAAGAGTGCAGTGTGTGAGCGCGTTTAGCAGAAGAGTGCAGTGTGTGAGCGCGTTCAGCAGAAGAGTACAGTGGACATTGCAGCACTTGTGACATTCGTGACCCCTCTCTTAGGGCCTCCCAGGATGTCTCCGAAGGCCCAGCGGCACCCTCGCAACCACAGAGTTTCTGCTGGGCGGGCCTCCATAGCCAGCGGCTTAGAATTTGTATCCCACAACCCACCAAGTGAAGTAGCAGCTCCTCCGGTGGCCAGGACCAGTCCAGCCGGGGGAACGTGGTCATCAGTGGTCAGTGGTGGTAGGTATCCCTTGGCCTGGGGCCTCGTGGCAGTGTATATTTTGTCTTTTTGCTAAGTGAGAAAAAGCGCAGCTCTGAGGAAACACAAGACATCTATGAAACCCCAGGAGAACCAGGAAGTAGCTCTATTGCTGTGTTAGATAGAGCAGGTCGTGCAAGGAGCTGATCTTCAGTTTTTTTCAATGAGTGAAGTCATTATTGTCTAGTATACTTGATGGGCTTTGTGTCAGTTCCTATGAGGTTTGTAAGTACATAGTTGAGACTTACAGATTATTACTGTATAAGGCAAAAATACTTCATAATATGACTTGACTCTACCTGTTTTTCACCTTTCAGCAATTTTGTTCATTGATTCATTCCACCCAACACTTAATTTGAGCTTACAGTACAGTGAGTTACCATAACATCTGTATATGACACTATTGCCTTTGAAGGGATATGAAACACAAAACGAGAGGGTCAGCTTTAATCTGATTAGCTTGAGGAATATGCTGATAGCAGCTACAACAACAGAAAGATTATATTGTGATAAGATTTTAGAATTAGGCTTATGTTGCTTTGAAAACTTTGCCAATCCTTACGGCTTTGCTCTTACAATAACTGGGGAGCTAGAGGTTGCAGTGAGTACTTTTCTTGTTTGTTCTTTGAACTACCGGGAGAAAAATCTTGGTATAGCTACTTTAGCCAGGCACTGGTGGCTCACACCTAATCCTACCTACTCAGGAGGCTGAGATCTGAGGATCACAGTTCAAAGCCAGCCCGGGCAGGAAAGTCCTTGAGACTCTTATCTCCAAAAAACTACCAGAAAACTGGAAGTTGCATTATGAGTCAAGTGGTAGATTGTTCACCTTGAGCTGAAGAACTGAGGGACAGTGCCAAGGCCCAGAGTTCAAGCCCCACAACCGACCAAAAAAAAAAAAATTGATTAAGAGGGAACCCACAGCTGAACTTGGGTATTAGTGGTTACTATCTTTGTTCAGATACTTTTTGTAATTACTACTATCATTCCTAAGACTTTATTTTTTGTTGTTGTTTATTTTATTTTTTTCTTTGTCGGTCGTAGGGCCTGAACTCTGGGCCTGGGCGCTGTCCCTCAGCTCTTCAGCTCAAGGCTAGCGCTCTACCACTTGAGCCACAGCGCCACTTCCGGCTTTTTCTGGCTTATGTGGTGCTGAGGAATCGAACCCAGGGCCTCATGTATGCAAGGCAAGCACTCTACCACTGAGCCACCTTCCCAGCCCCTCCTAAGACTTTATAAAACAGAGTACTGGGATAAAGTGTGGGGACCGGTGAGGACAACTACTTAATTCTTCAGAAAAACCTCTTTGAGCCAAAGATGTTGTAAATAACTTTTCCCTTGCTTCTGTCTAGTTCCGAGATTATCTCCAAAAACTCACAGACCCAGGTCTCCCCGACAGAACAGTGTTGGAAACCCTCCCAGCGGGCCTGTGCTCACTTCTCCCCCAGCTGGTACCGCCCCGGCCGAAGCAATTGCCATGCCCGTTCCTGCTGCGTCTCCTACGCCTGCCAGCCCCGCCATCAATAGAGCCGGGACCCCATCTGCTGAGGGTATGAGGCCCAGGCCTTCCAGACCCTATTGCCAGCTGACAGGTTGTGTTCTTTTAGCTGTAGGTTTTCTATTTTAAATACACATTGAACTTTTTATGTAAATTGTGTTGTTTATACAATACCCACTAATCTCATAGATACTATTCTTTAATGTCTGGTATCTGGAAAATTAGCTTTTCCTGGGTACTAAGGGCCTGTATGAAAACTTAATGGTAGCTCATAGGATGGTAACAAAAAAGAAAAGCTTCCATATAATTTGATTTTCCAAAAACAGGAAATCAAAAGTTGAGCTCTGTTTCACCTCATTTTTATGACTCTGACACTGAACTTTTTTTTCTAAATTGCTTTCTAGCTAAAGATTCCAGACTCCAAGATCAGAGGCAGAATTCTCCAGCAGGAAATAAAGAATGCCTGAAAGCCATTGAAGCATCGCCTAGCTTCTCAAAAACTGAAAATAAAGGTGAGAGTTTTGTTTTTTTAAAGTTTTTAGGCATAAATGTTAAAACAGGGAAGCGATTATGTGTCATTTCATCTTTCTTTTTTTTTTTTGTCCGTCATGGGGCTTGAACTCTGGGCCTGGGCGCTGTCCCTCAGCTCTTCAGCTCAAGGCGAGCGCTCTACCACTTGAGCTACAGCGCCACTTCCGGTTTTCTGGTGGTTCATTGGAGATAGGAGTCTCACGGTCTTTCCTGCCCGGGCTGACTTTGAACCGCGATCCTCAGATCTCAGCCTCCTGAGTAGCTAGGATTACAGGCGTGAGCCACCAGCGCCCGGCTCATTTCATCTTTCAAGCAGTGTATTTTTTAAAAAAAAATTTACTGAGATTAGATGATTACATAAATTTCACATATTTCACAGTATTGTGGAATAGTGACACTTATTTAAAGGCACAAACACATTTTAACCTTCACAAGGCAAGTTGTCATTATCATGGTCTATAAAGTTTGTGAATTCTGTGAGCTTTGATGATAAAACTAGTTCTTCTACATGCGGTGGTATTTACATTTCTTTCCTTTTGTTTAGTGTATTTTTGTAGTTCTAATTTCTCTTGTATATCTATTAAATACCAAATTCCAAAATTAACATGTAAAATTGTTATTCTTTTGAAGATAGGTTTTGTTGGCATTTCTAATATTCAATACTAAAACAGTTTTCAAGTAAAAGAGTAGAAATAAATTGACATGAAAAATTTTTTGATGTTACAGGTGTATCACCAGTTGTTTCTGAACACAGGAAACAAATAGATGATTTAAAGAAGTTCAAGAATGATTTTAGGGTAAGTGTCATATTGAATCATGTGTGAGGATTTATTTTGGTTTTTTGTTTTTGTTTATGTGGTACTAAGGAATCAAACGCAGGGTATCATGCACACTAGGCAAGCACTCTTACCACTAAGTCACATTCCCAGCCCAATGCGAGAGGATTTAAAAGATAAATAACAAAAGTACAGGATGTACACATTCAGAAACATGAAGAATGGGAGGCAAACAATTTGAGGCAGCCTGGGCAGAGAAGTCTGTGAATCTTCACCTCATTAAAGATATCTATTGCCCCAGAAACTGGGAAACCTGGAACAGAAAGATGGTGGCTTTAGGTGTGCTCCTAGGTAGAGCAGTGTATCGGAAGGTGGACCCTGACCTAACAGTGGTGTGTACAAAGTGGGGCTAGAGCTGTAGCTCAGCAGTACAGCATCTGCCTGGCAAACTAGATCCTGGAGGTCAAGACCTAGTACTAGCCCGGTGCTGGTGGCTCACACCTGTCATCCTAGCTACTCGGGAGGCTGAGATCTGAGGATTGCGGTTCAAAGCCAGCCCGGGCAGGAAACTCGAAAACAGCTGCAAGTGCAGCTGTGGCTCAAGTGGTAGAGTGCTAGTCTTGAGCAAAAAAATTTCAAAGACAGTGCCTAGGTCCTGAGTGCCCCAGAACCGGCACCAAAGAGAAAAAAAAAAAAAGGCTCATGTAAAACATTTCATGCCACAGAAAATTCTTACTGTTCATGTACTCATCGAGAAAATTGACTGCTTCTTTTATTTAGTTACAGCCAAGTTCCACAACGGAGTCAATGGATCAACTACTAAATAAAAATAGAGAGGGAGAAAAGCCAAGGGATTTGCTCAAAGACAAAATTGAACCCATTTGTAAGGACTCTTTCATTGAAAATAGCAGCAGCAACTGTGCCAGCGGCAGCAGCCCGAGCGCCTCCCCGTCCGTCCTCAGCAGTGTAGAGCCCAGGAGGGGACCCGAGGTCACCTCCCAAGGCGTGCAGACTTCCAGTCCAGCGTGCAAGCAAGAGAAAGATGATAAGGACGAGAAGAAAGATGCAGCTGAGTAAGTAAATCATTCCTACTGGTGGACTTAACGTAGATAGCTTTTAAAAAAATTGTTATTGTAAAGCAGACGTGCAGAGCGATTACAGTTACATGAGTCAAGTGAGGAGTACATTTCTTTTTTAGCCATGGATTAGACAGCTGTTAAGTAGCTCCTTTCAATAGTTGGCATGAACTAGTGGCTTGGTGACCAGTTAGGCCATTTCCCCTCACTATCCTGCCTTGACTGCAGCAGGCTTTTTCCAAAATGTTCAAGAGTGGAAAAGTTAGGTTTGGGGACCTGCCGCCTCTGAACTCTTGTCAACTTTCATCCTAGTATTCTCCAAAGAGTATGCCCTTGCTCAGGTGGAAAATGACATTTTTCAGCAGAAGAGGTGTTTCAGTGAATATCTGAATGTGTTTGTCCTAATTGTGCGGATTATCCATTAAAGGGACTGTTAAGAGCTACCTCAGAACCTAACCACTGGTTTATTATAGCCATGAGTTCGCGGCTTGTGTGGACTACATATGTAGATTGACCGCTGGGGGAGAAACCTACAAGCTTTGAATTGGCATTCGTATTTAATTGAAATGGTTAAGGGTTGCTTGTTTCATAGGCAACTATGGTCTTTCCAACTGAAGGATTGGTTGATTGCATTTGAAGAAAGCAGTTTTTGGTTTCTGTGGCCATTTTTTAAAATTAGGTTAAATAGTGGGTAATGAGGTACCTGTTCCCTTTAATAAGGAAGGTTAATAATCTAATGAGAATTGTTTACATATAGCCAGGTGTCAGTAGCTTACACCTGTAATCCTAACTACTCTGGAGGCTGAGATCTGAGGAGGGCAGTTCAAAGCCAGCCAGGGCAGGAAAGTCCAGAAGACTTTTTTTGGGGGGGGGCGGGGGGGGGCTTGAACTCTGTGCTTGGGTGCTGTCCCTGTGCTCTTCAGCTCAAGGCGAGTGCTCTACCATTTGAGCCACAGCACCACTTCCAGTTTTCTAGTGGTTTATTGGAGATAAGAGTCTCATGGACTTTCCTGCCCGGGCTGGCTTTGGACCATGATCCTCAGATCTCATCCTCCTGAGTAGCTAGGATTACAGGCATGAGCTACCGGCACTCGGCTCAGGAGATTTTATCTCCAGTAAACCATCAAAAAACCAGAAGTAGCACTGTGGCTCAAGTAGTAGACCCCTCACCTTGAGCTGAAGAGCTGAGGGACAACGCCCAGGCCCAGAGTTCAAACCCCACGACTGACCAAAAAAAAAAAAAAAAAGAAATGTTTAAATATGATAGACGTTGGCAAACAAAAAAAAAAAAAGAAAGAAAGAAAGAAATGTTTAAATATGATAGACGTTGGCAAAATTTATCAGGCATGGAACAGCTTAGAGAAATATAAATTCCATGCAGTGTTCACTGGCCTGTACTTTTTCCTTTTTTTTTCCTGATTTAGGCAAGTTAGGAAATCTACATTGAATCCCAATGCAAAGGAGTTCAACCCTCGATCCTTCTCTCAGGTAAGTTTGTTACCTGTTTTGAGGTTATTCTAATCTCTGAAAAGAATTAATTCCACCTGAAATCCTAGCTACTCAGGAGGCTGAGATCTGAGGATCATGGTTCAAAGCCAGCCTGAGCAAGAAAGTCTGTGAAACTCTTATCTCCAATAAAAACCACCAGAAAACTGGAAGTGCCACTGTGGCTTAAATGGTAGAGCACTAGCCTTGAAATGAAGAGCTGAGGGACAGCACTCAGGCCCAGATTCAAGCCCCACAACCAATCAAAAAAAGAAAAAAGGTTCTTATATTCTCAGGATGATACTGTTAGAGACAAAAATCTGAACCTAGGGGCTGGGAAGGTGGCTCAGTGGTAGAGCGCTTGCCTTGCATGCTCGAGGCCCTGGGTTCGATTCCTCAGCACCACATAAGCAAAAAGAAAAAAGCCGGAAGTGGCACTGTGGCTCAAGTGGTAGAGCGCTAGCCTTGAGCTGAAGGGCTGAGGGACAGTGCCCAGGCCCAGAGTTCAGGCCCCATGACCGGACCCAAAAAAAAAAACAAACCTAATTTCTCATTCAGAATTTGAAGCTGATTGACTAGGCCATTGAGCTTACAGACATGCTATTGTTATTCTACTAAATTAAAAAAAAGATAAACATTTTAGAATATTTTGCTTGGTTTCTTAAAAATTGACTGTCAGGCACTATTTATAGCTACAATTTATTTTGATGGTACTAGGACTTTAGGATCTTACCCTTGCTAGATAGGTGTTCTACCACTTAAGCCTGATAATACATACATATACATATATATATACATATATATATATATATATTTTTTTTTTTTTTTTTTGGGTCCTGTCGTGGGGCCTGAACTCTGGGCCTGAGCGCTTCCTTCAGCTCTTCAGCTCAAGGCTAACGCTCTACCACTTGAGCCACAGTGCCACTTCTGGCTTTTTTCTTTTAGCTTATGTGGTGCTGAGGAATCGAACCCAGGGCCTCATGCATGCAAGGCAAGCACTCTACCACTGAGCCACCTTCCCAGCCCCAAGCCTGATAATATTTTTAATTTCCAAACTCTTGCCATATAAACCAGGGGCTGGTGGCTTACACGTGTAAGCGATCTGAGGATCACAGTATAAAGCGAAATCAGGTAAACAAATAAGTGAGACTTTTATCTGCAGTTACCCAGCAAAAAGCTGGAAGTAAACTGGATTCAGATGTTAGCTCACTAGCCTTGAGTGAAAAAGCTAAGGACAGCACCCAGACCCTGACCAAGTCTCAGTACAGCTACCAAAAATTTATTTTGCACTATGTATAGCTATCTACCTGAGCACTTTTTACTTTTCATTAAAACATTTATTTTCTGGGCTGGGAAGGTGGCTCAGTGGTAGAGCGCTTGCCTTGCATGCATGAGGCCCTGGGTTCGATTCCTCAGCACCACATAAGCAAAAAAGAAAAAAAACGGAAGTGGTGCTGTGGCTCAAGCGGTAGAGCGCTAGCCTTAAGCTGAAGAGCTGAGGGACAGCGCCCAGGCTCAGATTTCAGGCCCCACAACCGAACCCAAAAAAACCCAACAAAACACATTTATTTTCTGAGAGTTTGTTTTGTTGAGAGCAGTAGTGGGAATTGAACCCTGGGTTATTTATATGTTGCCACTTCATCCCAGTCTAGGTTTTGCTTTGAAGTAGTAGGGATCAAACCTAAGCTCATATGTGCTAGGCTCTGGGTTTTGTATTAGTTGAAAGCAAGTAAAAACTTAGCATTAATAGTTAAAAAAAATTTTTTTTTTTTTTTGGTTGTTCATGGGGCTTGAACTCTGGGCCTAGGCGCTGCCCCTCAGCTCTTCAGCTCAAGGCGAGCGCTCTACCACTTGAGCTACAGCGCCACTTCCGGTTTTCTGGTGGTTTATTGGAGATAGGAGTCTCACGGTCTCTCCTGCCTGGGCTGGCTTTGAACCGCGATCCTCAGATCTCAGCCTCCTGAGTAGCTAGGATTACAGGCGTGAGCCACCAGCGCCCAGCTAATAGTTACAATTTTTAAATTTTGTTTCTGTAGCCAAAGCCTTCCACCACCCCAACTTCACCTCGGCCTCAAGCACAACCGAGCCCCTCGATGGTGGGTCCTCAGCAGCCCACACCAGTCTATACGCAGCCTGTTTGTTTTGCACCAAACATGATGTATCCAGTCCCTGTGAGTCCCGGTGTGCAAGTAAGTCGATGGAGTTTGTGTTCACTTTGCCTCCCCCTTGTTTGTATTTGGCACGAGTATTGTTTAGATTTGAAGTAACTTGAGTTAAGATGGCATGTAAAAACATTTTCTAAAGATAATGGTTTGTTTATATTGTTAGAATATGTACCTGAATCTGGCAATATTTACTGGTGAAAAAAAATGTTTAAGATTTAGTGTTTGGAGTTTTTCCTCTTAGCTGTGGATATGGTATTGATGGTCAATGATTTGTCAAAGATAGAGCTTTATAATTGGTTGTTTCTGTGTGGTGTGGAGCTAAGAGTTGAACCCAGGACCTTTTGTGTGATAGGCAAGCACTGTACCACTGAGCTGTATCTGCCATCCTTTGAATGATTCGCAGAGTATCTTAGAGCTAGCTCTGGCAAGATAAAGCTGAGAGGGAAAGAATACTTTCTTATCAGAAGATCTTAATGTTATTTTTTTTTTTCATTCCCTCAAGCCTTTATACCCAATACCCATGACGCCCATGCCAGTGAATCAAGCCAAGACCTATAGAGCAGGTAAAGGTGAGAGTATTCCTGCCTGTGTTTGCCTGTATTCTTGCATGCTGCATGAGTGAAGATGCTGTGTACAGTGGCTGTGCTTGGGGCTTTCCCTGGGCCAACATTAAGGTGTTTCGATCAGTTTTTCTGGACTGTTCACTTTCTTCTTCGAAAAGAACAATGATCATCTTACTATGAGAGCAGGGAAAGGGTTTTTTTTTTTTTAATGGCGGGGGGTGGGTCTGGTTGTGGGGCCTGAACTCTGGGCCTGGGCGCTGTCCCTCAGCTCTTAAGCTCAAGGCTAGCGCTCTACCACTTGAGCCACAGCGCCACTTCCGGCTTTTTTCTTTTTGCTTATGTGGTGCTGAGGAATTGAACCCAGGGCCTCAGGCATGCAAGGCAAGCGCTCTACCACTGAGCCACCTTCCCAGCCCGGGAAAGGGTTTCATAGTGCCATTGTAATACACTATTAACTTGTTCTTCATTTCTACCTGGTGTTATAGTTTTACTGACATAGAAGGATCTGTGTTAAAAAAACAAAAGATGAGCTAGGTGCTGATGACTCACGCCTGTAATCATAGCTACTCTGGAGGCTGAGATCTGAGGATCGAAGTTCAAAGCCATCTGGGGCAGGAAAGTCTGTGAGACTCATCTCCAGTTAGCCACCCCAACACCAGAAGTAGAGCTGTGGCTCAAAGTCATAGAGCACTAGCCTTGAGCACAAAAGCTCAGGGACCGTGCCCAGACCCAGAGTTTAAGCCCCATGACCGACAAATAAAAAATATAAAATACAAAGAATGATTGCCATAAGAACAAGCATGTCATATATCTTGACTGTAGGAAAATTTTCTATTTCTGTAGGCAGAAATCAATATAGCCTTTTAAGCTAGTACAGCCATGTTACAGAGCGTTCCTGCTAAACTATACCCACAAGAATCTCAGCTGGGTATAGTAACTGTGCTAATAGAGAAGTGAGTAGGTATTTACTGTTATCTATTATTTCCATTCTGTGATTGACCAGATTTTTGTCTTTTTTTTTTCATATGTAAGTTTTTTGATGAACTTTTTTTGTGGTTCTGGGTTTTAGACTAGGATTTTGTGCTTGTTGGACAGGCACTCTACCACTTGTGCTAAATTCCCTAGCCATTTTTGCGTTTAGTTATAATTCTGATAGGGTCTCATGCTTTTGCCTGTTTTGATACTCCTTCCTCTGCGTCTCCAGAGCTGGCTGACAGGTCTCTGCCATTAGACTGGGCTTATTGGTTGAGATTTGACCTCAATTAACTGTAATTAGCTATTGAATAATAATTAGCTGATGAGCTAATAAACCACCAGAAAACCAGAAGTGGCTCAAGTGGTAGAGCGCTGTGGCTCAAGTGGTAGAGCGCTCGTCTTGAGCTGACTAGCTGAGGGACAGCACCCAGGCCCAGAGTTCAAGCCTCACAACTGACCAAAAAAAAGAACAAAAGAAATTCTGGCATTTTGTTTGCCTTTATTAACAGGCATCATTCTGTAAACAATTCTGCAACTAGAAAGGGCTCTTTGGTCATCCTGACCTCGTTTGTACAGCAAACACAGGACAAAATAATTCTTTCTGGTTCTTACGGACATCAGTAACCTGTTACTACTTCTATCATGGATGTGTGTTTATATGTATATGTACAAATTCATTCTTTTGCGTGTACTTATGTGTATACATATCTGCATGTATATGACTTACATATGTATGTTGTGTAATGTATTTATTGGACCTATTTGTCTTCTTCGTTGTTCACACTGTCTCTTCCTTAATAATGTGGACCCCTTCAAATGTCCTTCCTGTTCAATACAGTAGATGGCTCTACCAAACCTATTTCTAAGCTAGGTCTGGATCAGGTATTTCTTCCAGAAACTGGTTTCTTTTGCTGAGAAATAGTATTTAGCCATTATTCTCTGATCGTTGGGTATATTTCATATTTCTTCAGAGTTACTTCTTCTAGAGCTTTTCAGTGGACAAAACTAAAATCATCAGTAAAGACGAAATCCAGTACGTCATATTGATAATGCACATTTGGTTTAACATTGTAGGATTTTAACTATGACCTTTTGCCTACTTCTTGTATTTTCTCACCTTAAAAATAGTAACTATTGGGCTGGAAATGTGGCTTAGTGATACAGTGCTTGCCTAGCCCTGGGTTTGGTTCCTCGGTGCCACATACACAGGAAATGCTGGAAGTGGCACCGTGGCTCAGCGGTAGAGTGCTCGCCTTGAGCAAAAGAAGCTCAGGGACAGTGCCCAGGCCCCAAAGTTCAAGCCCCAGGACTAGCAAAAAAACAAACCAACAACAAAATAAACCCTTAGTGGCCAGGAACAAAAGAAAAAAAAAGTTAAAAATAGTAACTATTATTTTGTTGCAGAGCAAATTACCCTGTTGCTGGCTGGCTGTGCCCCAGTCCCAGGAGCAGGGCTCCATTGTCAGCATGGCGGTCTGTCTCTGCTCGGGCCTCATGGCAGGCAGGACACTAGGGCTGCCGGAGCCTGGAGCCCACACTCATCGCTTCTGGCAGCAAGTTCCCGTACCATAACGTTCTTTCTACTTTGTCAGATTGTTACGATACAGAAGTATCTTTTTTTTCTATGTACTGTTATTTTTTCTTAGCTTCTACTTTACTACTAAATTTCTAAAGTGTCATTTTCAGAGTGGGGAACTGTTAACCTTGTTGCTTCCAAAATACCATCTTTGAATGCTTGATCAGTAGGTGAGTTAACCTGGTTGAATTTTTTTCCCCTCTGGTGCTACTGGGATTTGAACTCAGGGCCTCATACTTGCTAAAGAGGTGTCCTACCCCTTAATCACTCTGCCAACCCTTTTAGGTATTTATTTTGGTCATGAGGCTTAAACTCAAGACTTGGGCAATATCTCTGAGCTTCTTTTGCTTTTAAGGCTAGCACTGTACCACTTGAGCCACAGCTACACTTCTGGCTTTTTGGTGATTAATTGGAGATTGAGAGTCTCATGGACTTTCTTGCCTGGGCTGGCTTTGAGCTGCAGTCCTCAGATCTCAGCCTCCTGGGTAGCTAGGATTACAAGCATGAGCCACTTACACCCAGCATGCATTTATTATTATTTTTTTTTTCTTGTTGTGAGGCTTGAACTCAGGGCCTGGTGCTGTCTCTGACCTAGTGCTCTACCACGTTGAACCACAGTACCACCTTTGGTTTTCTGGTGGTTAATTGGAGATCATCTAAATTATCTTAGAAGGAAATTTGTATCTTCACATTGAAAATCCAAGAAGGGATAGTCAATCTGCAGGAGCAGTTTAAAGTTTTGTATGTCTTTCAGTGTGTGCCTAAGGTTTAATCTTTTTTTTGGGGGGGTCCGGTCGTGGGGCCTGAACTCTGGGCCTGGGCACTGTCCCTCAGCTCTTCAGCTCAAGACTAGCACTCTATCACTTGAGCCACAGCACCACTTCCGGCTTTTTTTTTTCTGCTTATGTGATGCTGAGGAATCGAACCCAGGGCCTCATGCATGCAAGGCAAGCACTCTAACACTAAGCCACCTTCCCAGCCCGGTTTAATCTTTTTTGTTGTTAATGTAAACTGATTTTTCTCTTCTAAGTAGTTACTTATGAAGAGCTATATATAAAGGCTTTTGTCATGGGTTGATTTTATGTCCTTGTACTAATACTTGACTAAATTCTAAATCTTTGAGGTGTTGGATGAAAATATTTTTAATGTTTTCAGCAATGGGTTCTGAAATTGTCTTACAATACAAATACTCTCTCGTCTTCTCTGCTGCATCTACATAGCCTACAGGCTGTCACACGGGAAAGTCAACGCTGTAATTTATACACAGTAGCTTTCCTTAGCCACAGCAGCATTGGTATTTGGGACTTGTATTCTTTTTTCTGAGGTGAATACATGGATTGTCAGTGCATAGCAGCAGCCTTTGCTCGTACCCATTACATCCCAGGGCTCACGCCACATGCACGCGCGCATGCGCACGCTCCCACACGCAAGTAAGCCTATCAGTGATGCCTCAGGTGCTGAGCAGAGGGAAAAGACACACAACAATCTTAGGAGATGGCTGAGGAGAGGCCAGTTCTGAGTTGAGCCAGGGCTTTTTTAGGGCAAGGCAGTCCATGTGGAATGATGCAGGATAGTCAAGTTTCCAGAGCAGGCGGAGGTGAGGGATTGTGCCTGGAAATTGGCTTTTGTTGCACAGTGTGCTGTGAGATTCTGTTTTTTTTTGGTCCGGTCATGGGGCCTGAACTCTGGGCCTGGGCGCTGTCCCTCAGCTCTTTAGCTCAAGGCTAGCGCTCTACCACTTGAGCCACAGTGCCACTTCGGCTTTTTTCTTATGTGGTGCTGAGGAATCGATCCCAGGGCCTCAGGCATGCAAGGCAAGCGCTCTACCACTGAGCCACCTTCCCAGCCCCTGTGCTGTGAGATTCTGCATTCAACACAAAGGAAAGATCTGCCGAGGCAGTGGTGGGTGTCGATGCTTACGAGGCTCTTCCGTCATGCTTTTTTTATTTTTTTCATTTTTTGGAGCCACATCCCCTTCCCCTAGCAAGTGGCAAACAGTTTAGCTATTCCCCCCACCCCTGTGTCTTCTGGTAGAAATAAACTGAGAAGCAGGTGGAAGAAGTCATTGAACAGTGCGGGGGTGTGTCATGGGTTATGACCCTCCATGCCCAAGGGTCATCCCATGAGGATCCCTGAGCTGACACTTGAAAGTGTCATCTGGGACGAGACTGGTATTTGAGGCTGATGAATAGCAGGCGAGGGAGGACAATCACCAGAACGGTAGGAGTGGCGGAGGGACGGGAGGCTCACGGGAAGCCTTGTGAGGAGTCAGGTCCCGTAGAGCCTTGTAAACTGTGGGAGTGCGTGTTTTGGTTACCTGTTTCATGTGCCATGAATTCTTTTCCTTCTCCTCCTCCCTGCAGTACCAAACATGCCCCAACAACGACAGGACCAGCATCATCAGAGCACCATGATGCACCCGGCCTCGGCGGCAGGCCCGCCCATCGTGGCCACCCCCCCGGCCTACTCCACTCAGTACGTGGCCTACAGCCCACAGCAGTTTCCAAATCAGCCCCTCGTTCAGCACGTGCCACACTACCAGTCTCAGGTAAGGTACCTTCATGTGGTCAAGGCATGTTCATTTATAGTTCTATGCTTTATACTACAGTGAGGTAGAGAGCTAAGGACTTGGGCCTTTTTAATAGGAGAAAGTGTCAGAATTTTAGAGAAACGCTTTTTTTTTTTTTTTTTGTCAGTCTGGGCCTGAGCTCTGTCCCTCAGCTCTTTAGCTCAAGGTGAGTGCTCTACCACTTGAGCCACAGCGCCACTTCTGGTTTTCTAGTGGTTTATTGGATATAAGAGTTTCATGGATTTTCCTGCCCGGGCTGTCTTTGAACCGTGATCCTCAGATCTCAGCCTCCTGAGTAGCTAGGATGACAGGCATGAGCCACCGGCGCCCGGCTAGAAAGGCTTTCTTGTGTTTAGTTGTTTCTAGAAAGTGTAGAGATGAGAATGTAAAGTCTGCGTGGCTCTTCTTGGTCTGTTAATGGTTTCCTTTATTTTCTGTTTGACCCTAGCACCCTCATGTCTACAGTCCTGTACTACAGGGTAACGCTAGGATGATGGCACCGCCAGCACACGCGCAGCCTGGTTTAGTGTCGTCTTCAGCAACTCAGTACGGGGCTCATGAGCAGACGCATGCTATGTATGGTAGGAAGAACTTTGTCTTTCTCACTGTGTGCGATTTTGCTTAACTGGTTTCAAACTCTGTAAATGTGCCCTGTTTAAAAATAACCCAAGTCAAGCCAGGCATCAGTGGCTTACGCCTGTCATCCTAGCTACGCAGGAGGCTGAGATCTGAGGATCACGGTTCAAAGCCAGCTTGGGCAAGAAAGTTCGTGATACTTTTATCTCCAATAAACCACTCCGAAAACTGGAAATGACGCTGTGGCTCAAGTGGTAGAGCACTGGTCCTGAGCTGAAGAGCTGAGGGGTAGCTCCTAGATCCAGAGTTCAAACCCTATGACTAACATAATAAATAAATAACCCAAATTAGGTGTGGTGGCTTAAGCTTTTGATATAATCCTAGCTCCTCAGGAAGCTGGGGCCAAAGGATCTCTTAAATCCAGGAGCTGGAGGCCAGTTTGCCACATAGAGACCTTGCCTCAAAAACCTGCTAATCAAAGTCGGACATGGTAGCTCATGCCTCTAAACCTAGCTACTCAGGAGGTTGAGATCTGAAGATCACGGTTCAAAGCCAGCCTGAGCAGCAAAGTCTGCGAGACTCCTTATCTCCAATTAACCACTAGAAAATTGGAAGTGGCGCTGTTGTTCAAGTGGTAGAGCACTAGCCTTGAGCTGAAGAGCTGAGGGACAGCGCCCAGGCCCAGAGTTCAAGCCCCATGACCAACAAAAAAAAAAGAGTGAAAAAAAACCCCAGCCAATCAGCCGAGCACTAGTGACTCGTGTGTAATCCTAGCTACTCAGGAAGCTGAGAACTATATTTCAAAGCCAGCCCAGACAGGAAAATTGCTCCATGCTAACACGTCTCTACTGCACCAACTACAGTATGATGCGGAATAGAGAGAGCACGGCATGTAGGAGTGGATCCCTTCTTCCTCCCTGGTTAACTCGTCTGGTTTAGCGTGCCTAAGGCATCAGGACATGTTTACGATAGGAAGATGCCAGAGACGTTCTTTGAGCAGGAAAACTACTCCTTCACAACTTTCTGGGGTACTAGCATTCCATTACACTTTTTAAAATTTTTTATTTTATTTTTGTCAGTCATGGGGCATGAACTCTGGACCTGGGCTCTGTCCCTGAGCTTGTCAACTCAAGACTAGCACTCTATGACTTTGAACCATAGCTCTACTTCTGGTTTTCTGGCGGTTGATTGGAGATAAGAGACTCGTAGACTTTCCTGCCTGGCTTGGCTTTGAACTGCCATGCTTAGATATCAGTCTCTTGAGTAGCTAGGATTATCGGCGTGAGCCACTGGCTCTAAATTTGCACTTTTTTTTCTTTGTAAACCAGTATTTGTTATAATGATATTGTTTCTATAGCATGCTTTATTGTAAGTGGATGGAATTGGTTAATATTACATACATCTTTATTTTTGGTGATGCTGGGGATTGAACTCAGTGCCTCATGCATGCTAGGCAAGCACTGTACCACTCAGCCTCTTTCATGACTCACACATTAAATATATACTCAACACAAACAATTGTACAGTTAAATGAGTATCTTGTATAATGTTAAACAATACTGTGCCAGGAACCAGAGGCTCATTCTTTTTCTTTTCTTTTTTTTTTTTTTTCCCCTTTTAATTAAAAAATGTTTTTTGGCAGTCCTGGGACTTGAACTCAGGGCCTGGGCACTGTCCCTGAGCATCTTTTTCCTCAAGACTAGCACTCTCCCACTTGAGCCACAGTACCACTTCCCTGTTTTTCTTTGTATGTGGTAATGAGGAATCAAACCCAGGGCTTCATGCATGCTAGGCAAGCGCTCTACCACTGAGCCACATTCCCAGCACAGCAGCTCATTCTTGTGATCCTAGCTACCCAGTGGGCTGAGATTTGAGGATTGTCATTCAAAGCCAATCTGGGTAAGAAAGTCCAGACTTATCTCTAATTAATCACCAAAGATCTGCAAGTGGAGCTGTGGCTCAAGTGGTAGATGCTAGCTAGCCTTGTGCCAAAAGTTCAGGAACAATGCCCAGGCCTTGAGTTCAAGCTCCAGGACTGGTCCCCCCCCCCCCCCCCCCAAAAAAAAAAAAACACAACAAAACAAAACAAGAACAAAAACATTGTACCCACTGTTGGTGCTGGAGCTGGGATTGTAGCCATCCAGAAGGCATTGATCAGGAGGGAGGATTGTGGGTATAATTCATATTGTCCATCTTAGTTTTATGGCCAGGGAACTTTGAAGTAGGTCAACTCAGCTGTTTAAGGCACTAAAGTAACAGCATGTTCTGTGCTAAAAATTTAAGTAAGCTGGGCACTGGTAATCCTAGCTACTCAGGAGTCTGAGATCTGAGGGTTGTGATTCAAAGCTAGCCTGGGCAGTAAAGTCCGTGAGACTCTCATCTCCAATAAACCACCAGAAAACTGGAAGTAGGGCTGTGGCTTAAGTGATAGAGCGCTAACCTTGAGCACAGAGAGGCTCATGGTCCTGAGTTCAAGCCCCAGGACCAAAACCAAATCTGATCTTCCCGCATAATCAATTAAAGCTTATTATTAATAATTAACCAACTTGCCCAGCACTGGTGATTCACGCCTGTAATCCTAGCTACCCAAGAGGCTGATGTGTAAGGGTCATGGTTCAAAAGCAGCCTTGGCAGAAAAGTCCTACCAAAAAACTAGAAGTGGAGATGTGGGCCAAAGCTGTGCCAGCCCTGAGGAGAAAAAGCTTAGGGATAGCGCCCACGCCCTGAGTTCAAGCCCCATGACCAACCAATAATAATACTACTAATAATAAGCCAACTAATTTTGTTTTGGGAATCTCATTTTGTTGTTTTGGCATGGTGGTACATGTCTGTAATCCCAGTACTTGGGAGACTGAGAGAGGAGGATCCGTTTGAGACCAGCTTAGACTTATACAGTATACCTTGTCTTAGAAAATCAAAAGGGCTGGAAGTATCAGCTGGACCTGTGGAGCACTTGCCTAGCAAGCATGAGCCCCTGAGTTAAAACTTCAGTACCACCCCAAAGAAGAAAGTAAAAAAGTTCAGAAGAAATAAAGAACAGTGTAACTGAAAATTAGTGACTGGGTGGTTTGTCTTGTGTTGTCACATCTCTCCTGCTTGTTGTAACCAGGCTAGGAACGTGTGAAGGTGCTGTGGGTTCTTTTTTTCTTTTTTTCTTTTTATTTTTTGGTGTTTCTGTGGCTTGAACTCAGAGCCTGGGCTCTGTCCCTAAGCCTCTTTATGCTCAAGGTTAGCACTTGAGCCACAGCACCATTTCTGGCCTTTTTAATTTATTTTATTTTATTTGTGAACATACTGTACAGAGGGGTTACAATTACATGGGCAGGATAATACGTACATTTCTTACCAAGCATTGCAGCCTCCTCCTTTGTTTACCCTTCACATCCCTTCCCAGCCTTCCCCCCCCCCCCCCCCCCTTTTCTGAGTAGTTTATTGGAGATAAGAGTCTCACAGCCTTTCCTGCCCAGGCTGGCTTTGAACCACAGTCCTCGGATCTCAGCCTCCTAAGCTGGTGTTGACAGGCGGGAGCCGTGGTTCTTTGTGCTGGCTTCCATGTAACTGCGCTCATTTGCAGCTTTCCATTCTGTTAAAGTCTCCTCTGAATTCTGCTTGTTTCTTTTTTAAAATGTATTTATTTTGTCGAAGGGCTTGAACTCTGGGCCTGGGCACTGTCCCTGAGCTCTTCAGCTCAAGGCTAGTGCTCTACTACTTGAGCCACAGCACCACTTCCATTTTTCTGGCGGTTCATTGGAGATGGGAGTCTCAGAGACTTTTTCCTGCCAGGCTGGCTTTAAACTGTGATCCTTAAATCTCAGTTCCTGAATAGCTAGGGTTACAGGCGTGAGCCACAAGCGCCCAGGTAATTTTTTTAGATTATGGTAAAGGTGATGAACAGAGGTGTTAGAGTTACATAAGTCAGGTAATGAGTATATATGTCACCCTCTTCCCTCATTTTCTCAAAGATTGCCCCAGCCCTCTCTGCTTGTTCCTGTGTAGATTCAAAGCTAGATCATTTCCATCTGGGATGTGTATGACTTTGTAGTGTTCTGGCTATCTTGGGATGGACTTCAGCTACGAACCTCATCCCTGACTGGAGGCTGTCATTCATCATTGCCACTCTCTGCCTAAGAAGTTATGTCATTTTTGTCTCCCACCCCAGTCCTGGTTTATGGTGATGCTCTTGCTACTCTGTACTGAGGACAGAGACACCAAAAGAGTCAGAGCTGGGCTCTTCTTTGATCTGCTTTTTAGTAGCTTGCTGATGATCCCCTAAAACCATACACACACCCAACCTCCATGTGTAGACACAGTTTATTAAGAAATGGTAACAAACTCATGCTTTTATTAATCCTAAGCTTTTGGATCTACTACCAGATTCCTGTAATAACATTTCTATTATTTGTGCATCTTGAACACTAAAATGCTATTTGATTTGGGTACAATTATGTAAACATTGTTCAATGAAATGTTGATCTTTTTAATCAGACAATTATTTCATTGCTTTTGTTTAAGCTATCAGCATGTGGAACTTGCTAGCTCAGTACAGAGGGAAAAAAAATGTCTTCCTGGTCAGTCTGTCTGCAAATTTTGTTTAAAATGCCCAGCTTCTCTTGTAAAGTCAAAATGAATTATGCATGAATACAAAAATATTACTAAATATGTCAACCTTTCCAGAAAATTAGGAGAATGCACACCTCAAAAGGCTAATTTACCTTTCTATTTCCAAATTTAGCATGTCCCAAATTACCGTACAACAAGGAGACAAGCCCTTCTTTCTACTTTGCCAGTGAGTTGGGTTTTTTATACTAATTTTAATTGCACAGTAAAACACTTTTTAAAGAATACATGTTAAAGGGAGCAGACCTATTGGACAGTATTTTCCTTGTGCCAGACCAAAATCATTAAAAATATGTATATTTGTAAATCATTCAGACTTTTGAAAAAGGAAATATAACCCAGCTTAAGAAAGCTGGAGTTAATAAAAAAATTATATTGTTTCGGACATTAATTTTTGCATACCAAGCTAACACAAAACTGTTTGAGAAATGCCTGATGCTTTTCTTGGTCAGGAAAACCTTTCTGAACAGCTATTTTATACCAAGCTAGAGTTTCAAATTAAGGCAGTAGTGGTTTGAGTATCCTGACAGAAAAAAAATTCACTCCTCCCAGCATGCTTCATTGACCAGGGTTGCCGAGCTAGATAGCTGGGGAGGACCGCCTGTGTGTGGCTGCCGTTTTAAACCCTGGACCAGACACGTTCAGGAAGTGCCGAGCCAGTGGAGGCTGCCTGTGGCTGCATGCGGCCTCTCCCTCTGGGATGGTCCTTCAGACATGTTTTCCCACCTGATGCGGGGCAAGCTGCTGCATGTCGGCAGGGGGCTAGCAGGCCCACTGGGCACCATGTTGTTCCCTGGGTCACTCTGGAATTCTTGTTACTAGGATTTTTCGAGTCACTTGGTATCTGACTACTGCATGCCAGATTCAACTGTGTAAAAACATTTTGATCTTAAATTTTTGTTAATTGTGCCATGACTTGGTATCCAAAAATAAACTTATAAAATTAGTATTTATTTACTTATTTGGTGCTAAGAAGTGTTCATGAATTTAATCCTTTAATAGATTCTCTTTAAAAAGGAGTCTTGCTGTATATGTATACTATTAAAAGGAAACTGTGTCTGTGATTACAGTGTGTAAAAGATAGTGTCAGTGGTTAACTTTATTACATAGCAATTTGAGCTCTGATGGACTTATTCTCACTATCTTACTGTCTTAGTACTTAGTCATTTCCCGGGTAAGTTGACAAAAGGTCTGTAAATGGAACTCTGTTGGGCAGCTGTAATTAAGTGGAGCTTATTTTCCACTTTTGAGCCATCTTTGATGGATTGTTGTGGTTTTGGTCAGGTTGCCCCTTACTCCCTTACTAGAATTTGCCAGTTTGATTCACTTCCCCTTCTTCCCCTTTTTTGAATCCAACATAGGGTTTAGTTGAAAAATTCTGGGGCTGGGAAGGTGGCTCAGTGGTAAAGTGCTTGCCTTGCATACATGAGGCCCTGGGTTCAATTCCTCAGCACCACATAAGCAGAAAAAGCTGAGGGGTTGGGAGTTTAGCCTAGCGGAAGGCTGCCCACCCGGCGCACGCAAGGCCCTGGCCTGGGTTCAGTCCTCAGCCCTGGAAACAAAAAAAAGAAAAGAAAAAGCTGAAATGGCACTGTGGCCCAAGTGGTAGAGCGCTAGCCTTGAGCTGAAGAGATGAGGGACAGCGCCCAAGCTCAGAGTTCAGGCCTCATGACCGATTAAAAAAAAGCAAAGAGGGAGGGAGAGCTGAAAGATTGTTTTGTTTCACGTTTAATGTTTGCGCTGTTGGTGACAGCTCATGACTTGTGTCTCCAGGGTAAACGTGAGACAATCTAGTCAGAACAGGTGTGCTACTGCCTGGGTTTGCTTCCCTTAGGATCATGACTTAGGAGAATAGGTAGCTATTTTCAGAATGTGGTTTTCGTTATGATGAATTTGAATTTCAAATATTGATGCCAAGGGTCATGTGGGGTAGGAGAATTTGACCCACCTTGGTCGAATTCAGACTGCATGAAGGCCACATGAGTTCAACTGATGCATGAACAGGTCTGGTGGGAGAATCCCGGATTTGAGCTCACAAGGACTGCTCCTCCTGCTGCTAGTTCACCCCCTCCCTTCCTGCGCTTACTTATTCTTATGTGCGCGCGCTCTTTCTCTCCCTCTCTCCCTCCCCCCTCCTTCTCTCTCCTTTCCTCCCTCCCTCCCCCCTTTGCCCTCTCTCCCTCTCTCCTCTCCCTCTCTCCCCCTCTCCCCACCCTTCCTCTTTCTCTCCCTCTCTTTAGCAGTTCTGGGGTTTGAACTCAGCCTCCTGCTTGATGGGCCAAGTTGTTCTGCTACTTGAGCCACACCCCAGCTTTTCCCCATTAATTTCTCTCCTCTCCCTTTGTGTCACTTTTAAATGGGCTTTCTAGGAACTGTGTTAGTGTCAAATTACAATTTTCTCAATTAACATTTACATCTTATGAACTAAATGGGAAAAAAAACAAAAACTAATTCCATGTCACATCGCCTTGCTTTTTTTTTCTTTGCTAGTAGTTCTTTCAGGTAATGCGATGGATTTGTTTGTGAGTTGTGATAGAGTTCATGTAGAATCAACACAGCTTGGTTCCTTGCAGTGTTTGTGCTATACATGCAATCAGCTCTAGATTCTAGTACTCCATTTTATGTTCATCTTATATTGGCAAATTTACACTACCCAAGTTATTTTTTTAAACTGCCCGGTGAGGACTTGGCACTGTGGCTCACAGTGGTAGAGCGCTTGCCTTGAGCAAAAGAGCTCAGGGACAGTGCCCAGGCCACGAGTTCAAGACCCATGATCAACAAAAGGAGAAAGAAATACACTGTGAAAGTATGCCCCACTCACTTGGAAAACTGAATCGAGGAAGATGACTTGTTCCCAGGATTCCAAGGCCAGCCTGGACCACATCACAGAGACTTCATCTCCAAAAAAGAGGAAACTAATCAATCATGGAGACATGACTGAGCTGGGGTTGTATAGCTCAGTGAGTGACAGACAGAATAGGCTTAACATGCTTGGCACTGAGAACCCAATGCTGCTGGCCACAGAGCGGGACCCTGTCCTAAAACACTACTCTCAAAAAAGCTTTCACCTTTAATTGTAATTTCAAGATTTTCACATTGTCCCAGTTGATAAAAATGTAATTATGATAATTAGCAATAGCCATGTTGTAGCTGCCAGGCACCGTGGCTCCTGCCTCTGATGCTAGCTACTCAGAAGGCTCAGATCTCCGAATCAAAGCTAGCTCGTGAAGAAAACTGAGAGGTACTGTCGCCAATGAACAGTGATGCTGTCCCAAGTTGTGGCTCAAGTGGTACAGTACCAGCCATGAACGAAAACGCCAAGCAAGAACACCAGGCTTTGGTACAAGCCTTGGCACTGGCACAACATTTAACCAGTTGATTAATTAACAATCCACCACTCCACTAGAAGCCTTTTGCAAAATCTTAATACTTTGCTTAGAAGTAATTAAAAATGGAATCTGAGCCCAGTGTTGGCGGCTTATGACTGTAAAACTAGCTACTTAGGAGACTGAAATCTGAGGATCAGCCCAGGCAGGAAAGTCTGTGAGACTTTTATCTCGAATAAACTACCAAAAAGCTGGAAATGGAACTATGGTTCAAGTGGTGGAGTTTTGCCTTGAGCAAAAGAAGGTCGGGGACAACAAGAAATTTGAAAAAGTTTAGCTGGGCACTGGTGGCTCACGCCGATAATCCTAGCTCCTCAGGAGGCTGAGATCTGAGGATCATGGCTCAGAGCCAGCCCTGGCAGGAAAGTCTGTGAGACTCGATCTCAGAAGTATCAGAGCTGTGGCTCAAATGATAGAGCACCATCCTTGAGCAACAAAGATCTTTACAAGAACCACCAAGAATCAAATTTTAGTTGTTCTCAATGTCTTTTGTTTTGAGATGAGATCTTGCGTTGTCCAGGCTGGTCTCAAACCGTTATCCTGCTTGAGCCTTTTGAGCAATGGGGACTGCAGTCGTGCATCACTGAACCCAGCCTTGTGTCAGATATTGAGACCAGTGCAAGTGACAGCTTGTCTTAAAACCCATAAACTGGTGAAGGACGGTCTGAGAAAAAAAATCCCTTTTCCAAGAAGTCCCACTGGTTGGCACTGTGGTTCCCATGAAGGCTATTTGTCACCTCTCCAAAAGTTGCTGGTCCCAGAGGTGATTACAGTAAAGTGTCTGTGCGCACGGGCGCCTTGAGTTTAGAGCACTCTGCTCCCTCTGAACTAGGAATCAAGGAACACTGGTGCTGGCTGTGCACACTCTGCCTTGCCTTTCCCCTTCCTCCCCCTCCAGAAAGGCACATTCATGGCTGGACAAGGCCCCGCCGGAGCTAGAGTCCTCTATCCTGCTTCCCTCCATCTAGGATGGGCCGCAGGCTGACCCCGCCTGACCCCAAAGCGTGCTGGCTCCTGTCCTCGCTCTGCTGTGGGCTCAGCTCAAAGCAGTCACGGTGCCCATCTCTGAGAAGTCTGGCAGCAGGCATTGCCTGAACCGCTCTGCGCTCCGTGCACCGCGGGCTCCTTCGTCCCCAAGCCGTGCGGCCTCTTCCTAGCCTTTCAGTTCTTCGAGTTGCTGTTTTGGGAAGCCAGGGACAAATGACTTCGTTCCTCATATCCCTGTTTTGTACCAAGTTATGACTCAAGACTGACATGCATGAAATTTTATCTTAGTGACCACATTTCTACTAAATGGCCATCATACTTCCTTTGAACTTACTCTAGGAAAATTCTGAGGGGTTTGAGCTATTTCGAAGGGGTCCCGATTTCATATACTTTAGGCAGTTTCGTAGATGTTGTAATCTAGGAAACCTATGAGGAGTCTCGTCAGGGCTGCAGGGAACAAGCTGGAGTGTGGATGCTCCCAATGGGCTTAGAAGGGGCTCATTGGACCCTACGGCAAACAGCCCGTCTCTCCAGTGTGGCCGTGTGCGCACGTGTGTGCCTGTCACTGCAGCTCCAGGCGGCAACACGGTGGGGTTAGCCGGGTGGTCCCTTGTGACTGGCAGGCATTGTGTCCTCGTGGTTGCCAGCACAGTTGGAGTTGGTTTTGCCCACATTTCAAAGTTGCCTTTGAAGGATGCAGTTAACATTTCAGAGTAGTCAAGTCACATGCTAGTCTGATGGTCAGGAAGAGACTGCTGTCCTCATTTTCCGAGCTGGATGGAGGAGGTGGCTGTGGAGGAGCGGCAGCGCCGGGCGGCGCGGCGCAGCTGTCCGGCAGCTCGGGAGGAGGCAGGCTCTGTGCGATGGGTTCGGCCGCCGTGCGGCCATTGTGCATGCTCTTTTCCTCTCTCTAGTTTCCACAGGCTCCCTCGCTCAGCAGTACGCGCACCCCAGCGCTACCCTGCACCCCCATCCTCCACACCCTCAGCCCTCAGCCACCCCCACGGGACAGCAACAGAGCCAGCACGGCGGAAGTCACCCCGCACCCAGTCCTGTTCAGGTGAGCAGAGTCCGGGCCTTTTGGCTTCTCCACACAGAGGTGACAGAACCCAGCAGCGCAGCTACACCCCGCCCCTTGCTTGGACCCCGCACGCCCCCACTTGAGCCTGCGTCCTCTCTACACGCCCCTGGGAGGAGGGCAGAGCTCAGAAGCAGCGCCTTAGGGACCGAGGCAGACCAGCGTGATTGGACCAAATGGAACTTACTGATGTTGGAAATCGAATGCAAAGCTCCTAGTTTGTTTTTGGTTTTGTTTTTGTTTTTTTTTTGGGGGGGGGGGGTCCGGTCATGGGGCCTGAACTCTGGGTCTGGGCGCTGTCCCTCAGCTCTTCAGCTCAAGGCTAGCGCTCTACCACTTGAGCCATAGCGCCACTTCTGGCTTTTTTCTTTTTGCTTATGTGGTGCTGAGGAATTGAACCCAGGGCCTCATGCATGCAAGGCAAGCGCTCTACCACTGAGCCACCTTCCCAGCCCTCCTAGTTTAATATAAAGCAAATTCTTACTTGCTTGGGACTTTGTTTCATTCTTAAAGCTTATATGCTAAGCTTTTTCGTATTTGGGAACTAGTCCTGGGGCTTGGGCTCAGGGTCGGGGCATTGTTCCTGAGCACATGTTTGCTCAAGGCTAGCACCACAGCTCCACTGACTTTTTTTTTTGAGTAGTTATTTTAGATAAGTCTCATGAACTTTCTTGCCTGGGCTGCCTTTGAACCTTGGTCTTCAGATCTCAGCCTCCTGTGTAGCTAGCATTACAGATGTGAGCCACCAGCGCCCAGCTGGTGCTATGGCTCAAGTTGTAGAGTGCTAGTGGTGAGCAGAAAAAAGCTCCGGGACAGCGCCTAGGCCCTGAGCTCAAGCCCCGGGACAAGTCCAGAAAATAGTTTCGCAGACGTTTCTGTCCACGTTGGCTTTGAGGAGGAGATGACAGCTGGGCAGTTGGGCTTCTAGGTGTGAGCCATGGACCCCCATTCCCCCATCCCGTCCCACCCCTCCCCGCCCGCCCCCGCGCCCCCCGTGGTGTGTGCTAATGAAAGAAATAGGGAGTGTGTCTGTGGGCGGTGCATCGCTTCCCTCAGCTCAGCTCTTCCCTCTTCCTATCCAGCATCATCAGCACCAGGCCGCCCAGGCTCTCCACCTGGCCAGCCCACAGCAACAACCAGCTATTTACCACGCGGGGCTGGCGCCCACCCCACCCGCCATGACGCCAGCCTCCAACACACAGTCGCCACAGAACAGTTTCCCCACAGCACAACAGACGGTGTTCACCATCCATCCTTCTCACGTCCAGCCGGCATACACCAACCCACCACACATGGCCCACGTACCTCAGGTAAACCGGCGCGCGCCGCCGCCCTGTGCACACCGAGTGGGAGCTGGTGGTGATGAGATGCGCGGCCTGGAGCCAGTGATCTCCCAGCCAGGAGTCCTGTGTGTGGTGCCACCCGCCCGTCTCCCTCCCCGCTCGGCGCAGTGGCCTGGCCCTCAGTGATCGTGTCGTGGCTTTGTGCTGAGATCAGTGGAGTTGTGATTGGCCAGTCCTGTGACGTTCCCCAGCTCAGTGGAGTTGTGATTGGCCAGTCCTGTGACATTCCCCAGCTCAGAATGCACCCAGTCCTTCCTTCCTTCCTGTGTCTGCTTTGCTCCGTGTAAGCTTCACTACTGTGTATGTATGTGCACACACACACACGCGAGCGTGCATGCGCACGCACACACAAGGCAGAGTGGGTAGGCTTTTGCAGAGGGAGTCTCAGCAATAAGGTAGCTACACTAGGCTTGTCAGCTCGAGTCCATCACAGAGTTTCAGAGAAGTGTGTCTAGTTGTGTGCCCGGTGCCCTCCCTCCTCTGACCATGTCCGGTAGGGCGAAGGCGTGGCTTGGTAGCTCGGTGCAGCGTTGGCCGGAGGCTCACAGATGTCCGTCTCCCTGCAGAGCAGCCCTGCAGTGCCCAGGGCTCAGCTGGCAGTGGAGAGGTGTGGTTGCTGTGTGGTCAGCTGTGCGGGGCAAGGGTGGACTGAGCATGAGGATCAGGTGCTGGCGCTGGGCTGTCCTGGAGGCCCAGGTGCTGTGAGGTGAACTGGCGTTGGCAGAGGTCCCCGCTGCTCCCGTGCTCGCCTCTTGGAGTTACCCAACTCCAGCTCCTGGCAAGAGTGCATAGGGAGGCTTTGGCCTGGCGTGGCCTAGAGGTGTGGCGCACCTGCAGATCCCAGGTTCCGCGGTGGATGCTGAGGAGGCCCGGCCTCTCCTGGGGCGCGTGGCCAGCCAGCTGGCATGCTCGGCGTAGCCGCTTGCTTGGTGCCATCAGCTTCCTGGCGCTGCGTCCCGTGGAGGCCACGCAGCCTGGTCGGCGTGGGGCCTTCCGTGCAGGCTGGGGTCCCAACAAGCAAGCAGCTTACCCCAGGGCGGTGCGCACATGGCCGGGGCCCATTCGGATGTGTGGACTGGAGGCTTGTGTGTGGAGCGTGGCGCAGCCTGGGAGGCAGGCAGGACCCCGCGGCCTGGGCTCGCTGAGGCCGCCTGCCAGCCTGAGATGATGAGGACCCTTTCTATCCCCCCAGAGTGTTCCCCAGCTTCCTCCTCCTGCCCCGCAGGGAGGGCGCCGAGGAGAGGCCTCGGCCCTGTCGGCCGCGCAGGCCGGCCTCTGCCTTCCTGCTCGTGGCAGTGTTCTTGGAAAGCACATCCGGCCTGCTGGCGGCGTGGGCTGACCTCTTGCCCTGGTATAGGGAGACACCAGGCCTGCACTTGGTCGCGTCCGTGTCCTTGTCCCAGGTGGAGAGGACGTGGTCAGACTGGCTGCGGGCAGCTAGGACCGACAGCCTGCTGCGTCCTGGGCTCCTTTGGTGCCCGCTCCTCCTCCACCCCGCAGGACCCACCCAGGGGGAAACAGGGCCTGGCCCCAAGCAAACAAGGGCCCTGAGGCCAGCTCCCGCCCTTCCCTGCCAGCCCGGCCCGGCCCCGGCTCCCCTGCACCCCACCCCACCCCCGCCCCGCCCAGCGAAAGGAACACAGTGACATGTTGTTGAAGCCGGAGATGTTGCCTGTATGCGTAAAAGAGCTCTCTGTTTCAGGCCCATGTACAGTCAGGAATGGTTCCTTCTCATCCAACTGCCCATGCGCCAATGATGCTAATGACGACACCGCCACCTGGCGGCCCCCAGGCCGCCCTCGCTCAAAGTGCACTACAGCCCATTCCAGTCTCGACAACAGCGCATTTCCCCTATATGACGCACCCTTCAGGTGAGGCCTGTGTGTGCAGGGGCCGCCGGGGCACCCCAGCATTCCGCTCGCACAGCTCCATCGCAGGCAGGGCCGGCGCTTCACGCCCCACACCCCAGAGTAGCGAGACCCGTCCGAGCGCGCGCCCAGGTCAGCGCAGGGCCCCGGCCAGGAGCCGAGTGTGTGTGTTCTGATGGTACAGGGTGTGCTGGAGCGGCACCAGCGGTAGCTGGCGCAGGCCGAGGACTCAGTTGGCCTTCGTGTTACGGCAGGCTGGACAGGGCGGTGTGTCCCCCGAGTCCCGGCAGGCTGACAACGCAGGGGGTTATGAGCAGATGGCTTGGCGGAGAGCACGTGCGCCCGTGCTGTGTGTGGACTGGTGGAGTGCAGGGTCGGCCCCAGCCCGCGCCCGACAGGAGGACGCCCGCGGTGTCTCGTATGGCTGGCTGCGTGGCAGTCACAGCAACACTGGTGCTTGGCTAGCATTCGGGGTGGGGGCGTTAAGGCCCCCTCTCCTGCCCCATGAGCAGCAAGTCTTCTGGGAGATTTATCTGCAGTGGTTTCATGTCTGACTGGTTCGTTTCTCCCCCACCCCACGCCACGCCACCCCACCCCACCCCACCGCGGTGCAGATGGGAGGGGGCGCGCTGAACCTCGGTCTTGCGCAGCTAGCTCCAGGATAGTTGGCAGTTGGCTGCAGAGACACTAGGCTGGTGTGCAAAGGCGCCAGTGGTGTTTAAATGTGCACTTTTCTTTCTTACAGTGCAAGCCCACCACCAGCAGCTGTAAGGCTGCCCTGGAGGACCCGAAAAGCCAAATCCCCTCCTCCCTTCTACTGCTTCTTCCGACTGGAAGCACGGAAAACTAGTTTCACTTATTTCGGTTTTTAAACAATATACGTTGATTTCTTGTAACATCCAATAGGAATGCTAACAGTTCACTTGCAGTGGGACGTATGTGGACGAGTTTAGGAACTTGTGGGCTGCTCCATAATCCCATGCTGTTCCAAAGCCCCCAAGTGCCCAGCTCTGCTTGCCGAAACTGGAAGTTATTTATTTTATAACGGTCCTTGAAAGTCATGAACACATCAGCTAGCAAAACAAGTAACGAGTGGTTCTTGCTGCTATTACCGCTTTTAAAAGAAAATAAATCAAGACTCGGAACGCCCTTTTACTAAACTTGACAGAGGCTCAGTCAATTCTTACCATCAAACTGATGGCTTATTATTTATAAATCAAGTTTGATGAGGCGATCACTGTCCACAGTGGTTCAACTTTTAAGTTAAGGGAAATCTTTTACTTTGTAGATAATATAAAATAAAAACTAAAAAAAAAAATTAAAAAATAAAAAAAGTTTTAAAAACTGCTACCAAATCGGTGTGTGTGTATGTGTGTGTGTGTGTGGGTGTGTGGGTGTGTGTGTGGAGGAGGGCAGGCCAGGACTGCCCAGCGAGGCGGTTGAAATGCCTTCTCTTCTTCCCCTTCAGTGCCAGCTCGCGTGTCTAGGGAAAGGCGAGGCTGAGGTCCCTGTCCCCTGGGTGGACCAGCAGTCACAGCGGCAGGAGAAGGCTGGCCAGAGCTGGGCAGCACTGAGGCTGCACCTCGAGCGAGCGCCGCTGCTGTAAGCTCCCTTGCTTTCCTCCCTCTGGCCCCTGTGCATGTGCGTGCGGCTCGTGTCCAGGCGTGCCTGTCACCCTTTGGTGCCAGGGAACACTTTAGACATAGAGTGTGGCCTCCTCTGAGAATTTGCTGCTACCTGATTTGTGGGAAGGCGATGGGGCCCGGGAGTCTGGAGCCAGGGCAAGGATGGATCGAGATCAGTCAAACAATAACAGATGGAGATTCTGAAAACCTTTTTTAATTCACATAGAACAATTTGTACATTATAGCAAAATGTGCATTTCAAGAATAAGTTACTGGTACAGTACATAAACAATACATAAGAATTGACCAAATGCCTTCTGCCCTGTCGTAAGAGGAGCCCAGCCACACCGCACGGCTCTCGCGGCCTTGTCAGGAGGTGGTGGATAAATACGGTGGAAATGTTAGTGCTAACTTGATGCTTCGTTAAGGCCGCCTGAGTGAAGGGACGGCCCAGGCCGCCCTCAGAACCGCAAGGCCTGCACGGAGGTTGTGTGAAAATAGTGTTCTCTGGCCCCCAAGATTTTAACAATTGTTATTCCTCTCTCCTGCACGGTCCAGACATGATCAAAGGCAGAAGATTTATCCCATAGAAAGCCGTATGGATTGCTGGTCTAAAATTCAAGGCAGGTTAGTTGACTTAATTCTTTGGTGCTGGTGACTGAAGTCCAGTGGGCAGGTGGCGTGGAGGTGCTTGCGGCCGCTGACTCCTGCCAACTGGTGGGCGGCCCTGCGCACACTGCCCAGTTTGGCACAGAGCTGAGCTCCTAGTGCGGGAAGCTGCCAGTCTGGCCCCAGGGGCCAGGGGAGGACACATGAGGACGGGCAGGAGGCAGGGCTTGGGCACTGTCCCTGAGCTTTTTTGCTCAAAGCTAGTGCTCTGCCACTTGAACCCCATTTCCACCTCCAGATTTTTGCTGGCTAACTGAAGGCTTTGCTTTCCTGCCTGCCTGTGAGCTGAGAACCTGAGCAGCTAGGGTTACAGGAATGAGCCACGGGTGCTCAGCTATAGTAGTAATTTTAGAGAAACCTGCTTAGAGAAGATGGTGGCGTCTTTAAGGACTGGAGCGCAGGGCTGATCTGCTTCTTGATTCAAGGGAGCGGTGAGTTGAGCAGCCGGCTGCTGGGGGGGGGGGGGGGGGTCGCGGTGGCCCTGTCTGACTGTGGCCACACCTTGAACTGTGGGGCTGTCTTGTGCCTGGCCTCTCTGCTGGGGCCTGACCCCTGCCAACAACGCCACTTGCGGCGATGGCTGTGGCTGCCGCTGCCCCGCTGAAGCAGCTGCCTGTGGGCGGGCAGCCACTCTGTGGTGTGCTAGCTCTCTGGTTCTACTGTGGTTCAGAAAGGGACCTAGAGCCCATTTCTGAGATAAGTTTACAAGCCAGCAGTGCCCTGGAGCCCTCTTCCTTTGTGCTTGTCTCCCTCCAAAAAGCCACTGTCCACTAGAACACAGTTCTTTATTCATAAGGCACCAGGTAGGCCTGTTCCTCGCCGCCCGCAAGGGTGCCGCTCACGGCTCTGCAGCGGGCTGCACAGCAGCCCTGTCCGAGTGCAGCAGCCCTGAAGTGAGCCATGGTTTTAGTTTGGAAACTGAATCCTTTAGAAAGCTAACCTGAGGTAAAATGTTTAAAGTTGTTTGGCCCTCGAACAGAGCTCCTGTCCTGAAGCTGGGGGGAGGGGGGGGGCAGGGGGGAAGCTGGGGGGAGGGGGGGGGGGAGGGAATCTCCCGTGTCAGGTGGGCCTGCCATAGACCTGCAGCTACACAGGGGAAGCCATGGGAGGATCCTGGCTTGTTAGTGTTTTGGGCTTCCTGGTGACCCCACCCCATCCCCAGTGGGAAGCCCATGGTGGGCTGTGAGGTCCGTGGCCAGGGGAGGAGCCTCATGGCGTCCCGCCCTCACCCCTCCACCTGTGAAGCTCCAGGACTGGTCCCTAGGACCAGGAGAGGAGCTAGCCGCAGCGTCGCCAGACAAGAACATCTGTAAACAAACTGAGACCGTGAGGCAGGCTGCTGGCAGAGGGTGGCCCCCAGTCACACTGGGCCGCTCACAGCGGTGTGTACTGGTTGTCCACCGCCCGCAGGTGGCCCTGGGAGGCAGAGTCCATCTCATAGTCCGAGCCCCGGGCGCCACCCCCAGCCACTGGCTCCAGGTGCCGCAGGCTGCGTGCCAGCTCCTCGGGCGAAGGCACAAGGTGGAAGATCTGCTCCGGTGGAGACACGCGACCGGACAAGGTCTCCGCACTGAGCCCACGCGGACAGTCCGTCGGGCCGAGGTGGGGAAGGCCCAGCTCCGAGTCCCAGCGGGGGAGGGGGAGGGGGAAGAAGACAGTGCTGCAGGAGCCTGGACGGGCGACAGGGCACACCATGAGTCCCCGCACCGCGCGTGCAAAGCACCCAGCCCTGCTCCCCGCCACGAGCGGGGACAGGCTTCGGGTCCCACCTGGCGGCTGGGAGACGACCACCACGTAGCTGGAGAGCCGGACGTCGCAGGTGGCCCCACACTCGAGCGGGATGGGCGAGCGCTGGAAGTGGTGGAGCATGGCGAGCACCGAGGGGAAGCGCAGGTGCTGCACGCGGCACTGGCCACGCTCCGACAGGGACAGGCGCAGGTGCTGCGGCGACAGCAGCGGGGCCGGTGGGCCGCCGCCCCCGCCGCGCCGCCAGGGCCTCGGGAGCCCAGCCGCCCCTCACCCCCCCTACCTTGGCTCGGCCCTGGAAGTTGAAGGTGAGCACGTACTCCCCGCGCCGGGACTCGCTCTGGCGCACCAGGAACACGCCATGCGCATCGGCGCCCTGCACCTGCACCAGCTGCGCCGCCCTCACCCTGGAGATGGCGCCGTGGAACCAGGGGTAGCAGGACAGAAAGCGGGTGGTCTTTTGGCAGGCCAGCTCGGGCAGTGTCCCAGGAAACGCGCCTGGCGGGGAAGATGGCCGTGAGCAGCTCCCCACCCCCTACCCCCGCCCCCGCCCGGCGCACGCAGAGGGGAGGCCGTGATCCCACCTGTGTCCAGGGAGTCCATGCTCCCCTGCGGGCAGCTGGGGGGGCCAAGCTCCTCTGGGGGAGGGCCCGCCTCCACGTCCACACCATCTAGTCTGTGGAGGAGAAGCTGGTGTGAGGGGCGGGGCGGGGCGCGAGGGCCGCAGCTAAAGCTGGGGTGCAGCTCACCCTGGGCAGTCCCGGAGCTCCGCCATCCAGGAGTTGAGCTGCTGCTCATCTGCCACCTCAAAGATGATGTCTGTCTGGTCTTCCACCTGGCAGGGCGGGAGGGGTGAGCAGATGGGCTTTCCACGGGGCACGCTCATGTTCGCCGTGAAGGTGTGCAAGTTGTCATGGCGGAGAGGAGGGGTGGACAGGTGAGGGGGGGCTCGGGCTCCCCTTGGGGCGGGGCGCACTCATTCACCTTCAGGACGAAGGTGTGCAGGTTGTCGGGCATCTCCAGCCGGGTGCAGCGCCGGACCTCACGGATGCTGGAGCAGGCCGCCTGCAGCTTGGGCTTGGAGCTCTAGAGGAGGAGGCGCACAAGGCTCGGCTCTGCTGCCGGGCAGGCGGGGCTGCCCACACCGCCACCCACCGCCAGACACGGGGCCACAGCACCCAGAGCATCGCGACTGCCGCGCGTGCACGGATCACCCGTGGCTGTGACAACCGAGCCAGGCTCCGGAGCACGCCCTCCTCCTGACACCGCAGCACGGCCCTGCGGACTCAGAAGTCAGGAGCCAATGAGGGCTTCCCTTGGAGCACCAGGGCCCCATTGGGGGGCGCGGCCCTCCAGGTCCGTCCCCGCTGCCGCCGGCTCTCTGCACTTTGCCGCGCCCTGAGGAACACAGCAGATGTCCTCCCTGTGTTCCACACGAGCCCAGTCCCCAGTGTGCGCCGCAGGCAGGCGACCCCTCCACACCCTGCCTGGTCAGTGGGGGGCGCTCGGTCTCCTCGTGAGGGCAGCACGCGTGGGACAGCGGGGAAGTGCATCTGCTCGGTGGACGCCACGGCTGTGCTGGACCCCACATGCTTGGGGTCCACATGGGCAGCTGAGCCTTGACACCGACACCGCGACTCCCCCTCCCCACCCCACCCCCACACACAGAGGAGGGGCCAAGCCACAGGGCCCGCCTCCTGATGTGCAAAGCTAGCATGGGCCCCGCCGCCTGGCAGCCCCAAACCAGGAAGACCCTTGTGTGGGCTCCAGTTCTGGGGCTTGAACTCGAGGCCTGAGTGCTGTCCCCCAGGCTGCTCTGCCAGTTAGCCCCAATAACAGCTTTTTTTTGGTGGTTAATAGGAGATAAGAGCTTCACAGACTCAGCTGAGATTCAGGCACGGAGCTCTGGGCATTAGAGCCCCACGTCACCCCTGGACTGTGTCAACCTGCAATGCCACCTAGGACCTGGACACCCCTATTGGCAGGACTCCCCACCACCCACTGTCCCCCTCCACCACAGATGCAGCATCCAACTCCAGACGCCCCCTCCCTCCAGCCAAGCAGTGCCCAGCGCACACGAGGAAACGGGTGGAGTGGGCGCTAGGGGGCAGCCCCGTGAGGACACGGAGCCCCTCTTAGCCGCCAGGGACAGAGTGGGTCCCCCCAAGCCTGCCAGGCTCCCGTGTTAAGCATCAGGGCCGCTGCCACTGCTGGCAGCTGTAGGGCGGCCTGAGCTCCCAGGCAGTGGCCCCACTGTCAGTTCGTGGGGACCCTGGAGGGGCACCCACAGGCAAGAGCCAAAACAATCTCCACTCACTTGTCCCGCTCCAGGACACCCCAGGCCGCGGCCAGCCCCTCACCCCCAGTGGAAGCAGGTGGAGCTGCTGGGCTGCCACCAACCTTAGTGCAGTGCCACGAGTTGCACGCTCGCCACACCCATGCCAGAGCCTGGGAGCCGGCTCCCGCCTGGCCACCGCGCACACGCGCACACATCTGCGGCCAACTAGGCTCAGGAAGAGGCACAGAATTGCGGGGCAGGTGCCCGCCCCTGGCAGCCCTGGGAAAGCAAGTCAGAGCAAGGGAGGGGTGGTTTCACCCTGTCGTGTGGAGACTGGCCCTGGACAACTGTGCTGTAGACTTCAGAAACCCACCTGGCAAGCTGGGATCCCAGCTACGCAGGAAGCTGAGATCTGAAGACCGTGGTTCAAAGCCAGGCTCAGTAAGAAAGGCCCTACGAGACTCATACCCCAAAAAAAAGGTAGAAGTAGTGTTGTGGCTCAAGTGGTAGAGTGAGTGCTAGCCTTGAGCACAGAGTTCAAGCGTCAGTACCAGCAAAACAAACCTGGCAGCTTCTCTACGCTGAGCCTGTCTCACTCCAGCACAGACAGCGAGCCCATGAAGGAAACGTGGCCCATTCATGCCGTGGAATATCTGACCCGAAGAAGGAACAAAATACATGACAGGCTGGACCCAGGCACCTGCAGCGCACGCCTGTCTTCCCAGCGACTCGGGAAGCTGAGATCTGAAGATCAGTTCAAAGCCAGCCCAGTTAGCAAAGCCTTGAGGCTCTGATTTCTAGTTCAGTACTATTAGAGAAAAAACAAAACACCACACCACACCACAGCTGAGAAACAGCACCCAGGCCCTGAATTCAAGCCCCAGAACCCACGCACACTCACAACGCACAAACCCTGGAAAACATGGAGCTAAGTGGAAGGCCAAACATGGCGTCCAGCACCACACCACGTGCCTGTGTGAACCGCGGGCACAGGCGGAGGAGCCTGGGGAAGCCGTGAGCCTGCGAGCTGCTCTGGGACGGGTAAGGCTGTGCACGCGCTGTCCAGGGCAGGGTGTCTGGCAGCACTAGCATTAGACCTCGGGGCTTTGTGAGAAAGGCACTGTCCGGGCTGGCCGGGGTAAGGTGCTTTCACGGTGGTGGTGGCACTGAACCGAACTTTGAACTTAAGAGCTTCATGCTGGCTAGGTGATCTGCTACTTGAGCCACACTGCCAGCCCCGGCCATTTCCGAGGTAGGTCTTGCTCCCGCGGAGGTCACGGAGGTCACCTTCGCTGTGTCCCTGGGTGTGGCAGGGTGTGCCACCGCACTTGGCCACTGGTAGAGTCCCTTCTGCCTGGACCAGCCTCAGACCTCCAGCCGATCCTCCAGTTCCTACTTCCAAGTGCAAGTGCTGGAGCATTGCATAGCGGAAAAAGATCCAAGACCAGCGAACGCCCCAAGCCACGTAATGCCGGCCACAGCTGGTGGGCGGGCGCCCTGGAGGATGAACGCAGATGCCGGCATGCGCAGGCCACCGATTCCTCGATTGCCCAGCGCAGGCCTTCCAGCTGGGGGCCTGGCTGTGCCAGGGTGGCGCCACCCACCACTTCCGCACCGGGGGAGGGGGAGGGACATGGAGAGTGCGCCCCAGAAAGGAAGCCAGGCAGAGGAAGCACCTCCCCCAGCCCAGTGGGGACAAGTGAGACCTTCCTGTCACCCCATTTCCTCCTCTTCCTCTGCGTTCAGAGCGCACGGGGGATTTCCACAGCCTGCCCGGCCCCTGGGGCAGCCAGCACCCCCGTGGGCTGTGCGGCAGCCTGCCCGACATCAGCTGGGCGGGGGGCGGGGGGGAGGCGCACCCCAGCCCAGGGCAGCACCCACTGCCAGACCCGAGGCCTAGCCCAGGTCCTGGCATCTAGCCAGCCACAGGGAAAACTGAGACTCAGAGAAGCAGATGTCTTGCCCCAAGTGCCACTGCGCAGATGAGCGCTCACGCTGCGCAGCCGCCTCTGCCATGCTGGCCTGATCTCACGCCAGCGATACCAGCAGCACCCCAACACAGCATTTGTTTGTTTTCGGTCATGGGGCTTGAACTCTGGGCCTGGGCGCTGTCCCTCAGCTCTTCAGCCTAAGGCTAGGGCTCTACCACTTGAGCCACAGCGCCACTTCCGGCTTTTTCTACTTATGTGGTGCTGAGGAATCGAGCCCAAGGCCTTGTGCACACAAGGCGAGCACTCTACCGCGGAGCCACCTGCCCAGCCCTGGTTTGTTGGTGTGTTTTTTAACTGTTTTGCCAGTCCTTGGCTGAGCTCAGGGCTGGGCACCGTCCCTCAGCATTTTTGCTCAAACCTGGTGCCCTACCACTTGAGCCACAGCTCCACTTCAGCTTTTTAGCAAACTGGAAGTAAGAGCCTCCCAGACTTTGCTGCCTGAGCTGCTTTGGGTGATCTCAGGACTCATCCTCCCGAGAGGCAGGGTTACAGGCGGAGCCGCCAGCGCCCCACTTTCCCAGACAGCCTCAAATGCACAAGGTGGCGGCAGCAGGTGCGAGGCAGGCGCGGGGCACAGGCGCGGGCTCCACCACGCCCTGCGGCCGGGCATTCTGCGCAGCGATGCACTTTTGAAGAGCAGCTTTGGAGAGAACCCCTAGAAAGGGCAGCACGGGGCACAGGAGTCCTGCTCACCCCCTTTCCTTCCTTCTACCAACCCCGCAGGCCCTGCGGGGCCGGGCAGCAGGGCAGCGCCTCACATCCACCCCCCACCCCTGCGGCATCCGTGCAGCAACTGCGGGATGGGCCCCGCCACGGAAAGCAGCAGGCCAGCGCGGGGACCACAGCTGCCCGAGCCCGGGGAGAGCGAGGGCTGCGGCCCTGTGGTCCAGTCCCCTGCCCTGGCTTCCTGCCGCCACGGGAGGAAGCGTGCCCGCTTCCTCTTTCCCAGTGGCCCAGCCGGCCTCCCTGCCTTTGTTTCCTGGGTTGCACAGCAACCACACGCACGCTCCGCGGGGCGGGACACGGCCGGGCGGGGCTCTGCAGCCCTGCCGCTGCGTGACGCGAGCAAAGGAAGAGGCCGAGAGCTTAGACCCCGTGCCTGGGCGCTCACTGGGGCCAGGAGCCCGGGAATGGGAGAGCAGCAGCCTTGGGCAGTTGAGAGGTGAACTTGAACTCTCAGCACCCCGGGCCCTGCTCAGCCCAGTCTGTGGAGCCAAGCTCTCTAGGAGTTGAGCCACTGCCAACTGTCCGCCTGATGCAGGAGGCCACAGGTGGCTCCAGAACTTTCCTCTGATCTACTGCCTCCATTTGTGATGTGACACGCCCCCTCCGCCCAGCCCGCACCAACCCCACTGCAGGGCCTTTGCACCTGCCAGTCCTCCACTCAGAAACCTCAGGACTGACGCTTCCTGACCACGCCCCCGGGGGGAGCCGTCGCCCCACTCTTCCCAAGGCCCGGGCTGGGGAAGGGGCCGAGCCAGCTCCCACCCGCCTGCAGAGGTGCCGCTGAAACCCAAAGCCCACAGCTTCTCCACCTGGGCAGGCAGCAGCGCCTCCCACCACGGCCTCGTGGGGGTCGGGGGCGGCAGCGGGCAGCGGCTGCTCTCCCCCGCCAAGCCAGCCCGCTGCAGCCCCACGCCACGCAGAGGCGCAGGCCGCTGCTGCTGAGGAAGCAGGGCGGACCCGACCCTGGCCCACGAGGTGGAGAGCCGCCCTCGCGTGCTGGGACTGCGCAGGGGCCAAGCCTCCCTCGGCCACCAGCGTCTCAGCGCATCCTCCAGCCCCACCAGCACACTGGGTTTGCCCATCCTGCCCTCAAACCAGGCGAGCATCAGAGCGGGGCTGCGCACCCCGACCCCACGCAGGGGGGTGCACCCCAGCAGGAGAAGACAGAGTTTGGGCTCCTGAAACCAAGTCCACACAGCTCTCAGGCCAACAAGAGCACTTAGGACCCTCCGAAAAGCCAGGCCCTCATATCCCACGCCTGTCATCCTAGCTACTCAGGAGGCTTGAGATCTGAGGATCACAGTTCAAAGCCAGCCCGGGCAGGAAATGCCATGAGACTCTGATCTCCAGTGAAACCACCAGAAAACCGGAAGTGGTCCTATGGCCCAAGTGGTAGAGCGCTCGCCTTGAGCTGAAGAGCTGAAGGACAGCGCCCAGGCCCAGAGTTCAAGCCCCACAACTGACCCAAGAAAAGGAAAAATGACAACAGCACAAAACAAAAAACCTCTATTGTGGAAAATGAAGTAAGAAATAACATAAAATGTACAGGAGAGGGCTGGGAAGGTGGCTCAGTGGTAGAGTGCTTGCCTAACACACATGAAGCCCTGGGTTCCATTCCTCAGCACCACATACACAGAAAAAACCTAAAGTGGTTCTCTGGCTCAAGTGATAAGAGTGCTAGCATGGAGCAAAAGCAGCTCAGGGACAGTGCCCAGGCCTTGAGTTCAAGCCCCAGGACTGGCAAAAAAAAGCCTGGACGAATGGCTCAAGTGGTAGAGAATCAGCTGTGAGCAGGAAAGCTAAGAAAGTGAAAGACCCTGAGCTCAAGCCCTTTTACTGCTGCAGAGAGAAAAGAGGTGAAGGCGGGGGAGGGTAGAGAAGACAAAACCCAGGCGCTTCACGAAACAATCAGCTGTAAACCGAGTGCAGGCGGCTCACGCCTGTCATCCTAGCTACTCAGAAGGCTGAGATCTGAGGATCGCAGTTCAAAGCCAGCCTCGGCAGGAAAGTCTGTGAAACTCATCGCCAATAAACCACCAGGAAAACCGGAAGTGGCGCTGTAGTGCAAGGAGTAGAGAGCTAGCCTTGAGATGAAGATATGAGGGACAGCGCCCAGGCCCAGAGTTCAAGGCCCACGACCAACAACAACAAAAAAGAATCAGCTGGCCAGGCAACGGCAGTGAGCAGAATCTGCTCTGTCGGGCTGCTGACTACAGAGCCAGAGTCTCTAGTCACTGCCGCAGACGACACAAAATGGTGCAACCGCTTGGGGAAATATTAAACAAGTGTTAGAGAACAGCAAAACTGAGGTCTGAACTCAGGGCCTCAAACTGAGCGGTGCTCCACCATCTCAGCCACAGCGCTTTTTGTCTGTTTTTAAGATGAGGTCTTGTTAGCCGGGCGCTGGTGGCTCACGCCTGTAATCCTAGCTACTCAGGAGGCTGAGATCTGAGGATCGCGGTTCAAAGCCAGCCCAGGCAGGAGAGACCGTGAGACTCCGATCTCCAATAAACCACCAGAAAACCGGAAGTGGCGCTGTGGCTCAGGTGGTAGAGCGCTCGCCTTGAGCTGAAGAGCTGAGGGACAGCGCCCAGGCCCAGAGTTCAAGACCCACGACCGACCAAAAAAAAGATGAGGTCTTGTGACCTTTGCCCGGCCAGCCGCAGACAGGGGTGCTCCGCTCACACGCCACAAGTAGCTCGCACTTCTGGTAGGAGCAATCCATCCGGCTGGCTTGTTCTCTAACTTTTTTTGCCTAACCTAGCTTTGAAGCAGGATCCTGACTCCAGCTACACTCGCAGCCAGACACTGGGAGGTGGAGGCAGGAGGCGGCTGGTGAGTTCTGGAACAGCCGGGGCGACACAGGAAGAGGGGGGAAAGAGTTCCAAAGGATAAGCAGCCCAAATACCCATCCGGGGTGCCAGCCCCCTCGTGGAACTCCTGGTTAAGGGGCGCCCTGTACTCAGCCTGTGCCCCGCGGACAGCTCGAAAGGGCCGCTTCGCCCCAGCCAAGCCCCGTTGGGGCCGGGGAGGCTCCACAGGCGGAGGCGGCCCAGGACCTCGGCCCGGGACGCGCACTCCTGCCCGGGCTGGGGACCGCGGTGCCCTGGCGTGACGGCCCTCGGGGACGGGGGTGGGGTGGGCAGAGGGGAGGCCCCGCGCCTACCTTGGGCGGGTCGAAGAGCTCGAGCACGCGGTCGCGGGGGTCTCCGGGCTCGGCGGCGCGGCGCAGCGCCAGGCGCCCCCGCTGCCAGCGCGCGCCGCTGTCCATGGCCGCCTCGTCCGCCAGGCTGTAGCGCAGCGCCGCCTCCTTGAGGGCCTCAGGCGGCGGCTCGCGGCCCAGGCCCCAGGGCAGCCGCTTCCGCGCGGGGCCGGGCCGCGCGGGGCCGCCGTCCGCGTCGGCGGGGTCGGGGGCCGGGTCGGGGCCGGCGGGCAGCTCCCCGGCCGAGCGGCGGCGGAAAAGCTGGCGCAGGCCGCGGCGCAGCTGGTGCAGGGAGCCGGCGGCGGGCGGCGCGGGCGCGGCCAGCTCCTCCGAGCTGCGCGCCTTGGGCAGGCCGGGCGCGCGCGGCGCGGCGCGGTAGTCGCGGCCCGGCGGGGCCCCGCGCACCTCGCGGCGGAAGTGGCGCTGGAAGAGGTCGGCGAAGTGCAGCGACACCAGCTCGGCGCGCGGCGCCTGCAGCGGGTGCTCGAGCGCCCACAGCCGGTACTGCCGGGCCAGCGCGCGCGCCGCCGCCGCCGCGTGCAGCTCGCAGAACGCGGCCCAGCCGCGCGCCGCGCCCGAGGGCGAGGCCGAGGCCGAGGCCGAGGCCGGCGCGGAGCTGGGGTCGGCCGCGGGCTGCAGGGAGGGCCCGCTCATGGCCGGGGGCGCGGGGCGGCCGCCAGGCTGGAAGACAGGAGGAGGGCAGGCGTGAGCGGGGCTGCGGGGCCGGCGGGACCCCCCCCCCCCCCGCACCCCTCTTCCCGGGCCCCGCCAGCCCCGTGCGGCAGGACGCCACGCACACGGCCGGATCAGATCCACGGGGGAGGCTGGGGCCGGTTCAAAGCAGCCTTACCGCCAAGGAACTGCCGAAAAAGCCGGAAGTGGAGCCCGGCCTTGAGTAAAATACCCGACCGCACCAAGCCCCGAGTTCAAGACTCAGGACTGGCAAAAAAAAACAAACAAAAAACCTGAGGGACGAAGCTTCGCGACTCAGGAAGCCAAGCTGAGGATCCCGGCCCCCAGCCCGGGCAGGGGGCCTCTGACTCCAGCACCACCAGAGAACCAGAGGCGGGAGAGCGCTAGCTGGCAGGGACCGCACCAGGCCCTGAGTTCAAGCCCCACGGCCGACAAAAAAAAAAGGCCGGACTGGAGGCATAACTAAAGTGGTCGAGTGCCAGAAGCAAGCACAGGCCCCGGGTGCCGTCTCGGCTGCCAGCACGCAGATCCCGGCCCCGGCTCCGATCCCAGAACCGCCTGTGAGTAGCGCAGTGACTTACTTCATCGCTCCCCGCCCGCGGTGGCCATGAGCGGGGAGGCGCCCCGCTGCGGCTTCGCTTCCCGGGAGGGTGGGAGGCCTGAGGGCCGCTGTCAGCCTTTGGTAATGAGGACGAGGGTAGCGGATCGAACACTAACTATGGGATAAAAAGAGGAAATGAACAAGGCTTGGGCGTGCAAAGGTCCCGTCCCGCTGAGGGGTCCCGCTGCGGAGCCCCTCCGGGCAGGGGGCTGCCTGCCTCTGCCGGGCGCGCCCTCCCTCCGCCGCCACGGCCGCCGCAGCTCTACCTGCGCCCTCTCCTCGCAGGCTGCGGAGCTCCGCCGTGCGCCGGGGCCTGCGGGCCTGCGGTGTGGCGGTCACACGCTGCGGGCTGCAGCACCAGCGCACAGCGGCTGCCGCCGCCCAGGCCACTCCCGTGAGCTTCCTCACTGACCAGGCACACCTCACATGGTGTTGGCCATGTGGCCCACCCCCCCCCCCCCCCCCCCCGGCCACCCCAAGCTGGCCCTGTCTCTGCTGTCCACTCCTGACAGATCACAGAAGCAGCAGGTCGTCCACGCCCTCCGCACAAGGGTCCCCCCCCCCCCCAGGAGTCGGCTTGCTTTTTTTTGTTTTTGTCAGTCATGCGCTTGAACTCTGGGTCTGGGCACTGTCCCTCCGCTCTGCAGCTCAAGGCCAGCACTCTACCATTTGGGCCACTTCTGGTTTTCTGGTGGTTTACTGGAGATCAGAGTCTCAGAGTCTCACGGACTTTTCTGCCCAGGCTGGCTTTGAACTGGGATCCTCAGATCTCAGCCTCCTGAGTCGCTAGGGTGACAGTTGTGAGCCACCAGTGCCCAGCTTTTTTTTGAGCCATGCTGGGGTTTGAACTCAAAGCTCTCATTCTTCGGCAGGCGCTCTACCATTTGAACCAGGCCTTTTACCCCCTTCACTTCAGTCCTTTTTGGAGGGTACAGCCTCATTTTATTCTGGGCCAGCCTGTTTGTATCTCCTCCAACGTGACTGGGGTCATCAGTGCCACACACTCAGCTACTAGTTGAGATGGGGTCTCAAGGGCTCAACCCCGACCCTCCTTATCCCCATCCTCCGGGGCTAAGGGGTCTGGCCTTCCTTAGTGGCCAGCTCCACACCAAGCCCTGGACGCCCTGAGGACGGCCATCACCCACTACCCGCAGGAGCTCACCGGACGTCCACATGTGCACAGAGGGGCTGCACACCCAGTGACGCTGCCTCCTGGGCTCGGCCCACCCCGTCCCCATCGGTGCCATCCGTCACCTTCAAAGCCCAGCTGTGGCCACCTAGAGGCACGGGCAGCACGGGCTGCAGGGCGCCGGACAGCAGGCAGCAGCCACGGCAGCAAGCAGCAGCTGGGGGGGGGGGGGCCGGTAATGAAGCCCAATGAAAGCCTCCTCAGGGGAGCACCTGGTGGCCCTGGCAGGTGGGAAATTGCCAATAGGGGTGTCAGTGGGGCCAGAGCCTGTGAGATGGGCTGGCAGAGGGGAGCTGGCTGCAGGAAGGTGTGGGTTTTGGGGGGGTCGGTTGTGGGTGTTGAACTCTGGGCTTGGGCGGTTCCTCAGCTCTTCAGCTCAAGGGGAGCGAGCGCTCTACCCCTTGAACCACAGCGCCACTTGCGGTTTTCTAGGGGTTCATGGCCTTTCCTGCCCGGGCAGGCTTTGAACCGTGATCCTTGGCATGGGGTTCTCAGCTTAAACCCGCTCTGCACCTGTTCCCTGCTGGGTCCCGGACTCAGCTCTGGGTAGGAAGCACTCACTCTCCATCCCCGGAGCCCTGGCGGCCGGACATGGACTACAGGAGGGCCTAGGGAGATGGCCCTGATGTCCCAGGCCACCAGAGCCACCTGACTCTGGTCTGCCTCACAAGGTGGGGTGCTCCCACGGGGAGGCCGCGAGGCTTCCTCTGAACCCCACAGCTGCAGGCAGTGTGGCAGCCAGCACCCAGCACAGCACCCCACGGCACAGCCACGGGACCTGCTGAGGCCAGCACCATGGGGAGGGGCCTGCTGTCCCCACCCAGGCTCCTCCCTCCTGAGCCCAGCCTCAGGCCTGTGCTGCAGGAGGCCTCCGACATGAGGCCCCAGCGCAGGCCTGAGCAGCCTCTCAACACCCCACGGACAGCACCGTGACTGGGCGGGCTGACGCTGTGACATTAACAAGCCGGTCAGCCGCCAATCAGTCTCACACCCTGTGAGGGGCGCCTCCTCCCAGGTGGCCCCCAGGATGGGTCCAGGACCAGGGACATGTCTTCCCCAAGGCAGCTCCGATTGCCCCTAGGAGGCTCAGGAAGGTGAGAGGACCCTCAGGGGCACCCACTTGCCTTTGTGGACAGACACCGTGAAGCCACCAGGGAACGGCGTGGAAGCTTTGGGTCCCTGGGGCCACCTATGCCTGGAGACAAGGTCAGCGTGGCGTGCCAGGACTGGAAATGTCCTCTGGCTTCCTCTGCCCCCAAGTCTAGCACCCCAACTACATTTGGGAGGGAAAATGCCTGGAACAATCTCCCCAAAAGTGCATTTCTTCCTCCCCTGCCCAGGGCCAAGGGGCGCACACCCTGTGCCCGCAGCCACCTCCCGCACCAGGGCCTTCAGGACAGAGGCCGGGCTAGTACCCAGCGCATCCTGGGCACCCCTCCCCCAACACCACCCTCTCTGGGCCTCTCCTTGAGGGGACACCGGAACACAGCCCCCCAAGCGCACACTTGGTATCAGAGGCCTTCTTCTGTGTCCGCAGTCCACAGGTCACATTCTGAACCCTGGCCCCAAGTCTGGGACTCCCCAAAGCTCACTGTGAGTCAGCCCTGCTAGCAGGCAGGGCACAGACTTCCTCCCCGGGCCTCCCTGGGGATACGGCAGGGGCGGGCAAGGGGGGCCACATCCGGACAGGCCTCCAGGGGCTCCAGGCCTGGCTCACGAGGCAGCCGCGGCCTCGCCCCCTGCCGACCCCTGACAGGGTGGCGTGGGAGGAAAAATCTTCCAGCCATCTGCTCAGCTGCTGGGTTTCCGGCTGGGCCGGCCTGGGCTGGGGCAGGGCAGGCAGCCAGGAGGACCTGCTCCCCTGGGGAAGTGTCCCTTGTCCCCACCGGTGGGAGGACTCGGAGCTGCTCAGCCGGTGCGGGCCAGAGACCCCAAGGGCTGGCTGCCCACACTGCGGGGCCAGTGAGCCCCAGGACCTCTGGCCAGGCCCGGGACCTCAAGTGGCCAGAAAGTGGGATACAAGGTTCCTGGATTCAATTAGGCCTGACGCAGCAAGTGGCCCCTACTGAGCAGCTTGCAGCCTGCTTCCCTACGGAGTGCGGGCGTCTGGGAAGCAGGTTGGGCTGGACCAAGCCGCTTCCACCACCCCACTCTCAGACGGCACACACTCACACGCTCAGCCACACTGCTTCCGGTCCCGCCCAGCCAGGGATGCTCACCACTCAGGGGCCCCAGGATCTTTTCCCTAGGAATCCCGGCTAGGAAGTGCCTGCCCCTCTTGGCCGTTAGTAACAGCAGCCTGCACTTGTTGAGCACTGACTGCATGCCTCCATGCCGAAACAAGTCCATCAGGTAAAATCACCAGTGCCCCACTCCACAGATGAGAAGACTTAAGCTCAGAGAGGCGAGGGACAGGCCCAAGGTCACACAGTTTGGGCAACCAACTCCAGGCAGTTACAGCTCCATGCTTCCCACAACCGCATGGAGGGGCGGAGACTCTTGGCCCCCACTGGCCAGGTCCTAAGAAAGGCCAGGGATCATGCCCAAGGCCTCCTGATGAAGCTGGCAGAGCCGGGACCTGGCACAACGCCTGCGCTGACCTGGGAGAGGTGGAAGCACATGTGAAAGTCCTGCGTGATTGCCCAGGGACCACCAAGGGCGCCAGCTTACACATCACGTGACCCCAGCAGGCACACAATAAACACTAGGATACCCTAGACTGGCATTCATGAGGCAAGAAGAACCCCTCCTTCACACAACCACAGAGGGTAAGTAAGCTACCAAGGATTCACAGAGATGGGCCTGTTCCCACCAGATCGCTGCCACTGAGGGAACCCCTTCTCCCTTCTCTGGGGACAGCCAGGGAAGAGGAAGGGTGGCACTCAGGAGGGAGAGGCCGGCGAGGTGGCCGGCTGGACTGGGCATTCTGGGCTCAAACGCTGGCCCTGGCAGGCCCAGACTGCCCCACAGTTGGGCAGCTTTGGAGGCTGTTGTGGGGCTGCAGGAGAAAGTTCTGTTCCCTTGCAGAAGAACCAAGGCCAAGGGTGGAAAACCAGCCACTGGCCTCAACAAGGGAGTAACAATGCCCACAACAGCCCCACAACCACCAATTTGCAACTTCTAGGGTCCTATGGAATGGCTTTGGCTGTCACATCATGTGACCCGCAGGAGAAACTGAGGCAGGGCTAGGCCTCCCAGCCGGGAAGATCCAGGGAGCTGAGGAAGCCAGTGCCAATACCACTGCAGAGAACAGAGGTCCCCCAAACACCCCTGAGCCCCTGGCGCGCCACTCCCGCGGACAGACAGGTGTCTCGTTCACTCCTTTACTAAAGCCCCTCGGAGGTGGCACGGGCGCTCCGGCGGGGGGGGGGGGGGTCCTGCCGCGTCCTCTGCCAACGGTGCCACCTCGAAGGCGCCGCAGGCCAGCCCCTCCCCGCCGGGCAGGGAGGTGGGGGGCGCGGTCCCTCCCGGAGGGAGCTGCGGGAAACGGTCAGCGAACGCACTAGAGCCCCCAGCCGCCTCGGTCGGCCCCGGCCCGCCTGCCCGGCCACCGCTGCCTGCGGAGCCCACCTGAGAGCCGGGGTCTCCAGCCCCCAGGTCCGGCCAGGGCGGGTCCCGGGTCCTCGTGTCCCCCACGTTGGCTGGGCCGGGCACCAGCCGGGCCGGCGCGCCGAAGCCCCCGCCCGCGGCGGGATCTCACTTCCTCCGCCGCGGCCCCCTCCCCTGCCTCGGGGCGAGAATGGGGAAGGGAAGCGGAATGAGGAAACGCGAGCCGGAGGAGCGGCGACCCCGGCCCCGCGCCTCCCCGGCGGGGCCCCCGGAGCGCCCGGGCCGCGGGGCCCCCGGGCAGGGCCCGCCAAGCCCCGACTCCGGACTCCTCGCCGTGCCGACCCCAACTTCGGCGGCCCGGCCCGGGGGTGGGGGCGCCGCCGCAGCACGTGTACGGGCCCGGGCCGCGGGCACGCCCGCCGCGGGGCGGCTCACCTCACACGCTGGGGCTCCGGGCCCGGCCGGCCCATGGCGCCGCGCGCCGCCGGCCCCCCGAAGCCGCGCGGGGCGGGCCGGCCCTCGGCCCGGGCGCGTCGTCTCCCGCGCCGGCGGCTCCGGAGCGGGGCTCAGGCAGGAAACCGGGGCTCGGAAGATGGCCAGCGCCTCATCATTTCCGCTGCCAGTGCCTGACAGCTGCGGGAAAACGCGTCCCCGGGCCGCCGCCGGAGCCTCGGCGGGCCGCGACAGTCCGGGCGGGCGGCCAGGCGGAGGCGGTGGCCCGAGCCCATGCCGCCCCGCGCCGTTATGTAAAGAGGAACCGGCCGCGAGCGCCCCGTCCGGAGCACGGGGGAGGAGGGAAGCGCTCGAGGGGCGTGGCTTCCGGGAGGCCCGCCCCCTCGGTCGCCGCGAGGGATTGGCGGAGGGGCGGGGCCTTCTCGCGCCGCGCCCACCCTCCCCGCTGCCGGGCGTCCGCTCAGGTCCCCAGGCTCCCCGCGCAGGCCCGGCGTGGGGGCGGAGCCTTACAAGCCACGCCCACAAACGTGTCTCTTTGCCTTCGGTCTGGGTTTAGACTGCGGAGGGAGGGGACACGGCGTCTCCGGCCCCGCCCACGCGAGGGGTGCGCGGCGTGAGTGGGGCGTGGCCGGGCCCCGGGCTCGGCCCGGAGGGGGCGCGCCCCCGCGGCTCCCTCGAGCCGGGCCTTATCTGCGCGCGCCGGGCGGTGCGGCGGCCACCGCGGCCTTCGTCACCTCCCGGGCGGCCCCCGCCAGACCCGGCTCCCGGCCCGACCCGCGCCGCTCCGCTCCGCAGCGGGACGCCCTACCTCTCCCCGAGGGCTCCGCGGTGGCGCGGGGGCCTCGGCCGCCGGCCCGCCCCGGGGCGGAGGGGAGGAGGGCCGGCTCCCTTCCGACCGGAAGCGCCGCCCACGCCCCGGGCCCGGGCTCGCGCCTCGCCGTCGGGGTCCCGGGCCGGCCCGGCGCGCCGCGGGCTCCCGGAGCGCGGGGCGGGGGCTGGAGGCCCGATCCGCACGGAACCGCAGAAAACGCGCGTGCCGCGGGCCTGCGTCCGAGACCCGCGCCGCGCCGGCCCCGCCCCGCCCCGTCCTCGGGGCCCCGGGAGGCCGCGGGGCGGGGACCGAGACCCGGCCGGGGCTCGGCTTTGCGGGTGGCTAGCCGTGGCGGAGCCCTTCGGGGCCCCGACCGAGACGCCCTCCCCGGCGGGCGGGACCCGGCCTGGGAAACCTGGGGTCCAGGGCATTCCTGGCTGAGGAGGCAGCCCGTGCCAAGGTCCTGAGGCGGAGGAGGAGCAAGGCTGCCGAGTCCTGGTCCGCACTGACTGGAGGGCCTGGGGCGGGAGGACCGCGCAGCCGGCGGGGCCTGCGAGGCCGCCAGCCGACGGAGCTGGGGTTTGGACTGAAGTTTGGCACCCGGTTACGACATGGGGGGGGGGGGTCCACACTGACAAGCGTGCGTGTGCGCATGCGCGCGCTCGGACTGGGACTTGAACTCGGGGCTTTTGATTCGGGCCCGTGCTCGGGTGAGGTTGGTGAGCGGGGCCCGCTTCGAGCCGCCTCTGACCTCGGCCTCCGCCGGGGCCGCCTCTCGGGCCTCCTACGGCGGGGAGACTGAGGCAGGGGACGCCGCCGGCCGCAAGCACTTTCTCCGCAGCCGGTGACTGAAACTGGGACTTGCGGTTCCTCTTGCTTTTCTTTGCGTCACAGTGCGAGCTCGGGCGCCAGATTTCTCCTGGAAGCGCAAACCAGCGTCCTTCCTGGCTGGCGTGCTTTGTGCGACCCCAGACCAGGGTGCGGCCCCCCCCCCCTCGACCAGGTTGCGACCCCCCCCCGACCAGGGTGCGGCCCCCCTCGACCAGGGTGCGAACACCCCCCACCAGAGTGTGCTCCCCCCAACCAGGGTGAGACCCCCCAGGCCAGGGTGCGGCCCCCCCCAGACCAGGGGTGCAGCCAGTCCCCCCCAACCCCAGACCAGGGGTGCAGCCAGTCCCCCCCAACCCCAGACCAGGGGTGCAGCCAGTCCCCCCCAACCCCAGACCAGGGGTGCAGCCAGTCCCCCCGAACCCCAGACCAGGGGTGCAGCCAGTCCCCCCCAACCCCAGACCAGGGGTGCAGCCAGTCCCCCCCAACCCCAGACCAGGGGTGCAGCCAGTCCCCCCCAACCCCAGACCAGGGGTGCAGCCAGTCCCCCCGAACCCCAGACCAGGGGTGCAGCCAGTCCCCCCGAACCCCAGACCAGGGGTGCAGCCAGTCCCCCCCAACCCCAGACCAGGGGTGCAGCCAGTCCCCCCCAACCCCAGACCAGGGGTGCAGCCAGTCCCCCCCAACCCCAGACCAGGGGTGCAGCCAAGACCAGGGGTGCAGCCAGTCCTCCCCAGACCCAGGGGTGCAGCCAGCCAGACCAGGGGTGCAGCCAGTCCCCCCCAACCCCAGACCAGGGGTGCAGACCAAGGCAAGGGGCTTCCAAGCCCAGGCCATCCTCCCCAGGTCACTCCCAGTTCCCTGCTCCCCCCCACACACCCCGAAGGTCCCGGCCCAGGCCTAGAGAGGAAGGTGGTGTGGATTCCTACGGCTGGGCCTCCTCGGGCTCCCGGAAGCAGGGGGCCGTCCTGAGGGCCAGGCCCAGCCGCCCTTCCTTCCTGCAGCTCTCCTGCCTGAGCCTGGGAAGCAAGGCCGGCCGGGGGCACCAGCAGCAGCCCGAGGTGGGCCCAGGCCAGGCCACCCTCTGATGGGCACCGGACAACACGTGTCAGCCAGCATACCCGGCCCTGCAACGCCCAGCGCCCCAGTGTGACCGCCACTGACCCTCAAGCGGACAGCGAGTGAGAAGAACCACACTCGATGCACAGTGATCACTGCATTCGTATTAAAGGAAAATGACCCAGCCAATAAATAAATCATCAGTGTCACTATGTGAATGCTGTGTGTGTGCGTGCCCATCCTGGGGCTTGAAATCAGGGCCTGGGCACTGTCCCCACGTATTTCCATTCAAGTCTAGCACTCTACCACTTGGAGCTACAGGGCCACTTCTAGTTTTCTGGTAGTTAATGGGAGATAAGAGTCTCATGGGGTCAGGTGCCAATGGCTCACACTTGTAACTCAGAAGGCCGAGATCTGAGGATCGCAGTTCAAACCCTGCTCAGGCAGGAAAGCCCCTGAGACTCTTATCTCCAATAAACCCCCAGAAAACCAGTAGTGGCACTGTGGCTCAAGTGGTAGAATGCTCACCTTGAGCTGAAGAGCTGAGGGACAGCACCCAGACCCAGAGTTCAAGCCCCACAACCGACCAAAAAATAAAAAATGTCTCATGGGCTTTTCTGCCTGCGCTGGCTTTGAACCACAATCCTCAGATCTCAGCCTCCTGAGTCACTAAGGCGTACAGGTAGGAGCCACCACTGCCCAGCCCATGAGCTTTTATGTTCAAGGTTGGAACTCTACCCCTCTGCTTCTGGCTTTTAACTGGTTAATTAGAGATAAGACTTTTTTTTTGGGGGGGGGGGTCCTGGAGCTTGAACTCAGGACTTGCTCACTGTCCCTGAGTTTTTATGCTCATGGCTAGTGCTCTACCACTTTAAGCCACACCTCCACTTCCAGCATTTTGGTGGTTAATTGGAGTCTCATGGAAAGTCCATGATACTCTTTAATCAACTACTAGAAAACTAGAAGTAGAGTTCAAAGTGGTAGAGCTCTATCCTTAGGCAACAAAGCTCGGAGACTGCCTAGGCTCTGAGTTCAAGCCCCATGACTGACAACAACAAAAAAAGTTAACTGATCTGTTTAATGACAAGTTGCTATCGGCTATTGTACAATTAATAGTGAAGATAAATAATACAACAACTATTAATCATTGTCATTTATTCACGCTGGCAAAGGGCTTGAATTCAGGGCCTGGGCACTGTCTGAGCTCTTTTGCTCAAGGCTGTCATTCTACCACTGGAACTACAGCTCCACTACCAGATTTTTGAAGGTTAATTGGTGATAAGAGGCTCAGGGACTTTCCTGCCTGGGGCTGGACTACTACAGAAATGCTCCGATCTCAGCCTCCAGACAGCTAAGCTGGCTGCGCAGGCCTCCACCGGTCAGCCCCAGGCTAAAGGAGAGTTTCAAAAGGGATTGTCCAGCTTTGAGGCAGAATGGTCTGAAGCCTACTCCTCACTCCTGGGCTTGAAGGACAATGTGCTGAGCCCAGCTAAATCCAGGGCCTGATGCCACTGTGCCACCAGCTCCTGCTTCCCTTTTCTTTCTTCTTCCTCTTCCCTTTTGTTCTCCCCACACACACACACCCCCCACCAGTCCCTGAGCTTCTTTTGTTCAAGGCTAGCACTCTACCACTTGAGCCACAGCGCCACTGCCACTTCTGGCTCTTTTGGTGCATGTACTGAGGAATGGAACCAGGGCTTCATGCATGCTAAGCAAGCACTTTACCACTAAGCCATCTTCCCAACCCTGGGTTCCCTTTTCTACCCCCACAAAACCCACCACAAAGCTTGGCACAAGAAGAGGGTGGACAGTCTTGACCAGACTCGGTGGTGATGCCTGTCTGTAATCTGCATCCTAAGGAGGCTGAGGAAGGGAGGACCACGGGTTCCAAGGCCAGTCTGGATTGCCCCGGAGGCTGGGGGGGAGGGAAAACACGTGTTGGGCTCATACCTGTAATCCTATCTACCTAGGAGGCTGAGGGCTGAAGGATAGAGGTTCAAAGCCAGCCTGGCATGGCTCCAGTGGTACAGCACCAGCGGACGGGCTGGCGAGCCAGGCCGGCGGCTGAGGCCTCTCCCAGCCTGCGGCAGGAGGCCGGCAGGCCGCGGGGAGCGCCAAGGGCGAACACAAAGCCCCGAGTTCAAGCCCCAGTACCGGCACAAACGAAGACGGACTCAGAAGCCTGAAGTCTGGGGATCACGGTTCAAAGCCAGCCAGGCGGGAAGGTCGGTGGGACTCAGCCCCAAGCTGCCGGGGGCGGAGCCCGACCCCGAGTTCGACCCCCCAAAGCATTGATGGGCGGGAAGCCCGCGCCGCCAGGCGGGGCCGGAGCCGGGGAGCAGCGCCCCCAGACGCGGCCTTCTGTTCTCTGCGGGCTCCGCATCTCCCGCGCCCCACCCGGGCTGCATGCTTCCGGGGCGGGGCCTGGCGGGCGGAGGGGCGGGGCCTGCGCGCGGACCGGCGGCGGCGCTCGCGCGCCCCCTCGTGGCCTGGCCTGAGGCCGCAGCTCCTGCACCCAGGGCCTGCCCCTTAGGCCCTGCACCCCTGGACCGGGAGGCCCTGCTCCGCGCCCCCAAATCCTCCCAGGTTCCTGGCTGGATGCCACCGCACCTTTGTGCGGACACCGTAACGGGGACACAGGTTCGGGCCGCCATCCGGTCCCTTCGGGGACTTGGGCGCTCAGAGCTGTTTTCCCCCCATAGGATCAGAGGCTGCACAGCAAGTGCTCTACTAACGTCTCAGTCCCAAGGCCCAGGTCTTAGGAGAGGCCTCGCCTTCAACCACTCCTAACCCGCCATGCTCCCCATTCCTCTCTAACCCCGCACCCTGACGCGCAGGCTCAGTGGCCTCCTGCCTCCTCCCCCTTTCCTGACTGGCATTCCCTTTCCTTTCCTCAGTAAATTCCAATACAGCCTTCAAAACCTCCAGAGATGTGACCTCTGCCTAAGGACGCCCTAATTCCCTAGGGAAGACATCTCTTCTAGCCTTGGCTAGGGACAGAGAGCTGGCGTCCCTCGCCCCTCGTGGGTCTGAGCTGGGGCTCTGGCGGGGCAGGTTCTGGGCTTACCGATTTCTCCCCGCCCAGCCGGAGCACCTACCCGGCAGGAGCACAGGCTTCCTCCTGAGGAAGAGGAAGCAGAAGGCAGGGATAGAGGAAGCGGAAGGCACTGGTGGGGTGGGACAGCTCCTTTGTTCCATTTTCCCCACGCGGGGCCAGCTCACCGGCTGATGCTTCCCACGAGGGTGGCATGGGTGCCGCCCCCACCCCCAGCACCTCTTCCTAGTCACAGTTCACAGGATGACCACGAAGCCAACCAGAACCAATTCCAGACTTGGTTGAGCAGCCAATGAAGACGTGATCTCAGATGCTTCTAGAAGCTGCACCATGACAGCTAGAGACAGAGAAACTGAGTCCTTATGACAGTGGTTGTGTACCCAGACCCAGCCATATCTGAAATCCATCTCCTCCTCACACTCTGGGACTTCTCCACCACACAGGACAGTCATTTCTCTCTGGCTGAAGCCTGCTTCTGTGGGGGTTTTTTTGCGGGTCTTGAGCTTGAACTCAGAGCCCGGGCTGAGTCTCTCTCTGCTCAAGGCTAGCGCTCTACCTCTTGAGCCACAGCGCCACTTCCGGCTTTTTTCTTTTTGCTTATGTGGTGCTGAGGAATCGAACCCAGGGCCTCATGCATGCAAGGCAAGCGCTCTACCACTGAGCCACCTTCCCAGCCCCACTTTCAGCTTTTTCTGAGTAGTTTGTTGAAGATAAGATCTCGCGGACTTTCCTGCCCAGGCTGGCTTTGAACCGTGATCCTCAGACCGGTGGCGAGCGCCGCCGGCGTCCGGCCCTTACATTTCTTACTCTGTACATTGAGCTGGGAAGAAAACCTTTCCTAATCTGGTTGTGAGAAGAAAAACCCAGCACATTCCCAGCCAGCTTCAGCCGTCAGATCCTAGAGTCGGGGCCAGGCTGGAGGGAAGCCGGGGCGCAGAGAGGTCAGGTCTGCAGAGCTGGACCGGGAACTGGCGTGGTCAAGCTCGGAGCGCCCAGGCCACCCGCGACCCGAGGCTCCCGCCTCTGGAAGCCACCTGGAGACCCGCCCCAGCCCGCGGCCGCCTGGGCGGGGCCGGGGACTCAGCCTCGGCCCGGCCGTCCTTCAAGTCCCGACCTGACCTTGAGCAGCAAGAAGAAGGCCAGACACCTGGCCGGCTCTGCGCCAGCGGCGGCGCGAGGGCTTCTGGGAGAGGCGGGCCCGCCCGGGGAGGGGCGTGGCCTCGGGGTGGGCGGGGTCGCCGGCTGCTCTGCCTGTGGGGTCGCTTCCCGCCTTCCCGGAGCCCCCGCCCGGTCCCCGCACGGTTCCCGCTTCACCCGGGGCGGTCCGGAGCGCGGGGCGTTGTGCGGCTGGTGGGGCAGCCCTGCCGCTGGCCTGGCCAGAGAGGCAGGGGCTCTGGGCGGGAAGTGGGCCGGAGACGCGGTTTGCAGGTAAAACCATCGGGACTTGGCAGCAGGAACCACAGCCCCGGTCTGCTCCCGAGGCCCCCTCCCGCCCTGGCCACCATCTGCCTGCGGGGAGGGTCGGTTCTGCACAGAGTGGGTGACTACCCGGTCCTGAGATAAAAGGAAGGGGTTGGGAAGGTGGCTCAGTGGTAGAGAGCCTACCGAGCATGCATGAAGCCCTGGGTTTGATTCCCCAGTGGCACATGAACAGAAAAAGCCGAAGTGGCGCTGTGGTTCAAGTGGTAGAGCGCTCGCCTTGAGCTGAAGAGCTGAGGGACAGCGCCCAGGCCCAGAGTTCAAGCCCCACAACTGGCAGAAAAAGAAAAGAAAGGAAGTAAGTATAGACTGGGGCCACTTCTTGTGTGACCCCTGAACTATCAAAAACTGGACAGACGGGAGATGGTCAGTCACCAGGGGCTCGGGTAAGTGGACCTGGAGAGCCAGGGGCCCCTGAAGTGACAAGATGGTCAGAGCCAGGATCAGTGGCCCAGCACTCCTCAGAAGACAGAGGCTGGAGATCTCGAGTTCCAGGCCCTCTGGACACCACAGCAAGACCAAGTCTCAAAAATGAACAAAATCATTTGCAACCAGACAGGTGGAGGCTCCCTTCCCCCCACCCCCACGTTGTAGGGCTTGAACTTAAGGCCTGGGCACTGTCCCTGAGCTTTTCTGCTTCAGGCTGAAGCTCTACCACTTGAGCCATTGCTCCACTTCTGGTTTTCCAGTGGTTCATTAGAGATAATAGTCTCATAGACTTTCTTCCCAGGCTGGCTTTGAACTGCAATCCTCAGATCTCAGCCTCCTAAGTAGCTAGGATGACAGATGTGAGCCACCAGCACCTGGCTGAAGTGGAGGTTTTGTGACAGTTGAGTGGTCTGCCATGGACACCAACATTCTCCTTGAAATTATTCTTTTGTCATGAGTGTCGTTGGGGGGAGGTCAGGGGCAGGTCAGGCGCCCAGGTTTTACTCGGCTTTGCCTCCATCACCCATATGGAAGCTGGGTTCCTGCTCACAGGCCTGGTGTTTCTCTCCCCTGGTGAGGGTCTAGATTAGGAAAACCCCCTCTGCGAACCCTCTGCCTGCAGGCTGGCTCTACCTCCATCGGGGCTCCTCCCACTTAACCACGTCTCAGGGCTGGGCCTTACTGCCTCCACCTGGGTCACCTGTCCCTCCTTGAACCAGTCCCGACGGCCAGGTGGACAGACGCTCTGACCATGCTGCGATGGTGTTGGTGGTCTCTGTGAAACGTGTGTGTGTGTGTCCAGGTCTCAGAGCATCTGTTCTTCCACAGTCAGCAGGCCTGGTCTCCCCAGCATCATACACCGAGTCCGTTCCTCAGGGTGCGGGCAGGCTGGGCAGGGTCGTGTCGGCACGGGGGGGGGGAGGGGGGAGGGAAGTTCTCCCCGTGGACATCCAGCCCAGCGCGGTGGGAACCTTCCTCGGTCCCTCCGGAGGCTGGGACATTATTTTCCCCTGTGGAATGAACCCAGGATCCCGGCCAATCGGTTCTCTCCTGTCCTCGGGCTCGGGCTGGCCAGGGAGGGATATCGGGAAGTGGGGAGGCCGGGGAACGGGAAGTAAGGGATCCAGGGATGGAAACTGAGTTATTTTGGGGCAGTGCAAGAAGAAAAAAGAAGAAGAAAAGCAACACCCGGGAGCGCTTCCTTCGGAGCCTCTGACTCACGCTCCTTCGGCTGCCGCGCTCATTGCCGCTCTTATCTTTACCGGGACCCAGGAGCCCCGGAAGCCAAGCCTTTGCTTTAAGGGCCGTCGGCCCGCCCACTTCCAGACCCTTCCCTCTGCACCTGGAGCTAGGGGCTGGACCCGGGTATCTGCCGGGTTTGGAACACACCGCGCGGGCCTCGTCTTGGAACCACTCAGCTTAGTCTTTGCTTGTTTGCCAACAGATCGCACATTTTCTAGGATTAGTTATGTTTCAAATACGCCTGGGAGTTAGCATTTTTAGATCGGGCAAGCGGGAGGCTTCGGGGATTTCCCCACGGGCCCGGTACCGCCGTGGTTTGCCTCCAGGCGAGTCTGTGGCCTCACCATCGAGACTACACAGAGCTCAAAAGGAATCCCGGGTTTCCTTGGACAAGACCCCGGAGATTCCTGATCCCGGCGCGGTCTCTTTAAGAGGTTTCCAGCTCGTGCTCACGGGGGCGTGGCCGCTAGGGGCGTGGCCTCATACGACTGGCCAATCCGGGGACGCGGGGCGGGCCCCGGCGGCAGGCCGCGGAGGGTTAAAGGGGCGTGGCCGCGCGCCGCTCCGTCCGGCCGCCCCGCCTCCTTCCGCCGGGCCGCGCTGCCCCGCGGCCGCCGGGGACAAAGCGCCAGCGCCGCCGCCACCCAGCGGGCCCGGCCCAGCGGGGCCTGCGCCGCGAGGTAAGGCCGGCGCGCCGGGGCGCGGGGGGCCGCCTGCGGGGCGCGCCGCCGGGGGCCGCGCCGCCCGGGCCCGGGGAGGCGGCCGCGGCCGCCCCGCGCTCCCGCCGGAGCCGAGGGCCGAGCGCGGGGCGCGGGCTGCGGGTCGGGGCCGGGCGATCGCGGCCCCGGTGTCCGGGCCCCGGGCCGGGCGGCACGGGCAGGCCGCTCCCCGCGTGTGTCCGCCACACCCACGGCCCCGAGCCGTGGCTCTGGGGCCAAGCTGCGTGCCTGTTTCCCCGGGTGTCCCCAGAGCCCTCGGGCTCCTCTCCCGGGGGAGGCGAGGCGGGACCCCAACGACCCCCGGCCGGGACCGGCAGTGCTACCCCCCCCCCCCCCGTCCCTCCGTCCTCCCGCAGTGCCCGGTCCTTTCCCGCAGGCCTCCCCCTCCTCCTCCTCCTCCCCAGTGCTGAGCTTACAGGTGAGCACTGCCCAGCCCGCCCTCCTCCCTTCTCCCTCCTCCTCCTCCTCCTCCTCCTCCTCCCTAGTGCTGAGCTTACAGGTGAGCACTGCCCAGCCCGCCCTCCTCCCTTCTCCCTCCTCCTCCTCCTCCTCCTCCTCCTCCCTAGTGCTGAGCTTACAGGTGAGCACTGCCCAACCCTGCCTCCTCCCTCCTCCTCCTCTTCCTCTACCCTCAGTGCTGAGCTTACAGGTGAGCACTGCCCAACCCTGCCTCCTCCCTCCTCCTCCTCCTCCTCCTCTACCCTCAGTGCTGAGCTTACAGGTGAGCACTGCCCAACCCTGCCTCCTCCCTCCTCCTCCTCTTCCTCTACCCTCAGTGCTGAGCTTACAGGTGAGCACTGCCCAGCTTCGCCTGGGCACTAGTGCGGCTGAGCTCACAGAACTCTCGGCAGCCCTTTTACCACTTGAGGGAGCCGAGCTGACCTGGGCTGGGTCCTCCACCAGGGCCCTCCCCTGCCAGCGGAGGGGCCTCCGGCTTCCTGCCTGGCTGCTGCCCCTGGCGGACTCTGGACCTGCAGGGAGCAGCCGGGACCAGGTGCTGCCTCAGGCTGGCTCCCAGCGCACCCCTTCCTCCCAGAGCCTCCCCTGTGTTGCTGGTGGAGGGGGGGGGGGCCTGCAGGCCCCACAGGGCAGTAGTACATGAGGATGAGGGGCTTTGCTCTTCACGGGGCAGGGAGACCCCGAGATCAGCCGCCAGCCCTGATCTCTGGTTACCATTCCTCTGTGCCTCAGTTTCCATCCCTGGATATAAGGTGGGGGACAGAGCTGCGTGCCACAAGGCTGAGCCTCTCAGAGGTCACCGCTGCATTCCTCCTTCGCTTGCCAGGCACTGTGATTCAGACAGAAGACCCCAAGCAGCCAGAAATTACCCAGGTAATGGCAGGCTGGTGAACAGGAGCGTGACTGGGGGGGTCTTTTGTGCTAAGGTGGTGGGGGACACCTCCCTGAGGAAAGGGGGTGTTCCCTCTGAGGCTGAACGCTGAGGCAGGGTCGTGGGACGGCGTGGGAGGGGGGGGAACAGCCAGTACAAGGGTCCTGGGGCCGGGAACTGCTGGGCGCTTGATTAACCAGGGGGGGGGGGGACAGGAGGAGGAAGGCAGCGGGGAAGCCAGGGATTTTACTCTGAGAAAAGTGCAGAGCCACAGGAGTGGAGCGCAGAGGGACTATGGTTTTTAACCGGATCCCTCTGTGGGGACAGGGTTTCACGGTGTTTGGGAGAGTTGGAGCTGACCCTGCCCTGCAGGGGACAGGCGGAGGCAGAGCAAGGGCAGGGGTGAGGCCGGGAGACAGAAAAGGACAACAGCTGGTTCTCACACCGTGGTTGAGGAAGCCAGCCTCCCGCGACAGGTGAGCACAGACCTGAAGCTAGTGAGGAGATGGGGGGGCAGGATGGGCAGAAGGAAGGGCAGGTGCAAAGGCCCGGTGGTGGGAACAAAGGGTAGGCTTAAGACAGCCAGCTGGGCCAACAGTGCTGGGTGTGGTGGTGCACTGCTGCAGTCCCAGCGCAGGGTGGAGGCAGGGCTCTTGAGTCCCGGGCTACATAGTGAAACCTATTTCACAAGTCAAGAAAGTGAGCCTGGACATAGAACAGTGATACGTCGCTTGCCTAACATGCACAAGGACTCGAGTCTGATCCCCCGCCCTGTAAACAAAATCAAAATGAGCCCAGTGCCAGTGGCTCATGGCTGTCATCCTAGCTACTCAGGAGGCTGAGATCTGAGGATTGCAGTTCAAAGCCAGCCCAGGCAGGAACATCTGTGAGACTCTATCTCCAACGAATCACGGAAAGTCAAAAGGGGAGCTACGGTTCAAGTAGTAGAGCCCTAACCTTGAGCAAAAGCTCAGGGACAGTGCCCAGGCCTTGAATTTAAGCCCTAGGACTGGCACAAAAGATAAACGAAAAATGCACCATGAGCATGGCTGTGTCCTCACAACCCTGGCTTAGTTTGTGATCCCATTTTACAGATGGAGAAACAGAGGCCCGGAGAGGCCGACGGTGTGCCCCGGAGCTCACAGCCTGCAGAGGACACAGCTGTCGTGTGAGACGGGCAGAGACTGGAGAGGTCGGAGGGGCCTGAGGGAAGTGGGCAAGCTGGGGTCAGCGTCCACACGGGATTGGGTTTGTGGGTCGGGGATTCCTTACGCAGGGAGAGAACCTGGGGCTCAGAGGCGAGCCGCTTGTGTGCAGCGACACAGCTCAGGGCAGTCAGGGGGGAACTGAACACCTAGCACTGGGGGTTCAGAACAAGGTGGTCTCAGCTTCTAGCCGCTCTGACTGCCTCCAGGAGTGGCTGAAGGTGGGAAGCAAGGCCGGCCTGCCCGGCCCCATTCCTCCCAGGCCTTAAGAGGACACCACCCAGGCAAGGAAATGAGCATTCATTAGGAGCCTGGTGCATACAAGCTCTTAAAAAATGTAGCTACCACCCTACACAGGAAGAGGCTGGAAAGCAGGAGTCCAGGGCTCGTCCTCCAAGTGGCCGCCCTGGGCCTGTGCGCCACCCTCAGTGTCTGGTAGCCCTTGAGAGAGATGAGCCTGGCTGTCTCGAGCTCACCAGTAGTTCCCACCACAGGGCCTTTGCACATGCTCTTCTTCTGCCCGTCCCGCCCTCCCCTCACACGCCAGGCCCCTCCTCACCTTCTACCTTCTGAGCCGGAAAAGCCAAATGCTGTTCGGGTCCCCAACACTCCACACGCCATCCCTGTCACACTTCCTTCTTCCATAGCCAGTCAGCCCTGGCAGACTTCTTTCCTGGCATGTTTACCTGCCACTTTCCAGCCGCCTCCCCAGGTCGGGAAGTTACTGGGGAGCCCCTGCAGTGTAGGTCCGTTTGCGGGGCGGGTCTTGTCCGGAGATGGTGGTGTGCCAGCTCTGCCCCGCGAGCTGTGTGACCCTGGGCCGGTGCCCGACCTCTCCGTGCCTCAGTTTCCCCCTCAGGCCGAGCCTCAGTTTCCTCCCGCAGGTGCGGCGGTGAGGGGAGCGGGGCCCCCACCGACCCCGCGGCCCCGCGGCCCGGGCCGGGCGCAGCATGAAGCTGGACGAGCGCAGCCTGGCCCGCTACGCCACCTGCGACGCGCCGGTGGACCGGGCCGGCTTCCTGCACAAGCGCGGCGGGCGGCACGCGGCCTTCCAGCGGCGCTGGTTCGTGCTGCGCGGGAACATGCTCTTCTACTTCGAGGCGGCGGCCGAGGCGGCGCCGGCCCCCGAGCCGCTGGGCGTCATCGTGCTCGAGGGCTGCACGGTGGAGCTGGCCGAGGCCGCGCACTTCGCCTTCGCCTTCGCCGTGCGCTTCGCGGGCGCGCGCGCGCGCTCCTACGTGCTCGCGGCCGACAGCCAGGGCGCGCTGGAGGGCTGGGTGAAGGCGCTGTCGCGCGCCAGCTTCGCCTACCTGCGCCTGGTGGTGCGCGAGCTGGAGCAGCAGCTGGCGGCCGCGCGTGCGGGCTGCGCCCCGCCCCCGGCCTTGCAGGCCCCGCCCCCGCCGCAGGCCCCGCCCCCGCCGCAGGCCCCGCCCCGAGCCCCGCCCCGCCGACCCTTGGACCGCCCCGCCCAGGCCAGCAAGGCCGAGGGCCGCGCGGCCTGGAGCACCGAGGCCCCGGTGGTCCCGGATCGCCGCGATCGCCCGCCGCTGCCGCCCCGCCGTCGGGCCTCGGCCACCCCCGAGCCCCCCGCCGCGGCGCCGTTCGCGCGGCTGCACGAGTGGTACGGGCAGGAGGTGCGGGCGCTGCGCACCCAGTGGCGCAGCCGCGCGCAGCTCTGAGCGGCCGGCGGCCCGGCCTGGGCGGGGCTCGGCGCTCCCTTGGCACCGCGGGGCCCGGGGCCCAGCCTGCGGGGCCCGGCTGTGACCCGGCACAGGACGCCAGTCGGCCGCCGGCCCAGCGCCCGTGGTGCTGGGTCTCGGCGTAGGCGGAGGAGCCGCCGAGGGCCACACCTGGCCGGCCGCTGCCCCGGCTCCCCGGAGCTGCCGAGGGGCGCGGGCCTCGCAGCTCCTGCGGCCGGGTCCCCGCCTCTGCCCTGAGCAGCCTCCAGCCGCCCCGCGGTGCCTCCTGCGCGGAGAGAGCCCAGGGCGGGACGGTGCCCCAAACCAGCTGCTTGCGGGGTGCGGGGCCCCCAGGCCTCCCGTGCGCCGGCGCCGCCACAGCCTCCAGTGTCCCGGGGGTCTGGGCCCCACCTCTCACCGCAGTGCCCTTCCTCACCCTGGAGGAGCGCCGGGTGGGCCCTGTGCCCTGGGTTGTTTACAGTCTCCGTGCCCACCCGGGCACGTGGACACCTCCTCCCCAGCCTCCCCGCCCGTCCTCGCGCCTGGCTCCCTGCGGGTTCAGGGGCACCGAGCCGCCGGTGTTTGGATACGGACATTGGCCGCAGGCTGAGTCACCCGCCCCGCCGGGCCCCGCCGGCCCGTGCGCTCCCGTCCCCTCCCAGCCCCGCCACGTGGTGGCGGCGGCGCTCTTGTTCACAGGCTCCGGTCTGGGGTCTAGCGGGTGCGGACCCCAGACTCGGCAGGACTGCAGGCTGTAAAGGTACAGTGGCCCTGGTACCCCGAGTAGGGGTGAGGTGCTCCCCTCCTCCAAAGCACAGGTTCGGGATGGAGAGACGCAGCGGGGGAGGGACAAGGGCCACAATAAATGTCCTTCACTGAGTGGTGGTTTGTGTTCTTTCCTCCAGCAAATCCCCTGTTGAGCCTTTCACCCCCACTTCCTAAGTGAGGAGCAGTGAATGCCTTCCCCGCCCCCACTCCTGCCTTCTTTAGCCCTGTTATCCTAAAATTAACCCCGGACTGAGCTGGGCAGAGCCCAGAGCGCGTCCAGAGAGGTGGCGGGTGGGGACACCCGTTCACCTGCTTACTGATGGCATCCAGAGGGGGTGGGGTGTTTGCCAGGGTCACACAGCTGAACCCTGTGGCAGTGCCCCCAGGGGAAAGGGGACTGGTCCACAGGGGGTGGGCGCCTGAGGCTCAGGAGGGCACCTGTGCTCACCTAGAAGTCAGGAGTGCCAGCACAGGTGGAACTGGTATGGTAGCCGTGCCTGTGACTTCATCCCAGTACTATGAGGCTGAGGCAGGAGAATCCCAAGATCAAGGCCTTAGACTGGGGCCACCACAGAGCACGAGTGGCTCTTCTCCTGATTGTGTGGCCCTGTGCAAGTTGAGAAGGGCAAGCCTGCATCAATTAGTGCTGTCTGCTGTGGGCACCCTTGGGCCTGGGCTTAGTTCTCAGACTTGCTGCATCCTTTGGTGCTGTCTGCAGTTGGCACCTGCGTGCCTGGGCTCAGTTCTCAGACTTGCTGGGCTGACGGGTTCCACAAAAGAGAAGGGCCTGGCCACAAGGGAGCTACCCGTGGTGGACTAGGCCCCAAGCCTTCCTAATGTGGGACGGTGGCATGGGCCCCAGGGCTCCCTGGCGGCCTGGAAAAATCAGTGTATTCAGGAAGCTGTGGATTTATGGTGAGCGAAGTGTAAGACCTCGTGTGGAAGGAATGGAAACTTCTGAGGTCAGAAGCTGGGGGTGCCTCCCCTCTGGGACTGAAACCGATGGGTGGGGGTGGGGACGCGGCTGTCACACCGGCATCCCTGCCACATCAGGGGAGCTCTGGGGGGACACTAGTCAGGTGGGCACACGGCTTACGCTCAGCGTCCATCCAAACCCCCCCCCCCAAGTCCTTCCAGGCTGTCTCCTGGCTGGCTTCAGGGGGCTTGCAGCCCCCAAAGCCCCCTTTGGAGCTGTTTCTGAGTATCTGATGACAAGTGCAGGCGGAACCTGCCGGATTCCCAACGTCTGCTTGGATGAAGGGCCAGGCCTATGACGCAGAATGGAGAGCCACTCCCCGGAAACCTGCCCCCCTGCCCAAGTGTCACCCCTCATGGATGACATGCTCCCAGGAGATGAAGGTTTTGCCCTCCATCCGCCGTGCCCCCAGCCCCTGTCCAGTGCCGAGGGTCAGGAATCCAGAGGGGCCGTTCTATAAGTCACACGGCCCAGCCTCTGCAGGGAGGATCACTTGCTGAGGACCTGACACAGCCATCCTGGGGTGCGAGGGAGGTCTAGACCACGTGTCTGGGCCTGGTCACGGTGAGGGTCGTTTTGGTCACCACAAGCCCCACCACAGGAGCCCAGGAGCCACTGGAAACTGCGCTGCCACAGGCCCAGTGCCCCTCCTGACCATCAGCCTCGGGGCGATGAGGAAACCGGGGTCCGCGCTCCATGTCTGGAGAAGCGGCGCTTTGTGGAGGGAAGCCAGCCCGCGCCACCCAGCGGAGCGCACGGCGGGGCAGGCTGCTCCGAGCGCCGACGCCTGTGGGCACCCATGTGAGTGGGGGCGGGTCCAGCCAGCCACCCGCGTCACCCCACCCACCCCACCCACCCCGCTGCGCACCACACAGGCGGCTCCCAAGGCTGCCTCCTTCCCCGCATGGGTGTTGCCTCAGCTGTTTTTGCTCAAAGCTAGTGCTGTACCACTTGAGCCACAGCGCCACTTCCTGCTTTTTGGTGGTTAATTGGAGGTATGAATCTCACAGGGCCAATGGCTCACGCCTGTAATCCCAGCTACTCAGGAGACTCAGATCTGAGAGCCCCAGGGTGGGCAAAAACAAACAAAACCCATTTGGCTTCGTTTTCCCAGCAGGGTCTTGAATTTTCGCGTGTGCGGGCGGGTGGACCTGGACTGTGGTCCTCCTGTCTATCCATGCCAGTGTAGCTGGGAGGACAGCAAGAGCCAGCGAGCAAGCGTGGCTGCCCCCGCCCGTGCTGGAGAGGAGGCCTGGAGAGCTTTCTGCCCAGGCGGCCTCCTGCTCTCAGCTGCCCTGGGAGAGGGAAAACCCTTCTGTTGAAAACAAAAAACAAAGCAGTTTTGAGCTCAGTATTGGTAGCTCACACAACCCTAGCTACTCAGGAAGCTGAGATCTGGAAGATCACCGCTCAAAGCCAGCCTGGACAGAAAAGCCTAAGACACTTCATCTGCAGCATACCAGGCAAAAGCAGGACTACATTTATGGCTCAAGTAGAAGAGCTCCAGTCATAAACAAGCAAGCTGAAGGACAAGGTCCTGAGTTCATGCCTTAGTACTCATCAAAACAAAAACAAAAAGAGCTTAGGGTCCTGTAAGAGCCCCAGGGGCCCCCGGATTTCCCACTGTAGGACAGAGGGGCAGACACTCAGGATTATTATACAATTCTGTATTTAGTGACTTGTGTACAGAATGTATTTCTTTTAAAATTTTAAACAAAGTTCATCAATCTCTCATAGAAAGCTTGGTGTGTGTGTGTGTGTGTGTGTGTGTGTGTGTGTGTGTGTGTGTGTGTGTGTGTGTGTGTGTGTGTGTGTGTTGTGTGTGCGTTCTTTTACCATTGCAGGGGGTGAAGGAGGAAATTGTTCCTGGGTCTTGAGGCTTTAGGTGCAGTAGCAGGATTCTGTTCTGGGTTCCAAAGACGAGACGAAGTGCTGGTCAAATCCCGCTGCTCTAAAGCCACAGGGACGGCTCCAAGTTCGAGTCTGGCGGAGGTGTGGATTCCTGCACTCTCCCTTGGGTGTCTCCCGGCAAGAGGGTAGTGGTGGCCGAAAGATGTTCCATTTGTTCTAGATCGGAGGAGGATGCGTGCGGTCTGGTCACTGTTCCCTGCTGTTGGAATATAAAAATACCTGCATCTGGATAAAAATGCGTGCAGCGCAAACTTGGATGTGCAGCCTGGTGCGCAGAGGCAGAGTTTGGTGTGGACGGCAGCCTGGGCCTGGTGCACAAGTTGGTGTTTCTGGAATGTTCCTCATCTGTCTCTCTCTGCTAGCCAAGTTTTGCCCGTGTGGTTTGGAAGTATTCCCTGCGAGGTCAGCCGTCCCGAGCTGCCACTGGCTGGGCAGCAGTGATAGCTGCATGTCATCCAGCCATCTTCCCACAGAGCTGCGTGTGCGCCAGGCCTGGGACTTGAACCCGGGTCCTGGCTGCTGTCCCTGAGCTTTTTCCACTCAAGGCTGGTGCTCTACTACTTGAGCCATAGCTCCACTTCTGGCTTTCTGCTGGTTAATTGGAGATTAGAATCACATGGACTTTCCTGGGGCTGGCTTTGAACTGTGATCCTTAGATCTCAACCTCCTGAGTAGCTGGGACTACAGGCGTGAGCCACTGGTGCCTGGCTCTCCACAGAATTTTGACGAGAGAGAGAGAGAGAGAGAGAGAGAGAGAGAGAGAGAGAGAGAGAGAGTCATCAACCAATATGGTAGCTGTGCCTTCACCCCTCAAACCTGTGTGGGACACATGGGAAGAAGCTCCCCCTGGGCCGGAGGCTGAGGCCTGCCCCCCCCCCCCCCCCGGGGCTCTTGGGGCTTGGAAGCTGCAAGAGGATCTAAGGGGATGAGGCTCTGGCCTCCAGAATTTGAGGTTTGGTGCTGGGTGCTAACCCTCACTGGAACCTTCTAGAAACACAAGGAGCAAAGGGGATGGCCGGGATTCTCTGGGATGCCCCAGCTTGTATGTACCAGTGGACAAACTTGCCAGTGCAGCTATGGCCGGGCTGGGAGGTGGACTGCTCAGGCTCACGTGGCACACTCGGCCCGGGTCCAGCTTCACGGGCTGGACACGCACCGTGCACTCCTGGTGGCCGCAGGCCCGGGGCGCCGGCACTGTGAGCAGCAGTTTGTCTTGCACCATTCCCGCTCGGAACGGCCCCATCTCTACTTGCTGCACCAGGACGGCACATCCTGTCATGAAGATTGTAGACCACCAGCACGGGACGCGCCCTCAGCGGCGCAAAGGTTTTGTTTAGAGTCTTTTGGACTTTCTCTCTTCCGGCAAGGCTTTCTGGAACAGCAGGAACGACGCCGGGTCTCACAGACACGCGTGGTCACCCAGAACCCGTGACTCAAAGGTGATGGACATGTGGTGAGTCTCAGTGTTTGGTGATGGCTTTGAACAATTGTCTTTCCTTAATCTCATCTAGTGGCAAAACAAAAACCAAAAAAAGACACAGCTTCAGTGTGCGCTTTTCCCACCGTTGTGACACCGTCCTGATGCCTAATTCTCTGTGATATCAAAACAGCATTGGCTGGGAATAAAGCCCAAAGGATCCTTTATTAAAATAGCTAAAAGAGGTCTATAAATATCTGTTTTTCAGAAAGAGTCTGGAGTTCTCCGGTGAGCGTGTGGTGGGTGGGTCCTGCTTCCCAAGTGGGGCTCAGGGCAGGGGTGGGGGGTCCTCAAGCCCTCCCGGGGGGCCACTGCCCCCCATGCCCCGGCGATGGCTCCCCATCATCCGACGAGAGGATGGCAACAGAAAACGCAGAGGGAGCAGGGTGGCCTTGGCATCTGGAGGTCGGAGGTCAGAGGGCGGAGGCCGCCCCCGCCCAGGCCAGGCTCAGAACTCCCACTCCAGGGCCTCGTCGCGGTTGGCGGCCTTCTCCAGCCGGTAGATGATGCTGTTCAAGTTGGCCATCTTCTCGTGCCGCCGCTGCAAGTTGGGGTTCACCTTGGCACTGGCCGTGGGGCTGGCACTGGGTGCACTGGCGGGCGGGGCGCTGGGGGGGGAGGGCAGGGGGCCCGAGGACGAGGGGACGGGGGACACGGGGGACACGGAGGCCGCGCCGAGGCCCGGCGAGGAGGCCGTGGAGGGCGGGGTGGGAGGCTCCTCCAGGCTGCCGCGGGACGACTCGGACTCTGGGGCGGGCGGCCGCGGCCCGGCCTGGCCCTCGTGGCAGGGGTGTCGCCAAGGGCAGTCTGGGGGGAGCCCCGCGGGAAGGAGGAGCCCCGGCACCCCTTCAGGGAGCTCCTCGCTGCCCGGAGGGTCTGCGTGCTCCTCTTTGGGGGTGGCACGGGCTGGGTCCGGCTCCCCCAAGTCCTGGGGCTCACAGCCCCCCTCCTCCTCGGTCCGCTCCTGCTTGACCCTCACGCGGGCCCCGTCCGGGGCGGGCAGGGGTGCGGCCCCAGCCCCACAGGCCCGCAGCTCGCTCAGCTCCGGCTTCTGCTCCTCAGCCTCCGACGCGGGGCTCCTCGGGGTGGGGTCTGGGGGTCCATGGCGGGGCGGCCGGGTGCCGGGATCCCCGCTGGGGTCCAGCTCGGGCTCATCCTGGGCTCCTTCCACCAGCGTCTCCCGGCGCATCCTGGACCTGGGGCAGAGACGGGCGTGAGCGCCGCGGCCTGGCTGTGCTCAGGCCGAGCTGTGTGGGGCGGCCTGGCTCTTCCTCTGCCATGCCCAGCACACAGCAAGTGCTGCCAACTCCTACCCACCCCAATGCATGTCCTGCAACTCACATCTGGAGAGTAGTTTTCTCTATTCCTAGGTGCAAACTCCTATCCACCCTCAAAACCCAGCTTAAATGCTGCTTCTTGTGCAATAGGTTCGCTAGGCAGAATTTCCTTCCCCTACTCCCCAGCCCCTATTCCTTGTCTCGGGCTGACCATCGGGCCCCAGGGGAACGATCTGCGTGGCCATGAGGGGCGGGCTGGTGGGACGATCTGCGTGGCCGTGAGGGGCGGGCTGGTGGGACGATCTGCGTGGCCGTGAGGGGCGGGCTGGTGGGACGATCTGCGTGGCCGTGAGGGGCGGGCTGGTGGGACGATCTGCGTGGCCGTGGGGGGCGGGCTGGTGGGACGATCTGCGTGGCCGTGGGGGGCGGGCTGGTGGGACGATCTGCGTGGCCGTGGGGGGCGGGCTGGTGGGGCGATCTGCGTGGCCGTGGGGGCGGGCTGGTGGGGCGATCTGCGTGGCCGTGGGGGGCGGGCTGGTGGGACGATCTGCGTGGCCGTGGGGGCGGGCTGGTGGGACGATCTGCGTGGCCGTGAGGGGCGGGCTGGTGGGACGATCTGCGTGGCCGTGGGGGGCGGGCTGGTGGGACGATCTGCGTGGCCGTGGGGGGCGGGCTGGTGGGACGATCTGCGTGGCCGTGGGGGGCGGGCTGGTGGGACGATCTGCGTGGCCGTGGGGGCGGGCTGGTGGGGCGATCTGCGTGGCCGTGGGGGGCGGGCTGGTGGGACGATCTGCGTGGCCGTGGGGGGCGGGCTGGTGGGACGATCTGCGTGGCCGTGGGGGGCGGGCTGGTGGGGCGATCTGCGTGGCCGTGGGGGGCGGGCTGGTGGGGCCTGTGTCTTTTTCTTTGGGGCAGACTCCAGTCTCGGCCACAGTGTGCCGTGTGCTTAACACCTGCGCTTATTTCACTTGACCTAGGGCGAGTGCTCTGTAAACGCAAAGGAGACTCAGAGAGGGAAGTGACCTGCCCAAGGCCACACAGCCCAGCTTCACCTGAGGTCTGTGCAGTGCCAGTGCCCAGGCTGAGCACCCCCAGTGTCTGGCCTCCCGCCCCACCCCAGCCCCACTTTTCTACTTCCCAGGGGTCAAGACTTTCGTTCTGCCACTGGGCTGGATGGGGGCCGCCCCTCTCTGTACCACATGGTGCTTGGTGGTGCTTAGCCTGGTCTCCCTGGAGCTGGCTGGGCCCGGGGCGGACTGGGGCAGTCAGGACAGGAGACCACTGCCCTTGGCAAGTGGGGCGGGCCAGGGAGACGAGGCTTTCCTTGGCCTCAGGAGTGGGGGACCCCAAGCCAGTCAGGCGCCTGCTGGATGATTAGAGCTTTTCTTTTGGTCGGTCGTGGGGCTTGAACTCTGGGCCTGGGCGCTGTCCCTGCGCTCTTCAGCTCAAGGCGAGCGCTCTACCACTTGAGCCACAGCACCACTTCTGGTTTTCTGTTGGTTCATTGGAGATAAGAGTCTCAGGGACTTTCCTGCCCAGGCTGGCTTTGAACCACGATCCTCAGGTCTCAGCCTCCTGAGTAGCTAGGGTTACAGGTGTGAGCTGGGACCCCCCCCCACAAACACACTTTGTGGGTTTATAAATGTCCTATTTATCTCGCAGCCTGTTTGCGTCACACGCTCCTCCCTCATCTCCTGGTCCCCTCTAGGGGCAGCTGTAGGGCAGGCTGGACGGTGGCCAGTGGCGCTCTGTGTGGACATCTTGTGTGGATTGGGTGGTCGGCACCTCTGTGGGACACAGGCTGGCCCGGTTTTCCTGAGTCTAATCGCCCTGCCCTCCCGCCCCTCCCCCTGCGATCCCATGCCCCCCTCTGCAATCCCATGCCCCTTCCCTCCCTGATCCCGAGGGCCCCCCCCCGCGATCCCATGCTCCCCCCATGATCCCACGCCCCCTCACGAGCCTGTAGGCCCCCCACAATCCCGCACCCCCCCACTGCAATCCCATGCCTCTCCCCCCCATGATCCCGTGGGGGGCCATGATCCCGTGGGCTCCCCCTATGATCCCCATGATCCCGTGGGGGGCCGTGATCCCGTGGGCTCCCCCTATGATCCCATGCTCCCCCCCCATGATCCCACGTCCCACCTCACAATCCTGTAGGCCCCTCGCGATCCCACAGGCTCCCCCTCATGATCCCACCCCTCCCCACGATCCCCCCCCCCCCGCGATCCTGTGCCCCCCACCTGTAGTTATGGAACCAGTTGATGACGGTGTTGGTCTTGAGCTTGAGCTGGAAGGACAGCAGCTCGATGGTCTGCTGCGAGGGGTAGGGCTCCAGCTGGTAGGCCCGGCGCAGCGCCTCCCTCTCCTCGGGCGCCAGCACCACCCGGGGCTTCTTCACCTGCAGCAGGCTCAGCTCCAGCGGCGGCGGGCACGGGCTGGGGCACTCAGAGCGCGTGGCCGGGGACTCGCGGTCCGAGCCGGGGCTGATGAGCCCGTAGCGGCGCTTCAGGTAGGCTGGCGGGGAGGGAGGGAGGCTGAGGGGCCCCACGCACCCCATCTGCTGCTCCCGGGGATGGGGAAGCCTGGAGGGCGATGACCAGCCAGCCCTCGCCCTCAATGACCCACCGGTGGGCTCCTTATTCCTCTCCCACCCCCTCCACTGGGCCGCCAGCCTGCTGGCTGTGGGGAGCCCCAGGGCAGGGCACATCTTGGCCCCAATCACGAACAAACACAAAAAAGCACTGCTCTAGTTTGACGCCTCCCCTCCCCCGTTCTGTGGGGCCCTTTAAGGGGTGGAGCCTGGCGGGAGGCCTTCAGGGCATGGGGGCGGGCCTTTGAGGGGGCCCTGGGGCCTCAATCCCTTACTCACCCCATCTGCTGGGCAGTCCTGCCCTCTGCTGGTAGGTGTCTGGATAGCAAGCAGGGAGGGTGACAAGGTCGTGTGTGTGTGTGTGTGTGTGTGTGTGTGTGTGTGTGTGTGTGTGAGCGCGCGCAGGGGCAGACAGAGGTGGGGGTGGCTGTTTCAATCACCCAGTTCTTTGGGAGCGTGACTTCCCGCAGTCCTGGGTCGGCCGAGCCCTGGCGCGCTGCCCCCCCTCCTTACCTTTCTTCTCCAGCTTCTTCATGTCCCGCAGCTTGTCCACATTGTGGGGGTCGCTGAGCCACAGCTGCATGCGGACGAACGGCTCCCGGCCCTTCAGGCTCAGCTTGTGCCAAGGCTTGGGCCGGGAAAGCAGGTCTGACACGGAGCCCTGCGTGAGCCCCAGGATGCTCTCTCCAAACAGCCGCTGCCCTGGGATGGGGGGCAGGGGCCGTCACGCAGGCTGCGGGGGGGGGGGGGGCGGGGGGGGTGCCGGGACGGGGAGCCTCACTTGGGGCGCTGGGAACGTTCTGCAGCCTGGGCAGGGGCTGGACGGCGGCCAGTAGCGCCTGCCATCTTCACAGCTCCTCAACTCTAGGGAATTCCTAAATAAAAATGACTGGCAAACTTCACAGCCACAACCTTGATCATGTGGCTCTGGAGTAAGCGGGGAGATTCCTGCAGTTGTCCGCAGGCCTTCCTGACCCAGCAATCTGCTGGCCGCCTGCAGCCCGAGGCGCCTGGCTTCTCGGAGCTTTTTTTTTTTTGCCAGTCCTAGGGCTTGAACTCAGGGCCTGGGCGCTGTCCCTGAGCTGCTTCTGCTCAAGGTGAGCACTCTACCCCTTCAGCCACAGCACCGCTTCTGGCTCTTTCGGTGTATGTGGTACTGACGAATCGGGCCCAGGGCTTCACACATGCTAGGTAAGAACTGTACCACGAAGCCACCTTCCCAACTCTCCAAAACTCTTTTAAAAGCCAGAAGTGGAGCTGTAGCTCAAGAAGTAGAGGGCTAACCTCGAGTAAAGGAAGTTCATGGATAGTGCCCAGGCTAGTCCCAAGACTAGCATGTGCGCGTGCACGCACACACACACACACACACACACACACACACACACACACACACCCTTCTCCTGCTTCAGCCTCCTAAGAACTGGGATTATAGGTGTACACTACCATGCCCAGGCACCAAGGCTGACCGGCTGGCACTTTGGGCTGGATTCAAGGGCCTGGGGACTCCCCTCCCTCAGCCCCCGCGCCCACCCCTGACACTTTCCTTAGGCTGGTGGGAGTTGGGCAGGCAGGGGCAGCTTCCCTTACCCTGGGCCCCATACCTAGGTTGTTGTCTGTCAGCACCTCCTTGACCCTCTTGGTGATGGAGTATGTGTCCAGCTCGGGGGACATGGCCACAATTTCCTGGATGCCCCCTACGGCCTGGCCGGAGTATGTTTTCCCGGTGGGTGTGGTGCCCGGGCGCGCCTCAGGCTGCTGGTTTTCCTTGCTGCTCTCCAGAGAGAGGCTCAGGGGCTCCGGGGAGCTCTTCTCTGGCCCCGTGGGGCTTGGGGGTGGCGATGGTGAAGACCTTAGCTCCAGGGGACTGGCTGTGGGCCACAGAGACAGAGGGCGGTCACCCCCAGCAAGGAAGGGACCCACCCTGAGGACACTTCCAGGTGCCCTGCATCTCCCTGGGGAGACTGGGCATCTCAGTCACTCACGGTGGCGATCCCTTAACCAAGAGACCAGAGTTACTATCACTAAGCCTGGCACCACCACCGGTGGCTCACACCTCTAATCCCAGCTCCTCAGGAGGCTGAGATCTGAGGATCACAGTTCAAAGCCAGCCTGGGCAGGAAAGCCTATGAGACTCTTATCTCCATTCAACCACCAAGAAAGCCAGAAGTGGCGCTGTGCCCGCCTTGAGCGGAAAAGGCCGAGTGAGAGACTGCGCAGACTGGGTGGCCTGCCCTAGGCCACATGCTGTGCGCTGGGGGCCCCGCCAGGGCCCCGGCAGAGCAGGAGGAAGCCAGGGTGCCTGAACTCCAGGGCACTCTCTGGGGCGGTTTCCTCACCCTACAAAGCTCAGCCCGCCCACCCCGCCATGCTGTCCTGAGGAATGGGTGGGGGGTGGGGGGCACAAGGCCTGGGGGGTGGGGGGAGGGCGGGGCGCTCTGTGCTGCGTGCTGAATCTGTGCAGCTGAGACCAACCAGACCCTGTGTGTGGCAGGGCCCCTCATTCACTGGTGGGCAAAGCTGGGGCACAGGGCGTCTTCTGCTGGCCGCTGTCCTTTGAGGAGGGATGAGCACAGGGAGGTGGTGGGGGCCGGGTCCCCAGGGCGGCAGCCGCGGGGGGGGGGGACCCTGCGGGACTGCGAGCCCCAGGGGTGCGCTCACCCTGGGCGGCGCTGGGCGGCTGAGCCCCCGCCTGGCCCAGCTGGTCTGACAGCCACAGCTGCATGCGGATGAACGGCTCCCGGCCCTTCTGTGTCAGCTTGCTCCAGGGCTTTGGCCGGGACAGCATGTCGCTCACACTGCCCTGCGACAGGCCCAGCACCTGGGGGGACAGGAGAGTAGACAGGTAAAGGGAGAGGAGAGAGGACAGGTGCGTGGTCAGGTGAGGGGCAGGTGCGTGGTCAGGTGAGGGGCAGGTGCGTGGTCAGGTGAGGGGCAGGTGCGTGGTCAGGTGAGGGACAGGTGCGTGGGCAGGTGAGGGGCAGGTGCGTGGTCAGGTGAGTGGTCAGGTGAGTGGTCAGGTGAGGGGCAGGTGCGTGGTCAGGTGAGGGGCAGGTGAGTGGTCAGGTGAGGGGCAGGTGCGTGGTCAGGTGAGGGACAGGTGCGTGGGCAGGTGAGGGGCAGGTGCGTGGTCAGGTGAGTGGTCAGGTGAGTGGTCAGGTGAGGGGCAGGTGCGTGGTCAGGTGAGGGGCAGGTGAGTGGGCAGGTGAGGGGCAGGTGCGTGGTCAGGTGAGGGGCAGGTGAGTGGTCAGGTGAGGGGCAGGTGCGTGGTCAGGTGAGTGGTCAGGTGAGGGGCAGGTGCGTGGTCAGGTGAGTGGTCAGGTGAGGGGCAGGTGCGTGGTCAGGTGAGGGGCAGGTGAGGGGCAGGTGAGGGGTCAGGTGAGGGGCAGGTGCGTGGGCAGGTGAGTGGTCAGGTGAGGGGCAGGTGCGTGGTCAGGTGCGTGGTCAGGTGAGTGGTCAGGTGAGGGGCAGGTGAGTGGTCAGGTGAGGGGTCAGGTGAGGGGCAGGTGCGTGGGCAGGTGAGTGGTCAGGTGAGGGGCAGGTGCGTGGGCAGGTGAGTGGTCAGGTGAGGGGCAGGTGCGTGGTCAGGTGAGGGGCAGGTGCATGGTCAGGTGAGTGGTCAGGTGAGGGGCAGGTGCGTGGTCAGGTGAGGGGTCAGGTGAGGGAGGACAGGTGAAGGGACAGGTGGACAGGTAAGGGGACAGGAGAGCAGTCAGGTCAAGGGGGAAGGTGAGGGGAGCCCAGGACTTGGACTGGGTGGGTGGGATGGGGTGTGCCCGCCTCCCGCGCCGCCACCTTCTCCCCGAAGACCCGCTGGCAGATGCCGTTCTTGGCCAGCTTCTCCTTGACCCTGCGCGTGAGGCCGGGCGTGTCCACCTCGCGGTACATGTACAGCTCGTACTGCTCGGGCGTCAGCGGCGGCACCGTGGGGCGCAGCGCGCGCGGCGCGAAGGGCGGGAACGGGGCGCGCGCGCCGCCCGGCGCCTCGGCGGCCTCGGCCTTGAGCTCGGGCCGCGCCTCGTCCTCCGCCTCGTCGTCGGGCTCGTCGCGGTCGCCGGCGCGGGCCCCGCGGGCCCCAGGCGGCCCCGAGGCGGACGAGGCGGAGGAGGGCGCGGGCGAGGCGGGCGCGCGGCCCGGCGCCCAGGGCGGCTCCAGGCAGCAGGCCGCGTCGCCGATCTCGGACTTGACCCGGCGGATGATGCTCTGCACGAAGGCGGCGGGCGACAGCGCGGGCCGCGGCGCGGGGCCGCCCTCCTCCAGCTTCACGGCGGGCGCGGGCGGCTCGGGCCCCGGCCCCGGCTCGGGCTCCGGCGGCGACGCCGCGGGCCGCCGCGCGCCCTCCAGCTCCAGCAGCGCCCGCTGCTGCGCCTGCATCTCCCGCCGCGCGCGCTCCAGGATGCCGCGGATGGCCGCCTCCGACGTGCTGCCCGCCGCCGCCGCCGCGGGGCCCGCCGCCGCCGCGCCCGGCTCGCCTGCGGACCGCACGGGCCGGGTCAGGACGCGGGGACCCCGCAACCCCGCCGTCCCGACTCCGGCCTCAGCCCCCACAGCCGGGCGACCTGGCCCGCTAGAGCGTGAGTGCGCGCGCACGTGTGAGTGTGTGCGCACGTGTGTGCGTTGAGTGTGCGCGTGAGGGTGCGCAGGCACCAGTACTGCGGCTTGAACTCAGGGCCTGGGGTTCTTGCTCGTTTTTTTCACTCAAGGCTGGTGCTCTACCAGTTGCGCCATCCCTCTAGTTTTTTATGTGCTAGTCTCGGGGCTTGAACCCTGGGCCTGGGCGCTGTCCCTCAGCTCTTCAGCTCAAGGCCAGCGCTCTACCGCTTAGGCCACAGCACCATTTCCGGATTTCTGGTGGTTCATTGGAGATCAGAGTCTCACAGACTTTCCTGCCCGGGCTGGCTTTGAACTGAGATCCTCAGATCTCAACCTCCTGAGCAGCTAGGACAGGCGTGAGCCACTGGTGCCAGGCTAGAGCACGAATCTTAATAACACAAGACAGGGCAAAAAGAGCAAGTCCGCGAAGAAGACACACGAAGTGTCCAAGCAAGCAAAATAACCAGTGTCATTTACTGAAAAAACCATTTCAACAAACTGCAAACGAATGGAGAAATAGGAAAAACAGTACGCTGTGGGGGGTCTGGGGCCCGTGGGTGTTTTCCAGCCTCGGAGGTTCAGCGTGCCACGTGAATAAGTGAATGGAGAAAGAGTAAATACATCCACACACTCCCAGGGGGCTGTGTGTGACACTCTACTACAATGTGTCATGAACCAAGGACAGCTGACCTGTTTCTCCCCCCCTGCCTCCCCCCCACCTGTGACAGGTACCCCCTCCTCTCCTGAGAAGGGCCCTTCCTCCTGCATGGGTGGTTTTCCTGGTCTCTACTAAGTCTGGGCCCTGGGTCATCCCACAACACCGCACATGTGCTCCACGCAGCCACCAGGGGGCAGAAGACCCCACGGAGCGGTGGGGATCATCCTCGCTCAATCTCCTGGCTCCAGCTCAGGAGCTGTGCTGGGCTGCGCTGGGCTGGGACTGAAGCTCTCAGATCCAAGGGAGGGACAGCGCAGGCCGGGGGGAGAGGAGTCACGCCCGTCATTTTTGCTGTCACTATTTCTACAGCACCTTCTACGTGCCGGCTGCTGCCTGCCTCTGCTCTCGCTAGATCTCCACACAGTGCCAACACGCTTTCCATCTTAAAGATGAGTGGACAGAGGCACAGAGAGGCTACGTAACATGTCCAAGATCACACAAACCACAGAGCCAGCAGTCGTGACCAGTCTGTCTGGTTGCCATGATCACAACAGGTGACTTCCGGGAACCGATCCATGTGGACAGGGTAGAGGGCTTCCTGGAGGAGGTGGCTCACCAGCCAGTAGGAAGGTGTAAGCAGGAGTCTGGCAGGGAAGAGCGCCTGGGGTGGGGAAGGCAGAGGCTCTGCCCTGGGGGGTGGTATGGTGTGTGTGGGGGGGGGGTGCTCCTGGGATGATAGTGGGTTCGTGTTAGACAGAAGGGGCAGGAAGATGATATTTAATCGTGAAGGCAGCAGGGACCGAGGCCAGTATCTGAGCGGTGGCATGCACGCTTTGTGCTTGTGGAAGCTCTGGCACACTTAGGATTTCTGGAATGGACTAAAAGTGGGCGAGGCGCTGCCCCTCCCTAGTCCAAGGCTGCTGGGGGCCTCGGCCAGTACTCACCCCCTTTCTGAGACTCAATCTCCTTCTTGGCCTGCTCCAGAATGCTCTTGATGGCATCGTCCGAGCCTGTCTCCGGCGTGCGGATTCTTGGCGTGATGCTGCCTGGGAAGGCAGGAAGGCCTTGGTCCCAACTTCAGGCTGGCCTCGCCTGCCTCCCGAGGGCAGGAGGCCAAGGGGTACATGCCCCCACTCCCCCACTTACTTTGAATTAAAAATAAAACAGGGACTGGGGATGTGGCTTAGTGGTAGAGCGCTTGCCCAGCATGCACAGGGCCCTGGGTTTGATTCCCAAGTACCACATACACAGGAAAAGCTGGAAGTGGCACTGTGGCTCAAGTAGTACAGTGCAGGCTTTGAGCAAAAGAAGCTCAGGGATAGTGCTCAGGCTCCGAGTTCAAGTCCCAGGACTGGCAAAAAGTAAAAATAAACAAAATAAATAGCTGGGAACCAGTGGCTCATGCCTGTCATCCCAGCTACTTAGGAGGCTGAGATCTGAGGACTATAGTTCAAAGCCAAACCAGGCAGGAAAGCCTGTGAAACCCTTATCTAATTAACCAGCAAAAAGCCAGAAGTGGATCCACGGGTCAAGTGGTAGAACGCTAGCCTTGAGTGAAGAAGTTCACAGACAGCACCCAGGGCCTGAGTTCAAGTCCCAGCAATGGCATATGTGTGCGCGTGCACGCATAATAAAATGACAGGCTTGAGCCACCAGCACTTTGCTGGAATCTTAGCTACTCAGGAGGTTGAAATCTGAGGATGATAGTTCAAAGACAGCCTGGGTGGCAAAGTCCATGAGACTCTGATCCCCAATGAATTACTCAAAAGGCCGGAAATGGAGCTGTGGCTCAAGTGGTAGAGCGCTAGCCTTCAGCATAAACGCTCAGGAACAGCGCCCAGGACCACAGTTCAAGCTCTGAGACTGGCACCAAAAAAAAAGATAAAACGGACAGCCAGGAGGAGGGCAGAGAGGACAGACAGACGGCAGCACCGCACTCAGGGTAGTGTCATGTCTCCCTTGGAGGCTGCTCTGTGGGGAAACCGAGGCACAAGGCTGTGGAAGCGAGGGCTGTGGCGAGCGTGACCTGTGAGGCACCCCGACTGCCCAGGGCATCTCACCCGTGGGAAACTGAGGCTCAAACGACAGACCCAGCCTCTTGGTCGGTCAGCAGCATGGGCAGCGGGCAGGGCGGCGGGCAGGGCGGCGGGCAGGGCGGCGGGCAGGGCGGCGGGGTGCGGGGGGGGGGAGCGTGTGGGGTGCGGGGCGCGTGCAGCGGCTCACCTCGCTGCCGCACCTGGACGGTCCTGAGGGCCAGCACGTTCTGCTCGTTGGACAGGAAGTGCTTCATCTTGAGGAAGGGCTCCTTGCCCTTCACTGTGAGCTTGCGCCAGGGCTTGGGCCTGGCCAGGATCTCGCTCACCGAGCCCTGGGACAGGCCCAGCACGTAATGGCCGAACACGCGCTGCCCGATGTTGTGCTTGAGCAGCTGCTCCTTCACCTGGAAGGCGATGTCCGCCGTGTCCAGCTGCTCCTCCTCCGCCGCAGGCCCGGCTCCGTCGGCCGGCTCGGGGGCTCCAGGGGGCTCCGGCCCGGGCACCGGGGTGGCGGGGGCCGGGGGGGGCTTGGCGCTGTAGAAGGCCGTGGGGAACACCAGCAGGCTGCCGGCCTCCCCCTTGAAGGCGGCCGGGGAGGGGACGGGCTTGGGCAGCAGCGGGTCCCCTGACGCCAGGCCGGGGAAGGGAGACAGCGAGAAAGTCCGTGCGCCGTCGGGGCCCAGCAGGGGCTGCCCGGGGCTGGGTGACAGGGGGTCCTCGGGGCCTGGTGGAGGGGGCAGCTCCTGTGGCGGGGGGAGCGGGGGGTACGGGGCCTCCGTGCCCAGCGAGCACTTGATGGAGTCATCTTCAGAGGGATCTTCCTCTAGAACACCAGGGGATGGACAGACGGACACAAAAGGGACAGAGTGACGGGGAGTTGGGGGGGAGACACAGAGAGAGAATGAGTTGGGGGGGGACCGAGAGACAGGGAAGAGGAGGGACAGAAGCCCAGAGAGGGAGGGGAGAGGGAGGGGGCGGGGAGGGCTATAGGTCCATGAGCACCATTGCTGGCAGTTGGTCCCCCCATTCTCCAGCTCTGCATCCAGAGCCCCCCACAACTGGGCGCTTAACCCCCACAGCTGCTGTGGGCACTGCACGTGGCCCAGGGCAGGGAACAGCAACCACACTACCCCGGTGCTGCCCTGGGCCTACCCGGGGACCCCCTCCCTCACGCAGCACCCCCGTCACCCCACTTTATAGGTGAGGAAACACAGGCAGCGAAAGTCTTGGACAAGTCGCGAGGCTGGAAGGCGATGGGGCCCCTACAGGGAGCAGACCATTTTGGGGAACCAGCAATGACCAAATGGGTCATCCCCAGGGCTTGGCTATGGGGTACAGAGTGAGCCCCTTTCTTCCCTGAGTTCACCCCAAAGCCCTCCCTGCCAGACTAGGGTCTGGGGTGCGAGGTCTCAGATTGGGCAACTTTGGACGTGGGGCGAGTCAGGGGGCTCAATCACCACATTCCCACTCCCTGGCTCTTAGGACTGGGAGAAGGTGGGGGACCCCAGGCAGCCCCCCACCAGGCCCAGGTTCCAGAGCTCCCCCTACCAGGGCTGGCCAGGAGCACCGGCTTGTCTAGCAGGAACTTGGGTGCGGGGAAGAAGGTCTCCCTGGCTATGAGCATGGAGTCCTCAGCCTTGGCCAGGCCCTGGGGAGACAGGAAGTGGGGCTGAGGAGTTCCGGGGTAGGGGCATTGGGGAGAAAGGAAGTGGGGCCGAGGGCGCGGCCAGGGGCAGCGTAGGGCACTCACCTGTGGAAGGCTGCAGGAGCTGGAGGCCAGTTTCATGGCTTTGAGGATGCTGAGGGAGAAATGGAGGGGCTGAGACCAGCAGACCCCTGACAAGGAGCCCCCCCAGCCCCCCCAGCTCCCACGGTGGCCCACATTGGGCCTCTCGGATGCCAGAGAAGCCACCTCTGAGCTGCACCCCAGCCCCCTGCATTATGGTTTCAGCCAATTGTGGCATACCGTCTCCTTCCTCCAACACCAAGGGGCCACCTGGGAGGCCCCGCGGCCACCCCAGAGCCTCGAGTAGCTGGCTTGTTAACTGACTGCCACATTCCCTGGAGATGGCCGCATCTGGTGACCCCCGGACCCTGAGTCTGACCCATAAAGACAGCTCCCTCGTAAATCTCCCTACCCACTGCTCTTGAAGGAAAAGCTGTGAGCCACCATGCCTGCCTGGCCTGAAATGGACCCGTTTAGTGGTACCAAGGACCAGCAGCAAGGAGACAGCAGAACGTAAGGCGCCAGTGGCTCATGCCTACAATCCCAGCTACTCAGAAGGCTGAGATCTGAGGATCATGGTTCAAAACCAACCCAGGCAGGAATGCCCAAGAGACTCTTATCTATAATTAACTACCAACAAGCTTGAAGTGGAGGTATGGCTTAAGTGGTAGAGTGCTAACCTTGAGCAAAAAAGCTCAAGTCCTGGCATTGGCATGCACGTGTACAGACAGACACAGCAATGTGGGTCGGTGGGAGGGGAAAGGGCATGAACTCTGACCCCTGTCCCCACCCTGCACTGTACCTCAGCTCCGTCTTAATTTCTTCATAATCAGACTGGGCGCGGAGCTTTCCTTCCAGTTTCTAGAAGAGGGAACAAAGTTGGTAAGGCTGGCCCAGGGCTGAAGGCAGTGACCCGCCAGCCGACCGGCTGGGGTTTCCCCCGGGGTCTCCCGGGACCGACCTCGATGGCCTCTGTCTTGGCCGCCAGCTGGCGCTCCAGGTCGGCGATCTGGTTGGCCGAGGCCTCCTCCAGCTCTCGCAGGGAGTGCCGCAGGTGCTGCGCGTCCCGCAGCAGCCGCAGGATCTCCCGGTCCTTGGAGGCCAGCGCAGCCTCCAGCCGAGGTCCCGAGCACAGGGCGAAGTTCACCTTGTCCTGGGGGCAGAGCAGTGCTGAGGGGTTGCCAGACAGGAGCGGGAAGCCAGGGCTGCTCGCCCCGCCCAACTCCCACCCTTCCTAGACCCATGGTGGGGCTCCAAGCCTAACAACCCAATGTGCCAGGTGCTTGGCGGCCATTCAGCCCCCGGGCTCGTGCCTGTGACCCAGAGACTCAGGACACTGAGATGTGAGGATGGAGGTTCAAAACCAGCCCAGGGCAGACTAATCCAAGAGATTCTTGAGTAGAGCTGAGGCTCAAATGGTAGAGCACCAGCCTTGAGCAGAAAAGCTAAGTGAGGGTATGAGACTGAATTCAAGCTCCTGTATCAACACACACACACACACACACACACACACACACACACACCCCTCAATACAAAAACAACACACACACAACATGGACTCAGAAAAATAGGACTGGGTATGTGTGTAGCAGAAAGTGGTAGAACATCTGCTGAGTTTAAATCCCAGCATTGGAAAAAACCCACCACAAAAGGAAGTGGATAAAGGTAAAAGGTTTGTTTTGTTTGTTTTTGTCAGTCTTGTTGCTTGAACTTAGGGCCTGGTCTCTGTCCCTGAGTTATTGCACTCAAGGCTAGTACTCTTCCACTTTGAGCCAAAGCACCACTTCCAGTTTTTGAGTAGTTAATTGGAGATAAGAGTCCTACACAAACTTTTCTACCCAAGCTGGCTTTGAACAGCGATCTTCAGATCTCAGCCTTCTGAGTAGCTAGGATGACAGGCACGAGCCGCCCGGGCCCTCGGTTTTCTATCTAGGTCCTGTCCCATCCTGGGCAAGTGAGCTCAGTCAGACTTGAGGCTCTGCAGCTGCAGCTCACACTTTGGTGGCACCCTCCTCCCCACTGTTTCTCCAGGTTTTAGGAAATGGCTCCTTTGACCCAGATGAAGACAGAGAGATTGCTGCTCGGGATTGTGAGTCAGGCTGGCCTCCGTCTCCACTACAAATAAAAACAAAGCCCACGGGAACCTCCCCACCCACTTCCAACCCCACCTTCTACACGGAGATAAATGCCAATTAAAACAGGAAGCGGATGCCATTAATACATTACATTAATTAGCATTGAGCGCCACCGCAGTGCTCAGAAAAGCTCAGCTCCCAAACCAGCCCAATCCCTGTGGCTGATTAGCCAGGCATTTGCTGGGTCCATGGGGTTAATTAAGAGCCATTGGCAGATTCCTCTCCATGATTCCTCGGCGGGACTGGTGCACGATCAGCCCACTCTCGTGTCCTTTCCCTCCATTGTGGACATCCACACACTGCCTCCTGGGACAAAGACACGACCCCGGGCCGACCAGCTCCCATCCCAGGACTCCCCCCTCCCCACCCCTTCTCTGAATTCTCACAATGACACACATGCACACAGAAATATAGAGACATTCTGGATGCCCGTGACTCATGCCACTCAGGAGGCCGAGATCTAAGAATCATGGTTTGAAGCCAGTTGGGCAGAAAAGCCCATGAGACTCTTATCCTCAGTTAACTACAAAAGCCAGAAGTAGAGCTATGGCTCAAGTGGTAGAGTGCTAGCCTTGAGCTTATGAAAGCTCAGGGACAGTGCCCAGAACTCAAGCCCCATGGCTGGCAAAAAAGAAAAGAAAGACACAGGCATGGCAGAGGCACACAAAAGGAAATCTTGCTCAAGTCGTGTGCTCCAAGAGCCACTTGAGCAAAACCCCACACAGGCACTAACGATAGTAGGAACACCCAAATTTTACTGGGCATATACTATGAACCCAGAACTGCATTTAGGTTCTTGACACTAGATCCTTGGGTAGATGAGGAAACTGAGGTATGGCATTGGCTCTGGGGGAGGAGAAATGACCAGGGGAGTGAAAACCATCCCATCCTAGGCAGCCACCCAACTTGACCAGACTGTGTCCAACAGAGACCCCTGGTGGCCACCACCATTACTGCACTGCACCGGCTGTCTAACTCAGTTCCCCAGTTGGCCCCCCTGCCAGCTGGCACGGCCTTCTTCTGGTCTGAGAAGGTGCCAGGCATTCTTGGAGGAGGTGGTGGTGGTGGTCAGGGATCCCCCAGGAGAGATACTAGGCTTTTTTTTGTTGGAAACTTGAGCTTGAAAAATGTGAGGAAGTGGCGCTGTGACTCAAGGGATAGAGTGCTGGCCTTGAGCTGAAGAGCACAGCGACAGCACCCAAGCCCAGAGTTCAAGCCCCACAACCAACCAAAAAAAAAAAAAAAGTCCCTCTTCATTTTGGCTGGGAAGGTGGCTCAGTGGAACAGGGCTTGCCTTGCATGCATGAGGCCCTGGGTTCGATTCCTCAGCACCACATAAGCAAAAAGAAAAAAAGCCAGAAGTGGCGCTGTGGCTCAAGTGGTAGAGCGCTAGCCTTGAGCTGAAGAGCCGAGGAACAGCGCCCAGGCCGAGTTCAGGCCCCACGACTGGACCCCCCCCCCCCCAAAAAAAAGAAAAGAAAAATGAGAAAGCATGGCTACATCGTATCTTCTGCTAGAAGGGCAGGAGAAGGTCATAGCATGCCAGCTGAGCATGCTCAGACTCCCACAATCCCCTGTGCACAATTCCACAATCACAAACCACCACGCACCTACTGGCGCCTTGAGACCCCCTCCTCTCTGCCTGGCCCCCAATCTCACCCCACTGGGCCCCTGCGGGGAGCAGCAGGCCAGGCGGATGGAGCTGTTGACGGAGGCCAGCTGTTCCCGGAGACTCTCCACCTCCCGCTGGGCGGCCTCGGCTCTCTGGGGAAGACAGGGGGTTGGGGGTAAGAGGTGCGTGGGGGCAACTCGGGACTCCACCTCCATCATCTCCCTGCCCACCACAGACAGGGCTCCAGACACGGGCCTCCAAGGACCTCGGCCCTGACCCCAGTGCTGACGGAGGCCTTGCTCAGAGCTAGAGGGCCAGGTGTGTGCACCTCCAGGTGTTTCTGTCACATTCCCAGCCCCACAGCCCTCCTGTGTACCCTTCCCTCCCTCCAGCCCCCTCCCTGGGGCAGAGGCGCCTCACCTGGTTGGCCTTCTCCAGGTTTGTCATAATCAGGCCGACTTCATCCGCCCTGAGACAGGAAGGGAGACCCTGAGGGTTCCCAGAGCACAGCCCCGCAGCTTGACCCCCTACCCCAGCCCAGCCTGACCCCCACCCCAGCCTGACCCCCACCCCACCCCAGCCTGACCCCCACCCCAGCCGGACACCTACCCCAGTCTGGCCTCTACCCTAGCCTGACCCCCACCCCAGCCATGGCCTGAACCTGCCTCTCGACCTGAAGGGCCAAGGAAGAAAAAGCCAGGCTGCAGGCCCAGCTCCCACTCCTCAACCTTCCACCCCTCCAGGACCCCCTCCTACCCCAAGGGTGCCACCAATCCCTGGAGAGCCCCAGCCAGCTCTACCCTCCCCCAGCCCCGCCCGTGGGCTGTGGGCAGGAGAGTGCTGTGGAGTGGAGTGGGGACCTGGGGCACAGATCAGGGGAGGCAGAGGAGGCACCTGCGGGGTCAGAGGCATCAGAGGGCATCAGAGGGAGAAGGCTGTGGCAGGGATGGGGTGGGGTGGAGGCTGTCTGGGGGGTCAGGGGTGGAGGCTATCTGGAGTCGGGGGTGGAGGCTGTCTGGGGGGTCAGGGGTGGAGGCTGTCTGGGGTCAAGGGTGGAGGCTCTCTAGGGAGGTTAGGAGTGGAGGCTATCTGGGGTCAGGGGTGGAGGCTGTCTGGGGGTTTGGGGTGGAGTCTGTCTGGGTTCAGGGGTGGAGTCTGTCTGGGATCAGGGTGGAGTCTGTCTGGAATCAGGGTGCAGGCTGTCTGGGATCAGGGTGGAGTCTGTCTGGGATCAGGGTGCAGGCTGTCTGGGATCAGGGTGGAGGCCGTCTGGGATCAGGGTGATGCAGGCCATCTGGGATCAGGGTGGTGCAGGCCGTCTGGGATCAGGGTGCAGGCCGTCTGGGATCAGGGTGGTGCAGGCCGTCTGGGATCAGGGTGGAGGCAGTCTGGGATCAGGGTGGAGGCAGTCTGGGATCAGGGTGGTGCAGGCCGTCTGGGATCAGGGTGGTGCAGGCCATCTGGGATCAGGGTGGTGCAGGCCGTCTGGGATCAGGGTGCAGGCTGTCTGGGATCAGGGTGCAGGCCGTCTGGCATCCGAGCCAGCTCACATACTTGGAGGCCGCCTCCTCATCGTACTTTCGGCGCAGCTCTATCAGCTCCGTCTGTGTAGCCTTCAGCGCTGGGGAGACACAGGCGGGTGAGGCCCAGGCAGGGCTGGGGAAGGGGCGAGGGGTCTCCCCACAGCTTCCCAGGTGCGCACCTGAATGTAACACCTTGATTTTCTCCTCGGCCTCCCCCAGTCTGGCTGCCAGGGTGAGCTGGACGTCCTGAAGGCCCCTGAGGAGAGGACGCTGGTGCAGGCCGCAGGGGCTTCCGTGGCTCCCAGCCCTCCCTCCCCTCCCCGCGACAGGCACCCCACTCTGCATGGCAACTGTGTGCCCCCCTGGGGATGCTGTGCGTTTTCTACAGCACCAATGGGTCTCAGTTTCCCCATCTGCAAAATGGGTTTCTGCCTCGGGGTGTCACAGGCAGGCCCAGCCCGGCCCGGTGTGCAGTGTGTGGTGAAGTTGGTGCTTGGGGGCCACGGAGGCTCCTGGGGAAGAGAGGGGGGCACTGGCAGGGTTGGAAAGGTTGATGCAAAGCTGCGGCACCGGACATGGCCTGGCTCTGTGGTGGAGGGGAGGAGCCCCTGAACTCCGACTTCACCCACCACCCACCGCCTGGAAGTGCCTGGCCCCCAGAGCCACTCCTACCGCCCCAGCACCCGGCGGCCTGCCTGTGCCCGCACGCCAGCTTCCTGTGCCAGCCCTGCAGTTATGTGAGCCAAGTCCTCACGTACCAACCTCCCCCAAATCAGTTCTGGGTCTCCAGACGGGCCCTGATCCAAGCTGGGGCACTGACCCCCATTTTTCAGATGGGGAAACCGAGGCTCAGAAGAGTGACAGCTCCCCAGGGTGGACAGCCAAGCCCCTGGGGTGAGGCTCGGGTCTGGGCGGCCAGGGCACAACCCCCTGTCCCCCCCTCCAACCCCCCTCCCCCCCCCGCAAGGCACCCCTCCCTCACTTCTGTTTCTCGGCCTCATTCCGGTGCAGCAAGGCGTCTGTCAGGTGGGCTTTCCCGGGGGCTCCGGGGACGCAGCTGCCCTCAGTCAGGATGGGTCCCGGGGGACACAGCCCGTCCCTCTGCTCTGCAGGGAGACAGAGACAGACACCCATCGCCCAAGGAGCAAGGTGACAGATGACAGCATGGGGCCTGGCCTGTGGCTCCTGGCAGCTTGGCCGAGGTCCCACAGTGTCTGCCTCCATCATCATCCTCACCACCACCACCACCATCAGCAGCAGCAGCAGCAGCACCATCACCCATCATCATCATCACCATCATCATCACCACCATCACCCATCATCATCATCATCATCATCATCATCTATTTATTTCTGCCAGTCCTGGGGCTTGAACTCTGGGCTTTGGTGCAGTCCCTGAGCTCTCTTCAGCTCAAAGCTAGTGCTCTACCACTTGAGCCACAGCGCCACATCTGGCCTTTTGTGGTTTATCAAGCATAAGAGTCTTACAGACTTTCCTGCCCAGCCTGGTTTCAAACTGCGACCCTCAGATCTCAGCCTCCTGAGTAGTTAGGATGACTGGCGGGAGCCACTGGCAGCGCCCTGCTTTGAGTCTACTTGTTAACGGTTCCCCAACTTCAGGGGCTAAATGCACAATCACAGATTCCCTACCAGAGCCCACAAGTTCCGGGTCTACAGAGCGGCAGAGCGTGGCAGAAAGGAATGTGGGCACTACCTGGAGGTTGGCACCCACCCAGGAAGTCATGGGCTCCAGGGCTCTCCACCTGCCCCTCTCCTCCCAGACATGGCTGGACTACATCTCCCAGCATCCTTTGCAGCCAGCCACTTTGGGTGTAGAAGGGCGGGCTGCCCCCTCCCGCCCCACCTCTGCAAACTCTACCTTGTTTCTCTGGGAGCAAATCTCAGCAGTGGCATTCCCTGTCACGTGGAGATGGGGCACCTCTGCCCTCTAGAATGTTCTCCACCCACTTCACCCGCCCTTCAGCAGACTGAGATCTGGGCTCACTGCTTGTCTCTGCCCCCAGGGTGAGGGGGAGGCCGTGTCCAGCTGCTGGGGCCGCCTCAGTACCTTTGGGCCCGCGGCGCTCCGGGTGCCTCTTCCACGGGGCGGGGGGGTCTCGCCGGGCCTGGCCGCTGGGGTCCCAGCTGGGGGGCTGCGGTCTGTTGTCCAGGCTGCGCCCCACCTCAAACCTGGACACAGGGTCTGCATGGAGAGAGAAGGGGGGAGAGTGGCTATTCTGTGGGGAGCTGGCGAGATGGACCGCCCCAGGGCCCCCCAGAGCAGCTGCGATGGCTCAGAGGTGCACGGCCCCCTCCCCCCGTGGTAGCTGCGATGGCTCAGGGGTAAGCATCCCCCCCCCATCACATTGTCTGTCACCATAATGGTCCGTCTTGATCCCACAGTGGCTCTGTGGCTCCCCATCATGGTGTGTCACTGCGCTGGGTCCCCGGCCCCCTCTGAGCCTGCATGCTGTGGGGACACTGAGGCAGGGCCCTGTGGAGGTCTAGGGGCTGAGGCCAGCCCTGGCCGTCCCTGGCGCCCTGCTCCGTTTCCTCAGAGATCTTGGCACACAAAGCTGGCAGCAGCCTCCTGTGCCTCTCGTCTTCTCGTAACAAGTAGTCCTCTACCTCCACTCTTCGTTGTTGGTCATGGGGCTTGAACTCTGGGCCTGGGCACTGGCCCTCAGCTCTTCAGCTCAAGGGGAGCGCTCTACCACTTGAGCCACAGTGCTACTTCTGGTTTTCTGGTGGTTCATTGGAGATAAAGAGTCTCACCTACTTTCCTGCCCAGGCTGGCTTTGAACCGTGATCCCCAGATCTCAGCCTCCTGAGTAGCTAGGATTACAGGCAAGAGCCACCAGCGCCCGGCTTCAACCTCCGCTCTTCATGTAAGCCACCTCCAACTTCTGGTCCCTCTCCACGGCTTCCTGGCTAGCCCTTTCTCTTCCTCATCCTGGGAAGGGATGGTGGGGGGGGGCTTCCCTGGGGGTGGGTGCTAACAATCCCGGAGGTGTGGGGGGGCGGGGGGATTCCCAAACAAGGCGGCCTGGAGCACTGAGGGTCCCTTGCCCCGAGGTCCTGAGGGCGCCTTTCCTGGGAGTATGCTGGGCAGCCACGCCATGGAAGCCAGTGCTTCCTCGCCTCAGGCCGGGGCCCTGGGGTCCCGGGGTCTGGTCCCGTCCCTCCAGTTCTCTCCTGGTCTAACCCAATACATTTTTGTGGACAGAAGACACCAGGGCAGGCAGGGGCTTCAGGTCAGGCTGGAACAAGGCGCCCCCTTGTCTTGTGCGGCCGCCTGTTTGTTTAGGTGGCAGGAGGCCGGACCACGGGCACGCGTGGCGGGTGAGCAGGTGTGAGGCGGCGGTGCGGCTCTCTGTCAGCCCCCCTCCGCAGCGGGGTCTGCCATTATGTCTCCCCCGGCTGATGTAATTATACATTGACATAATTAACCCAGCAAGCGCATTAGGCAGGCCAGCTAAAAATTCATCTATAATTATTTGTTGTGTGCATGCTAATGAGTCCATCTGCACTGCCTTTGTATAACACAAGCAAATTAATTTACAAGTCTGGATTTTTTAATAAGTTCAAGGAATCGCTTCCCATTGTGCCCGCAGGTTTGAGAAGGAAAGAGAGGGTGGATGGCCGCAGGGGTTGCGGGGAGCGAGGTGAACTCAAGGTGAGCACCAGGATTGTTCTGGAAGTGCAGTGAATGGGGCGGGGGGGGGGGGGGGGAACGCAAGGCTGAGTCCTGTTGGCCATGTGCCCTTTGCACACAGAACCGACTGTGCAGAGCCTCAGTTTCCCTGATGGTCAAGCAGGCCAGGTGTGTAGGGCGGACGTGAAGAATGTGGAGAGGGGAGGTGTGGGGCACTGCAGGGGGCCCTGGCTGCTGATACTACCCCAAGAAGGCAGCATGCCTGGCAACGCTCTGGGGTGTCAGGGATGCTGTGTGGCCCCCAGTGCTCGCGCTGCGCCCCAGGAGGGCGTGCCTTGAGCTCATGCCACCCTGGCACCCAAAGCCCAGCAGAGACGGTTGTTTGGGGAGGGCCTGGCTGGCTCAGTTGTCCTTCATCTCCCTGTGCAGGGGGAGCTCACCCCCATACCGCGAGGTACATACTGCTGATGGGGAAACTGAGGCATGCCACGATGACACTTCCCCGAGGTGAGGCGGTGAGATGGCTAGAACCAGGCAGATTCTCCCAATAGCTGTCAGAGGGGCACCGCGGGAGCCCTGGGGTCTGCAAACATCTGTCCTGTGTGTGTGGCCTGTGTGTAACACTCCTGGTGTGGGAAGAGGGCTGGGGACCCCCGGGGCTGCGGGAGGGACCTTCTGTTTCTTTCCAGGGGCCAAAGTGGAGAAACAGTTACAGTTCCCTCTTAGCTTCTAATGAGGCTGTCAATCACAAGGTCCTGCCTACTGGCAAGGAGGTCGCTTGACTCAGGCTGGCCAATCAGACACTCCCTTGGGAACCTGAGCCAGTCTGCCAGCCAGTCAGGGCTCAGGCAGCTGCCAGGGCTGTTCAGGCCAAGCAAGATGGACAAATGGGAGCGACGGGGATGAGGATGCAGAGGGTCTCCGACACACAGTATGAGTTTAGTAAATGTCTACTGAGCAAGGAAAGGCGGGCGCACCGGACCCGGGGCCCTTCTGAGTGCGGAAGGCGGGCGGTGGTGTGGGTGTGGTGGCCGGGCCGGCACAGATGCTCCATCCGGGAAGATGGCAGAGGGGCTGGACCATAGACATCTGGGTTCAGGTCTCATTTCTCACTCCATGCAGGGCCGCAGATAAGGTGTCCTACTGCTTAAGCCTCAGTTTTCCCTCTCTGTAGAATGGACACAGTAGGCACCCGTGAGACCACCTCGAGGACTCAATGACTTAGTGACAAGCCGACTTCACAGCGCGTGGCTCCCGATGGGCTCAGCAAAGGCCAGCGGGACACCTCAGGGAGCCCCGAGGGACCCGCTCTCACGCTGACCTGCGTTGGCCCTGCCCACCTTGGTCTCCTGGGTCTTGCCCACCTCAGCCCAAGGAAAGAACCAGAAGCTGCACATGCGCAGGTAAGCAGGGCCAGATGGAGCCTCTCAGCAACAGGGGAGCTGAGGGCCAAAGAAGTAAGTCAGGCACCTGCGGCTCACGCCTGTCATCCCAGCTACTAGGAGGCTGAGACCTGAGGATCACAGTTCAAAGCCAGCCCGGGCAGGAAAGTCCATAAGACTCTTATCTCCAGTAAGCCACCAGAAAACCAGAAGTGGCGCTGTGGCTCAAGTGGTCGCGAGCCAGCCTCACATGAGGAAGTTCAGGGGCAGCGCGCAGGCCCTGCGGCCCCGCCCCGGGACTGCCACGATGAAAGCAAGCAACAAAAGTCAGCAGCCACTAGACGCAGGAACCCCAACGCTGAGGTGTCTACATCTAAGGACCCCCTCGAGGAGCTGAACTGGAGTGGGCGGGGCCAAGAGGACAGGAGAGGGGGGACCCCACACCCGGGCAGGCTGGGCGCAGGACGCACAGTATATGGGTGTCCCCAGTGGCCGGTGCTGCGGTGCTCCTGAAGGGGGGGGCATTAAGTCCATCCCAACACAGGTGCCCTGGAAAGGTTTTAGGGGATGCCGCCCACAGCTGGTGTAGATGCATTTAGGCAGAAGTATACGTGCACCCCTCCACCATACCCCCGGCCTCCACCGTGCCCCCGGCCTCCACCATACCCCCGGCCTCCACCATACCCCCGCCTCCACCATACCCCTGGCCTCCACCATACCCCCGGCCTCCACGGTGCCCCAGCTTCCACGGTGCCCCAGCTTCCACGGTGCCCCAGCTTCCATGGTACCCCCGGCTTCCACGGTGCCCCCGGCCTTCACAGTGTCACCGGCCTTCACAGTGTCACCGGCCTCCACAGTGTCACCGGCCTTCACAGTGTCACCAGCCTTCACAGTGTCACCGGCCTCCACAGTGTCACCGGCCTTCACAGTGTCACCAGCCTTCACAGTGTCACCAGCCTTCACAGTGTCACCGGCCTTCATAGTGTCACCAGCCTTCACAGTGTCACCGGCCTTCACAGTACCCCCGGCTTCCACGGTGCCCCCGGCCTTCACAGTGTCACCAGCCTTCACAGTGTCACCAGCCTTCACAGTGTCACCGGCCTTCATAGTGCCTCTAGCCTCTTCAGTGTCTTCCCCCCCTGCATCTGCAGTGCCGCCCAGCCTCCACGGTGGCTCCCCCCATCCCCGGGGCTGAGGCTGGCTCCATCTGGGCCCTAGCGAGGCCCACTTCAGTTCTTGAAGCTTCATTTTCCCCCAGGGATGGGCTGCTGCCTTCCTCCCCTAGGGCTGGAGCTGGCTGGCTTCTCTGGGTGAGGGGCTCCTGGCTTCAGTGGGGGCCAAGGGGTTGGGATTCTGCTGTGTGACCCTGAGCAAGTGGCTAGACCTCTCTGAGCCTCATGCGTCCTCAGAAGCCCAATGTGTACACAGGACAATGGAACCTTCCACCATGGTATAGGGGGTCGGGGATGTTTGTCTATGGGGACTGGAAGGTCCCCAGAAATGCCCCAACAGGCTATCACTGAGCCCCACGTCTTCCTCAGGGGCATCTCCATGGGCCAGCCCTGGCAGTTGGGCGGTTGTCTGTCTCCAGAGCCCCAGGGCAGCAGGGATGGACTCTGATGCCAGCCCGGGGTGCTGGCGGGAGCGGCCTGGCAGAGGGCGGGGGAGAGGGGGCTGCGGCGGCGGAGGGGAGGGAGCCGGCCTGCCGGGGACCACAGCATCACCAGGCTTTGTCTGTCCTCTGATGACCGGGGACCCCCGCAGGCCTGGGGGAGGGGGCACTGTTCCTGCAGACCGCAGTGTCCAGAGAACGAGTCCACTTCCTGCGGCGGCATGCCCACCAGGGGGCACCAGAGCCAGTCTTTTGCCAGCTCCGAGCCTCCCTCCTCCCCAGAGCAGGTGCAGCACACACAAAAACACGAAGATCTCAAAGCCAGGACCCCCCCTCCCGCGGCTCACGCCTGACACCAGCTGCTCAGGAGGCTGAGATCTGAGGGTCATGGTTCAAAACCAGCCTGGGCAGGAACTTCCCTGAGACTCATCTCCAATAAACCACTGAACCAAAAGGCCACAAGTGGGGCTGTGGCCCACGCAGCAGAGTCAGCCTTGAGAAAAAGAACTCAGGGACGGCACCCAGGCCCCAGGTTCAAGCCCAGGAGCAGCACACATCCACACGGAACGCAAAGACCGCAGAAGTACTAACCCCTCGCCACCCCGCACACTCAAGGGGAGAAAAGGTGCTAAAGTCAGGGCCTAAAGCAAAGGGTTGGTGAGATCCTCATGTATATGTGTGTGCGTGTAAACTCAAGAGACACAGAAGCAAAATCAGGAAACAAAAGGTGGCCTAGTGGAGAGGAGAGGAAATAAAGATTCCCAATAGTGCACGGGTGATATCTCTAATATATAAAGAGTGGTGACAAATCAATAAGAAAGTAGCATCTGCCAGGAAGGTGGACGAAGGATATACAAACTGGACACACGGATTATAGGGAGGGATTTTGTGTCCAGTAAAGAAGGAAGTGCAGTATTTACTCAAATAAACCAATTCTGGCTGCCAGACGACTACCACATATTTTTCTTGCCAAGTTTTAACTCCTGGATCTCAGCCCCCAGGCCAGGCCCTGCCAGCACCGCAGAGCCCTAAGCTGGAAGATGCTCAGGAATGTTCAGCACACACACACAGAGCACAGGCAAGTTCCTGAGTCTCTGTCACGGCTGGGAAGGAGGAGGCTCAAGCCATTTCGTTGAGGGCAGAGATGACTCTGCGTGTGCTACCAGCCTCTGTTTTGACAAAAACGGGAAAAAAAAGCATGCAGGGAAAAGAGGAGAGGAGGAAAAAAACGCTCCAACAAATTGTTTTCCTCCGAGATGAGTTTCCTTCAACTTCTGCACCCCCGGAGCCCATGGGGCGTCCGTTTCTTTTACGTAATTGGGAAGACAAACCACAAAGCCCGCAATGGTCTAAGATTCCCTACCACACCACTCACCATGATCTCCACGGCCCCCAGCCTACGCTGGTCACCTTCACACCCCAGTCTGCGGGGTGCTGAGCTACCCAGGGCTTTTGGGGTACAGAGCATAGCACCTCTTGCTGGCCCACGGACAGATTCTATGATTACCTCTCCTTGAAAGACATGGACATGGGCACTCAGAGAGGGTAAGACCCCCTGGCCAAGGTCACACAGCACAGACACCACACTGAGAGCCAGGCAGGTGTTTCTGTGGCCTCAGCCCAAACCTAACCATGCTGCTGACCAGACTCGCTCCAAAAGAAGGGACAGAGCAAGCCACACACGTGTGAGGAATCATAAAACCCTGCATCTTATTTAAAAATAGCAAATGGGGGGAAAACCCACAAAAAAGCAAAGGCAGAAGAATGCATGGCACTCACCTCTCTTCGCTCTTCTGCTCAGCAACGATGCCAGCCTCTCTCCCACTCGCTTTCCGTGTTTGGCTTCTCTCTCTCCCTCTCTCTCTCTCTCCCTCTCCCTCTCTCTCTCTGCCAGTCCCGGGGTTTGAACTCAGGGCCTGTGCTGTCCCTGAGCTTTTTTGAGTCACAGCTCCACTTTTTTTTTTGGCTGGTTAATTGAGAGGAGAGTCTCAGACTGTTCCTGTCCAGGTGGTTTTGAACCTGGATCCTCAGATCTCAGCCTCCTGAGTAGCTAGGATGACAGGCGTGAGCCGCCAGCTCCTTTGTTTCTCCTTTTAACTATCGAGTGGTCAGGTCACAGGTGGGTCCGGCTGCCTCCCGCGGGGCTGTGCGCGCGGGCCCACCAGCCCGAGTCACAGAGGCGTAAATCAAATCTTCCTCTAGGACAATGACATTAATTATGCTTTTAACACGTTTTACTGCTTTTTTTTTCCCCCTTCACACTTCACGCCACATCTGTGTGAACAATATCTAAAAGATTTATGATTTTCTTTCGTAATTACAGACAAGCAGGCTTCAAACTTATCAAAATACTCGCTGAGCAATCAGCCCATGTCGCATTTTTCTGCCAAAGATTTGGGCTGGGAGCAGCCATTGAAAACAAAAATGTTGAATCAGGACTTGTGTGTGGTGGGGGTGGGGGAGAAATCCCACAAATAATTTGCCTGTCAAGAAAGACACAAATGGAGCCCGTGCATCTGCACCTCTGCTTCTCCCACCCCCGCCCGCGTGGGGTGCTGGGGGGGGAAGGGCCAGGAAGGGGGGGGCACCGCCAGCACAGGGAGCCCCAAACCCACATCTGACATTTGGGTTCTTGTGTCTGAGATAAAATTTAATGAGAACAAAAAATATGTCTTCCCGATTCCCCTAAGAAATCATTAAAAATATTTTGTTATTCTTAAATGTCTCCGACATGAATTAGAGCGCCTCAAGGCCCATCTGGGCGGGCTGTTTGGTGCAGTAAAGGCTCCCCTTCCTCAGCTCGGTGACAGCTGGGGACAGCGGCCCCCTCCCGCGCCCCCCCCCGCCCCCCGCTTCCGGGAGAGCACTGGGAGTCACACAGAGTGAGCACCAGGCCCAGTGTGACCCAGCGTCTGCAAGAGGGTGACGGGAAAGGAAGGCCTCCAGGAGCCCCCCCCCACGGGGCCGTCACAGCTTTCAGTCCCTGCGTCTCCACTGCCACAGTGTGTGTGTGTGTGTGTGTGTGTGTGTATGTGCGCACGCGCTGGTCCTAGGGTTTGAACTCAGGGCCTGGACGCTGTCCCTGAGCCTCTTTGTGCTCAAGGCTAGCGCTCTAGCACTTGAGCCACAACGTCACTTCCGGTTTTTTTCTATAGTTTATTGGAGATACAAGTCTCAGGGACTTTTCTGACCAGGCTGGCTTTGAACTACGATCCTCAGATCTCAGCCTCCTGAGTGGCTGGGATTATAGGCGTGAGCCACCAGTGCCTGGCTGTACCCGAGACCCCAATGGAGCCCCATGCCTGCAGCAGGCCCAACGCCACACACGCCCTCCCCCGCCACACACGCCCTCCCCCGCCACACACGCCCTCCTCAGCCAAGGCAGCGCTTACGTCACGCAAAAGCAGCACTTAAAAATCCACAACTCAACCGAGCGCTAGGCCCCAGCCACTCAGGACGCTGAGATCTGAGGCTCACAGTTCAAGGCCAGCCCAGGCAGGAAAGTCCATGAGACTCTCATCTCCACTTAACCAGAAGTGAAGCTGTGGTTCAAGTGGTAGAGTGCTAGCCTTGAGCACAAAAGCTCAGAGACAGCGCCTAGGCTCAGAGTTCAAGCCCCTGGACTGGCGCACACTGGCGCATGAGCATGTGTGTGTACACACTCAACATTTCAGTGCCATTCAATACCCCTGAGGCTCTACAATCTCAATGGTCTAGTCCCAGAACATTCTTATTGCCAAAAAATAAAACTCCACATCCACTAAGCAGTCACTTCCCGCCCTTCCCCACCCCAGGCAACTCCGCAGGTCCCCATGGCTGTCACAGGTCCACTGTTCTAGACATTTCCTTTACATGGAATCAAGAGGAATGGGGCATCGGCGACTGCTCTCACAAAGCACTGTGTTTTCTCTCCTGTAGCTACACATGTGGGCGCTTCATTCCTTTTCACGTCTGAGTAATATTCCATTGATGGCGGTGCTACGTATCTGAAAGCCACTCCGCCGCTGATGAACATTTGCCCTGGCTAGTGTGAGCAGTCTTAGCAGACTGTGGCTGCCTGCCTGCCTGCCTGCCTGCCTGGCTGCCTGTAGGTCTGCCTGCCTGCCTGCCTGTCTGTAGGTCTGCCTGCCTGCCTGCCTGTCTGTAGGTCTGCCTGCCTGCCTGTCTGTCTGTGTCTGTCTGTCAGGGCAGCTATGTGCTTCATGCCTTCTCTCAGCATCAAGGTGGGGTTGGCTCTGCCGCTCTGCAGGCAGGTGGGTGCGGCCTCTCCATCGCCTCCTGCTGGCAGAGCACTGGGGCCGATGCCTGCGCCCACGAGAGGGCATTGCAGGAAAGACCCCGTGGGATAACTGGCCAGGTTCTCCTCTGCGGGAGGCAGAGGGCGCCACGGACATCACGCTGGACAGACAAACCCCCTGGCCCGGGGACCTGGCCGCACCCCCGAGCCCAGGCGGCCCAGGCTCTGGCCACGAAGCACTGCACCAACTCAGAGTCCCGTGTTTCTTACCTGGCGCTTCAATTAACTGCTTGTAAACACTCAGAAAAGCCGCCTCCGCCTCCTGACTCCTCTTACTGAGAGCCACCACCTTTGGAAACAAGAGAAAGTGTCATGTGTGTCGCCGCAGGGGCACAAGTCACCCATGGGGGGCGGGGGGGTGTAGCACCAGGCTGCAGTGTGGGGGAGCCCTGTGCCCAGGCTGGGTGACCTCAGGAAAGTCACCCACCCTCTCTGATCTTCAGCATCCTTGGCTACAAAAATGGCATGTGTGTAGACAGTGGACCCACCTCCCAGACCTGGTGTTGGGATTAAAGGGAGTCCAGACAGTGCTAAGCCCAGGAATGGGCAAACAGTGGGCTGTCAATAAGTGGATGGACTGTGAGTGTGAGACACAGTGGATTTCAGAACAGGAAAAAAGGTTCTGCAAGCACCCACTCTGCGTTTAAAACTATGGATTACACCTCTGAGTGATAAGATACAATCTCCACTTTTTCCTGTTTTCTAGACTTCATTTTAATAAGTATTTCATATGAGCAGAGGCACAGAGGTAATCTGTACTTTTGAAGAATATGGCTACCAAAATTCGGGAAAATCTCATCTCCAATGAACCACCAAAGAGCAGGAAGAGGAGCTGTGGCTCAAGAGGTAGAGTGCCAGCCTTGGGCGAAAAGTCTCAGGCACAGCACCCAGGCCCTGAGTTCAAGCCCAGGACTGGCATGCATGCGCACATGCACACACAAATAAATTAATAATGTACTCAGCAAAGTGTTTTCGAAGGCTGGCGTGAGGAACCCCTTCTTCTGTGATAAAATTCAGGCCCTAGATACACCCGCATCAGACACCACGTGGGGGGAGAAGCCCCCCAAAACACCACATGCCCCACAGAGGCTGCAGGTCTGCTGTTACGCCCGATCACAAACTGCCGATTGTAGAATTATCAGACGAAAGTATAACTTCTCACCTCTGGCCTGGGCAACTCAGATCGAGCCTCAGTAGTTGAAGAAGAAAGCTTGCTTCCTTTATTTATCCTTCTTCCCTCCCTCCCTCCCTCTCTCCCCTCCCCATCTCCTGAGGTGTGGGGGGGAATCTCCCAGCCTTCTTATAAGATCGCATTTAAATTGCTTGTCACTGAAAACAAAGGCCACCGCTCATTTGTAATTCCGCAGCCACCTGAACGCGCCGCCTGTGTTCCTCTAAGTAGCCACGCACTGAAGCACAAAGATCATTTTTTTCTATTGTTAAAATTGTATAAGCCAGGGCTTTTTTTTCTTTTGCAGTGAATACACAATTTCCTGCACTTCCGAGGGCTCCGGCATACAAGGCACGGGAGGCTTTCTTTCATGCCTTACAAACAAATTTTGCTTTGGGATACTAAGGGGAAAAAGAGAGGAAGAAAGCAGCCACGGATGGACAGGATGAAGGGCGGAGGCCGGGAGGCCAGGCCAGGCCAGGCGCCGCTTCCTGCCACGCGGGGGGTGAGCTGGAGGAGGAGGCTGGACAGTAGAGTCACGATTATGGCACCGGGAAGCCACCGCTGCTTTGGGGTGCTGGGGGGGTACCCCGAGTGTGGCTCTGTGCCGACGTGCATGAAGCGCTGGGCAGGGGAGCCCACGCTGTCCTTGAGGCTGTGGCCAGAGGTGGCCCGGGCCGCACGTGTCACCTTCTAGCCACGAGCCTCCAAAAACCACCCCCCACTGCATAAAATTACAATCATAATACCTTCCAATTTTAATCTACAGCTTTTTATAGCGTACAAAGACTTTTCATGAGAACGAATCCATCTGACCCTCCAAATGCACCCCAAAAGGGCGGGCTTCTGGTGACAGCGCCTCTATGTCCCACGGCACCAGCGGAGGCCGGCCGAGGCCTGCGGAGGCCGGGTGGAAAAGGCAGGTGGGAGAGGTCTTTGGGCTAACCCTCCAGCCCCCGTGGCAGGAAACGGAAGGCTGGGGTTCACGTGACCTTATCTCCCAAAGCGAGTGAACGGCTTCCCAGCGGTGAGTCAGGAGTGCCCATGTCCTCACCTCTTCTGGGGCTGTGTTTTGGGACACTATCAATCAAATCCCACCAAGCTGCTAGGCGCTGGTGGCTCACGCCTGTAATCCCAGCAACTCAGGTGGCTGAGATCTGATGATCCAAGTTCAAAGCCAGCCCAGGCAAACAAAATCTGAAAGACCTATTTTTTTATTTTTTGGAGCCAGTTCTGGGGCTTGAACTCAGGGCCTGGGCACTGTCCCTGAGCTTTTTTTTTGCTCAAGGCTAGCACTACCACTTGAGCCACAGCTCTGGTGTTTTTTTTTTTTGTTTGTTTGTTTTGTTTTTGATGGCTAATTGGAGATGAGAGTCTCATGGATTTTTCTGTCCAGACTAGCTTCAAACCGAGATCCTCAGATCTCAGCCTCCTGAGTAGCTAGGATGACAGGCATGAGCCACTGGTGCTCAGCTTATCTGAGCAACTCTTATCTTCAACTAACTGACAAAAAGCCATAAGTGGACGTGTGGCTCAAGTGGAGAGTGCCACCCTTGAGTGAAAAAGCCAAACAATAGCAGAAGCCCTGAGTTCAAGTCCCAGCACTGGCACCAGTAAAACCAGCCCTACAGCTGTGCCACTGAGGAAGATGAGTGTGGGTTTCAGCCAAGAGCAACGTATCATCTTGCTGAGATTAGTCCCCCTTCCATGAGGCCGGTGTGGGCCCGTGGGCTGTCCCCCCCCCCCCCGTGTCTGGGGGCTGATGTGTCCCAGGCTCCCCCTTTCTTGGACCTTTTATATCTTAAAAATATTTCAGCTGTCAAGATCCATCAAGTCATCTACTTCAGACTGGGGCGTTTTGCTTATGTAAATGATAACTCCAGAAAGTTCTGTGGGCATGAAAATATGTGCATATATATCAAGCCAGTATTTAAAAACGAGGAGAGTTCCAAATTGCTCGTTTCTCAGGGGAAATCAGAGGATCTGGCCATCCGGGCCCACGATTCCATCCACGGCCACCTGGAGCTGGCAGGCAGCCATCTGTGGGGACGAGCTGGGTCTGTGTGGACCCAGGACCCCCGCGTCCTCTGGTCCCACCTTGCCTGTACACTCTGCCCCTTAGAGAGAGACTTTTGCGGTCAGGTGGTGAGCAGGTACCCCGGGACTGGGGTGAATGCTGGTCCCGCTGCCTGGACTTCAGGCCCCCAGAGCCTGGACAACTGCTTTTCTAAACAGCCAAGCCCCCCACGAGGCCCCATCCCCCCCCCCAGACCCATGGGTGTGGAACACAGAGCTGATCGAGCTCCTCCAGGCCCCTACACCTCTGGCTGGGAGACCCTGTAGACTGAGGCGCACGCCTGTCATCCCAGCCACTCAGGAGGCTGAGAGCTGAGGATTGAGGTTCAAAGCCAGCCCAGGCAGGAACGTCTGTGAGACTGATCTCCAAAGAGGCAGCACTGTCCTGGGCTGCCCGTGGGATCTCAGCGAGCGCCACCATTGGCTCCCAGTCTCTGTTAAGATGGACCCCGTGCCCTCGGGCCGGCCCTGTCCCCTCTGCAGACCCCCAGGGGACTCGGGGGTGGGGCTGGGGTCTCCTTCCCTCCCCCTCTGAGGCCTGGGAACACCAGACTTTGTCCACGGCAGCTGCCAGGAGCAACAGCAAGACCCACAGAAAGGTGGCTTCTTCCGGTCCCCCAGCACCCCCCCTCCCCCGCCCCCGAGATTCCAAGGGCAGGGAGGGGCCCCGGGATGATTTCTGCCCAACAGGAGACAAATGGACACTGGGCTGGGCCGCTGTCTCCCGGCCCGCTCCCTCCTGCCCATTGCGTAGACTCATTTCTTTGCCTTCCCTGCTAAGATGCACACCGGCACCGGCTCAAGGTGAGAGGACGCAGCGGCTGCGGCTTCCCAGCTTGATAGATGGCGTTTCTGGGCTGGGTCCGTTTCACGCTTGGTGACTCCACAGCAAAGCAATTATCTGTGTGCAATGCATAATGGCCTAATTAATAACTAATGGCAGCTCGGCCTCTGAGCCGTGATTATTCCTCAGCACGCCAACTCCCCCTCCCTTTGGAAACATTCGGAGAGAAAAATATTATTATAATTGACTGGTTACACGGTCACACGTCCCCACGCTGCGCTCGCGGAGGCCTCTGTCCACGCGGCCTCCGCGTGACCTGGCGGAGCGGCGGAACGTCTGTGCACGGAGCTGCTTCTCCAGGCGTCACCGGAGTGCGTGTGCACGTGAGACCAAGGGCTGGCCCACGCCTCACTGCCAAATCCCCGAGGGCTGGGACACAGCAGGGGCCTAATAAAGAATACAGACCAGGCAGGGGTCTGGAGCCCGAGTGCCAGGGTTCGAATCTTGTCTCTGCCACTTAGAACCAGCTGTGTGACTTTTGGGTACTTTGCCACCGCCTAGGTCCACATGGCCACCACTCAGGTCCACCACCCGGGGTCCATGCAGCCACTGCCAAGGTCCACAGGCAACCGCCCAGGGGCCACAGGGCCATCACCCAGGTTCACACGACTGCCACCCAGGCCCATGTCCACCGCCCAAGTCCACGCAGTTATCACCACGAAGGCCTGGGGATTTCATGTAGTCTCCAGCAGGCAACTTGCTCTATAATGGAATTGAGCACGAGGGCTCAAGCCCATTTCACAGACGGGGCAGCTGAGGCTCCCAGAGGAGCCTGGCGGTGGGCAGGGCTGCCACACGCACCTGGGCCTGTGTGACCCTGGCCACGACATTCCCCACCCTCAGGCCAGGTGTACAGGGATCCATGTGTACCCTGTGCCCAGTACCATGCACACCGATGCCCAACAAACACCCACGGCCCGGTGGAAGGGCCGGCCGAGGGCTCCGCCCGGGTCTGTATCTGCTGTTCCAGTAGCTTCCACCTTCCCCACCCACCCAGGACGCAGACGGTGCGCAGAGATCCAGACAGACAGGGCCTGGAGATGGATTGTGCCCTCACCCCGCAGCGCCCCCCAGCGCCCGGGCCTGCCATAATGCAGTCCACTAAGAGACTCATAAACGTCCGGAGCGGAGTGGAGACTCCAGCCTCCGCGGGCCGGCGCGGCTGCCTCGACATGGCTCCGGCAATCACTCTTCCAGCCCAGCCTGCTTGGCCCATTTCTCTACAGGCGGAAAGCTTACAACACTCACACGAGGCCAGAAAGCAATTCATGTCAAAAAGATCAATAATATAAAAATAAAGCATGAGAATTCTAGTTAAAGGCAATGTCATATAAATATGTGGTTCACGTCCATGATTCCAAGATTAAAAAAATCAATCAATAGCCTTCTTTAGATGATGTTATTTCTAATGAGAAATACCCAGAACAGCTGCAAATAACTGCTTAACTGGGGGTAGGAGCATTCATAATTTACTTTATAAGGCACGGGGGGGGGGGGGGGGAGGTGGCTACCGGTGCTTAATTTGGTTGTAATGCGGCATGACAGCTTTACTGGCACTTTGGTGGGAATGGCAGGCAGCTGCTCAGAGCTGGCAAGGCCGAAATCTGCCATAGGCACCTAGGTTATGTGCCCTCGGTGGGGAGGGGGAGGGGGAGAGGAGAAAGACAGAGGCTCACCTTCGAGTCCACCAGCACCCAACTTTTAATTTAGATGTTTTCATGTCTCTCTTCCTCTGAGTAAAAATAAGTTTAAAATAATGACTGTAATAAACGAAGGTAATTAATTGTAGTTTTTTTCCCTTCCCCTTTACTGTCTAGTCAGCTTAATTTTACCTTTTCAACTAATAATGAGAAAATAATTTTTGTGCTCGGAGGGTTAATGATATGTAACTCTGAGAACGGCTAATTGCATGTTGCGATCCATCCATCAACAACTCCATCTGTGCGGCTTGATTATGTTTGCTAAATTATTGCTTTGAATTATCTTTCATGGAGCAACTTTTGTAATTAGCGGGGCTTTTGCTTTGCTCTTTTCTCCATGAGCAAAGACCCTCAAACCGCGGTCACCCAGAGGCGCTGTCCACGGAAGCCACTCCCTGGGCCGGGCCCCATCTACCAAGTGGGGAGCTCAGCAAACGGTGATTTCAGCCACTGAGGCAGGGACAGAAGCGGCCTGGCCACGGCCAGCAGATCGTGTCCCCCAAGACCCAGAAAAGAAAAGAAAACAAAAGAGAAAAGGACTCACACCTGTAAGCCTAGCTACTCAGGAGGCTGAGATCTGAGGCTCATGATTCAAAGCCAGCTCCTGGGAGGAAAGTCTGTGAGACTCTGACTCTCTCTCTCTCTCTTCCTCTGTCAGTTGTGGGGCTTGAACTCGGGGCCTGGGTGCTGTCCCTGAGCTCTTCCAAATCAAGGCAAGTACTCTACCACTTTGAGCTGCCACGCCACTTCTGGTTTTCTGGGGGTTAACTGGAAAAGAGTCTCATGGACTTTCCTGCCCGGGCTGGCTTTGAACCTTGATCCTCAGATCTCAGCCTCCTGAGTAGCTAGGATTATAGTCATGAGCCATGGGCACCTGGCATCTGTGAGACTCTTACTGCTAATGAATTACCAAAAAGCTGGAAGTAGCACTATGGCCCAAGTGGTAGAGTGCCACAGTTCTCAGCAAAAAGAGTTCAGGGACAGCGCCCAAGCCCTAAGTTCAAGCCCCGGGACCAACACAAAATAAGTAAGTAAATAAATGCATACACTGGAAATCCTATTTGGGCTCTATGGTGAGGTGCTGTGGCTGAGCGCCTGCCGGGGGCCCGCAGCTGGCCGGGCTGCGGCGGTCCGCCCGGGGGGAAGCAGGGCTTTGGGACAGCCTTCCAGAAAGTGTAGTCTTTTTGATAGGTTCTGGAGAGGATGGAAGGCCTCAGAAGAAAATTAGCGGGGTTCCCTGAAGACCCCCCAGCTATTAACAGGGTGTGTGTCATAGACCGCACAGGTTTTAGGGGAAGCCTCTGGCTTTGTGGTTCCCATCAGTGCTAGCAGGGTGTGCTTACTGAGCACCATTTAACAAGGTGCACCTGTTGAGTACCAACTGGATACCAAGCACTTAGCACCTGCCACGGACCTATAAAGTACGTAAAGTCCTCACTTTGTGGCCCAGAAGGGGAGCTGAGGTTCAGAGAGGTTGCGGAAAGCCCGTTAGGCCACACAACTAGCTTGAGGATCAGGGCTGAGACTCGAATCTTCCCCAGGCCAGAGTCTGCGCTGTGTGCGCGTTTGGCTACTCAACTCTTCTACTGAAAGCTTCAACGGCCACAGAAGACACCTCTTTTCTTTTCTTTTCCCTCCCCCCTCCCTCTCTCCCTCTCTCTCTTCCTGATAAAAAGCCCTGAGTTGGGGCCAGGAGTAAGGCTCACACCTGTAATCCCCACTACTTGGGAGGTGGAAATAGGATTGTGATATGAGGCCAGTCCAGACAAAGCTAGGGAGACCCCATCCCAAAGCAAAAAAAGGGCTGGGAGCATGGCTCAAGAGGTACGGCACCTGCCTAGTAAATGTGAGACTCTAAGTTCCAGCCTCAGTACTCAGAAAACAACAAATGAAAAACAACCCTGAGTCCGGAAACGGAGGGCACCAGGCCAGCCACAGCAGAAGCCGCATGAACCAGGCGGGGGGCCCTGAAGACAGGAAGAGTGTGCCGAGACTGCTGGAGGGCACGCCGGCACTCGAACACCCTCTTACCATGGCTTCCCTCTTCCTCTGTCTCCACTCTGTGAAGAGGAATAACAACCACCCACTACGCAGAGGAGGAACCGGAGGCACAGAGACTGCAAGCGACCTGCCCAAGCTCACACAGCAGGGGCAGGGCACACAGCCTTCAAAGCTGTCGAGTGAGTGCTGGCATGGATCAGGTCTGCCCATCGACTTGGAAACTGAGGCCCATCCTTCCTCGACCTAGCACAAGCCAGAACTTCTTTTACAAATGGAAAGCCAGGAAAACCCACTGCTGATATTCTCTGCTCCTGAGTCCTTCACACCCAAAGGAACCAAGTTGGCAGCAATGTCAATAAACAAACACACTAGTTCCGTGGTAAGAAAAAAAAAGGCTGAACAACAATGGACACCAGTGCCCTGCCTGTAATCGCAGCTTCTCAAGGAGGTTGAAATCTGAGAATCACAGCTCAAAGCCAGCCTGGGCAGGAAAGTCCGTGAGATTCTTATTTCCACTTTACTAGCAAAAAGACAGAGCCAAGGTCATGTGAGGCCTGGGGGAGTGGTGGGATTTGAACCCCTCCCACCAAGATCTGAGAGGGGTCAGGACTCTGATCCGGTCTGAGCCAGATCTGGGGGTGGCCCCGGAGAAGCGCCCTGAGATGGAGCCCGGCAGCTCCAGACCCAGTGGAGCTCCAGATCCCGGCCTCCCTCCAGCTGGGCCAGGTGAGTGGAAGGGACAATGCGGGGGATGAGGAGCCCCGCCCCTCAGGTCATCTTGCAAAAGTGGGAGGATGTGGGGCTGACCCCAGAATCACAGGGGCTCGGGTCTTACCTCGGCTTGGAAGCTTTTTAACACAGGAGCCACCATCTCTCTGATTTCCTGAAAAAAGAAATCAGCAAAGAGTTCACACGGGCCAGGAGGGCAGCTCTGGTCCCGGAGGGCCGTCCCCTACACTCTGTGGGGATTCATCAGGGACACACGCGTGAGCACGCACACGCGCACACATGCATTCACACATGCATATGCACACAGCCCAACCTGCAGGACCTTTTCAGAACCTTTACTGCACTGCACTCTGGGAATTTCTGGCATGAGAGGACCCAGGTTTCCCAGCTGGCCTGGCTGATGCGAAAGCTGTGATCCCTGCTATTTGGGAGGTGGAGATAGGAGGATCGTGGTCTGAGGCCAGCCCAGACAAACCTAGTGGGAAGGACTCAGGGTGTGCTCGGGAAACAGTGCTGGGCAGAGTCCCTGTCCCACGGAGGCTGCCTCCCCTGTCCCTCACAGCAGGGCCCCTCCATCTGCCCCCTTCCTCTGCAGTGGGCTCTCGTTTCTGTGCATGCATCTGGCCCTCGGCCCAGCAGTGCTCCCCACGGAGGACCAAACCCCTGCGAAGCTGTGGTCTTCAGAACCCTGCGGGGCCCCATGACACTAGTTTTCTTTGAGAACCACTCCAGACCTGGCCAGGGGCATAGCCCACAGGAGGAGGAGCTGGGGCAGAGGGAGAGGAGGAGGAGAGGAGGGGGAGAGGAAAGGAAGGGGGGAGGAGAGGAGGATGCCTGAGGAAGGGGGGGGAGAAACCCCAGGATTACGAAAACATGCTGCCCTGGGGTCATGAGGAGGGAATGGGGGATGGGGTATGTGTGATCATGTCGCCACCAGATGCCCATGCAGGAGGCGGCCAGACTGGGCATAAGAGGAGCTGGAGCTGATAACTCCAAAAGGGATGGGTGGGCGGCGTGGGGCCGCGAGAGGCGCCCCACAGACCCCAGGGACGCAGGTGTCACCATCTGGTGGGTGAAATCCAACGCCACGTGCAGGCCTGGAAGACTCAGAGCAAAGCAGCACCCGTGGCGGGCGTGGCCGGAGGGAGGCAGAGGCTCCGAGGCTGCGGCTCACGGTCATGCAGCTGAACCCGAACCCAGGCCGCCTGGCTCCCCGCAAATCTCTTCTCAACTGCAAGTGAGCACAGGAGGCTCCGGGGGCCACGGGGCGGGAGAGCCTGACAGCCATCTCAGGGAGCCCCCCCAGGAGGGGGCGCAGGCCCGCGCGGCAGGTGAGGGGCACCAAGCAGATGATGCTCTTAAATAAAGCACTGGCACCATTCTCCCATCAGGAGACGCGAGTTCCAAAAATGAGCATTTTCAGAGCCGTGACTATAATAGGAGTGGAAACTTATTCCTCCTAATTGCATAATTATGTAGTATTAAAATTATATAAGTCAAACTTGGAGCCTTAAAACCTGGCCTAGATTCTCTCATTACCTGGAGCCCCCCCACCCCCCGGGGGGGGGAGGGGAGTTGGGGGGGAAGGAGGGAGGGGGAGGGGCTCAAGTTCCCTGTGTTGGGGAAAAGAAGATGAGACTGAGGGTCTGAGCAGGCGAGAAAGGGGGGGGCAGGGGAGGGAGAGAGAGGAGGGTGTGTGGATCAGTGCCTAATCCAGAGATGCTCCCAGAGATGGGAGAGCCAGCGGCAGTCTCGATCTTGGGAGAAGGGACATTCTAACTTGGAAGCTGTGATCAGTTTAAAAGGGAAGGCGTGGTGGGGGTGGCTGCGTCCTCTCTGAGGACGGGGCGGGGCTCTGATCGGAGCGTCAGCCCTGTCTTCCAGGCATGCCCTCTAGACTCATTCTTCCCCAGTCCCAGCCCACCTTGCCCGCAGCCCGTGCCCGCGGCGCCTGCCCGGGGTCGGTTTGCCTCTTGTCTGTGCCGAGTCCCTGCAGGGTTGTTATGCACAGTCCAAGCCTCATTTTCCTCCCGTGTTTATAGCCATTTTTTGTTTTGATTTGGGAGGGGATGGGGGCGGGCTGGAGGAAGGAAGAACACGCTCCTCCCTTCACCTCTGCGAAGCACAAGCGTGTGGGTGCTTGTCTGTCCCTCTGGGGGCCAGGCCATTATGGGGCCACTCCATGGCACCCCAGAAAGAGGGCTGGGGCCAGCTGGGAGGGAGGGAGGCACCGAGGGGCGGGACAGGTGGATTTCTAGGCAGTGGGGGGGTGGGGGAGTCTCTAGCTGCTATTCTCCAGACCCTGACAGAAAAGCAAAATAAAACCTAATCAACCAGGCTGTGGGGGCCAAGCATTCATTCCTGGTCCCCCGCCCCCCCACAATGGCTTTCACAGAGCAAGGATCTGTCTGATGTTAGCCCGTGCCGAGTTCCCAGAACGGAAAAAAACGCGGCCTGGGGCTGTCATTTTTCTTTGTGGCTAATTAGCTTCTTTTCTTCTTAAGTCACTTGTGTCTATAGTTTTCAAAATCCAGTTGGAGCGAGGGGAAATTTGCATGCCCACAGAGTTAATTCCATAAGCAGCAAACACGCCGTACCTTAGGTACATTTTTCTTAAATTCCCATCGGAGTTGGATTAAATGTTTCTGAGAAGGCTTGCTCTCCCCCCGCCGCGCGGCTCGACGCCACGGAATTAAGTTCCTTCTGCAACAAGGGGAAAAAAAGGGAAAGAAAAGAAAAGAGAGAAAAAAGAAAACTATTTTCCCCTTTTCCTTTTTTATTTTAAATCCTCATTAAAAAAAGAAGAAGCAGCATTCGGAACAAGTTTCTATAACTCACAAAGCTGAGAAAAGGCCAACTACAGACGCTCCTAGCACAATAGCACAAAGATACCATTTGCAAAACCGGAGAGGTAACTAGGAAAGGAAACACAACCCAGGATGGCTTTGTTTTTTCTTCCTCGCATTGGAAGTTGGGTCAGATTAATAATCTCCCGGAAAGTTGGGTAGAGTTGGTTCTTTCCCCCCCCATCTCCCCCCGCCCTTGTCCCCACCCCACCTCTTCCATTTCCAGAGTGATGACATAAGCTTGTCAGGAACTAAAGAAAACATCTCCAAACCGTGTCAAAATAGTAAAGCACGGCATATTGTGCGGGCAGATTATGGCGTAAGGCGCGGCTGTCGACAGCTTTCATATATCAGACGTGGGAACCGCGCCAGCCGGAACTGGCTCACTTAAAGGTTCATAAATACGCCTCTTAAGATATAGATGGCTTTTTAATTTCCGTAGATTTTGGAAAAATGAAGGCACCAGTAAGAAGCCGGCTGACCTTCTGTGTACCCGGCAGTAAATCATGGAAGGTTCTACATGGAATAGAAGAAATGCCTGACGGAAGACTCCTGGATTCAGAGCAACCAGCTTCGGATTTGCACAGCCAAAGTGTCAGACCAGGGCCTAACCAGACAGGACCAATGAGGAGACAAAGGAGTAAACTGGGGCTTGAACTCAGGGCCTGAGCACCATCCCTGAGCTTTTTCACTTAAGGCTGGCACTCTACCACCCCAGCCACAGCTCCACTTCTGGCTTTTTGGTAGTTCATTGGAGATAAGAGTCTCATGGACTTTCCTGCCTAGGCTGGCTTGGAACCTTGGGCCTCTGTTCTTAGCCTCCTGAGTGGCTGGGATTACAGGCGTGAGCCAGCAGGCTTGGCCATATGCACAAATTTGATCACCCCTCTCAAAGCTTTCTTCACTTTAACGGAGGCAGTTTTGCCAGATGAGCGTCATTCGCCAGGAGTTGTGATGGGCTTTATTTGCATAATTCAAGCAGTGCTCTGTTTATGTGGTCGGCTGCTTCTGCTAACCATCCTGAGATGGGCTTTTTATTTTTTTCCTGGATCATAACTTGAGCCTTTCTGTATATATCACCCGATTATATTTGTAGCAATCAAGCCGCATAATTTCCTAAATCCGGCGGTGCAATAAATTCCTGCAATCAGATTTATTAAAAACATACACGCAGACGCGTGCGCCTATTTCCAGGGTGAACTCTTTAATCTAACATAGGCAGGACGAGGCCCGGCTGGGCTGAAAGACCTCATTTGTCACTGCTCACTCGCATTCATCTCGCACACACAATGAAGCACTTTTACCATTAGATAATGAAATAAAAGTACTATTAACCCGCTGCAAATCCTTTCTCCTTCTAAGAGACAGAATGCGTGGCAATTGTCTTATATCATGTCTGGGAATCTGCAAATCTGCTCACTGCAAATCGCCGCCACACTGAAAATCTGGAGGTCCCGAAGCCCCAGACAGCCATCTCCCGTCTCCTGAGCCCTTTGGAGAAATCCAGGAAGAAATTTCGATTTCTAAAGCAATGTTTAACCTCTTTAGAGAAGCCTGAGACTAGACGAGGGGCGTGCGTGTGTGTGCGCACACACACACACACACACACACACACACACACATCACTGCATAAAAGGCACTGGGTTGGGCATGGTAGCTCACATTTGCCATCCTTGCTATTCAGGATGCTAAGATCTGATGATTGTGCTTTGAAGTCAGCACAGCCCTTATGAGACTTTTATCTCCAATTAACCACAAAATTTGGGAAGTGGAGGTGTGGCTCAAGTGAAAAGCGCTAGCCTTGAGTGGAAAGAGCCAAGCAAGAGCCCGAGGCCCTGAGTTCAAACCCCACTCAGTGCCTGCTCACGTGTTCAAAACTACTTGCAAGCAGGCACAAGCAAGGGAGCTGGTACTGTCCAAGGTGCTGAATTTTCCTAGCGCATAGGACTTACTACCGGGGCTTCCAGCCCAAAGCAAAGTGGAATTTTGGGCTTGTGAAAAATAAGGTGTGTGCCTGCTGCCGGCGGCTCACCCTGTCATCCCAGCTGCTCGGAGGCTGAGAGCTGAGGACCGCGGTTCAACGCCAGCCCGGGCAGGAAAGTGTGGGAGATTTTTTTTTTTAATTTAAATTTTATTTACTTATTTTGTTGTTTTTTTAGCCTGAACTCTGGGCCTGGGCGCTGTCCCTCAGCTCTTCAGCTCAAGGCTAGCGCTCTACTACTTGAGCCACAGCGCCATTTCCGGCTTTTTCTGCTTATGTGGTGCTAAGGAATCGAACTTGGGGCCTCAGGCATGCAAGGCAAGCGCTCTACCACTGAGCCACCTTCCCAGTACCCATGAGACTCTTATCTCCAATAAACCACCAGAAAACCAGACGTGGTGCCGTGGCTCAAGTGGTAGAGTGCTGGCCTTGAGCTGATGAACTAAGGGACAGAGCCCAGGCCCAGAGTTCAAACCTCATGACCAAAACAATAAAAAATAAAAGAGGTGTCAGGCATAAATAAGTGAATAAAGGAGGCTTCTGGTTCCTATCATTTACAATTAATCATACCTTCCATAAGGAAAATGTAATTCACCACAACCGAAATACTGAGGGGCTGGGAGAAGGGGACTGGAGGCAGCAGGTAAGGGTTGACACGAACACTTGTCAGGAGAGAAAGAACCAGGGCGCTGTGGTCTCCTGCAGCCATAGAAGAGCATTTGTTGGGGGTTTTTTACTTTTTCTCATCTCTTTTGAAGACAAAGATGTGGTTTTTACATCACTTTCAGAACAAACATCTAGGAAGCTTGAACTGTAGGCCTGGGCGCTGTCCCTCAGCTCTTCAGTCCAAGGTGAGCGCTCTACCACTTGAGCCACAGCACCACTTCCGGTTTTCTGGTGGTTTATTGGAGATAAGAGTCTTCTGGACTTTCCTGCCCTAGCTGGCTTTGAAAGGTGATCCTCAGATCTCCAGCCTCATTAGTAGCTAGGATTACAGGAGTGAGCCACCGGCGGCTGGCTCTTTTTTGTTTTTGTTTCATTTTTGAGAAAAGGTCTTGCTATGTAGCTCAGGCTTTACCTTGAATTTTTTTTTTTTGGTCGGTTGTGGGGCTTGAACACTGGGCTTGGGTGCTGTCCCTGCACTCTTCAGCTCAAGGCAAGCGCTCTACCACTTCAGCCACAGCGCCACTTCCAGTTTTCTAGTGGTTTATTGGAGATAAGAGTCTCAAGGACTTTCCTGCCGGGGCTGGCTTTGAACTGTGATCCTCAGATCTCAGCCTCCTTAGTAGCTGGGATTACAGGCGTGAATCATCGGCGATCAGCTGGCCTTGAACTTATACTCCTTCTATCCCAGCTTCTGGAATGCTGGGATTACAGGAGTGTACTGTCACATTCTGCAGACATTGTACTTTAATCCCAGAGATGTCACAACTTTTCCGTACCACAGCAACCAGTGTTGCTGGCAGAAGCTGGCTTCGAACTCCTCGAGGGTAACACCCAACCCCTGCCGGAACCTGGCTGGCTCCATCCGCCTGCACCATCCTGACAAGGAGGGATGTCTGCTGCCCTGGGACTCCAAGGGCAGTGCCAGGGGACAGCACCAGGTCCCAGGCCCAGCCCTCCCACCCAGCTGGGGGGGGAAGGGGGGACGGCAGCAGCCAGGGCTGCACCCTCCCTACCATCGCCTTCCACCCTGACATACACCAGCAACTACCACAAGACTCCCAAGCAGACTTACCCTGGGCTTCTGCGTGCCAGGCCCCGGCTTCCCTCCCCCAAGACACACGTGAGCAAGTCTGTGACTGACGCAAGGGCTGGAAATAAGTTCCAGTTCTGCAATCCTAGGAGGACTGCAGAAGTAAATTCTTCACTTTTTGCTCTTGGATTCCTGCCCCGGTGGCTGGGCGCCGTAGGAGCGTGTTTGAAGCGATGGGATCTAAATATACCAGGCCATACCCGGTACAAAGCGTTCAGTCAATGCCGGCTGCAATTAATCTTCTATCTAAACGCCCCGGGAGCGCAGCGCCCACCTCACAAGATGAGTGAGTCCCAGCGTTCTGGATTTCACCGAAAAGAAAACAAGCTAGGCACTGCTGGTGGCTCACGCCTGTCATCCTAACTACAAAGAAGGCTGAGATCTGAGGGTTGTAGTTTGAAGCCAGCCCGGCAGGAAAGTCCACGAGACTCTTAACTCCAACTAATCAGCAAAAACCCAAATGTGGATCTGTGACTCAAGTGGTAGAGCACCAGCTGGTAGCAAAAAAGGCCAAGCAAGAGCACAAAGCCCCGAGTTCAAATCCTAGTACTGGCACAGGTGCGCATGCATGTGCGCACACACACACACACACACACACACACACACACACACACACACACACACAAAGAAAGACTGATGGATTCCTGCTAAGTTTTACCAACTGAAGGCACAAACAACTCCCCTCCTTTCATTCTAAAACATGTATCTGAACATCCACACGGCGCGGGAGCCAACGCCAATCGACAGAGGTCTTTTAAAATAAACACACTTAAAATAAAAGAGCTCACGGCACTATATTTATTTCAAAGGAACAAAAACAAAAAAAGAAGAAAAGAAAAAGAAAAAGAAAAATCAGCCCTGGTCTGGAGATTCAGAAGCGAGAGCACAAAATCAGCCAGCGCGCAGCGCGCAGGGCTGGGGCAGCGGGGCCGGGGCAGCGGGGCTGGGGCAGCGGGGCCGGGGCAGCGGGGCTGGGGCAGCGGGGCCGGGCTGGGGCAGCGGGGCCGGGGCAGCGGGGCCGGGGCAGCGGGGCTGGGGCAGCAGGGCCGGGCTGGGGCAGCGGGGCTGGGGCAGCACGCAGGGCTGGGGCAGCGGGGCTGGGGCAGCGG